CACAGGCGGACTGACGTACAGCTATGTGACCACTGGCGAGGCAATCGTCTTCCTCAAAATCGACTGGAGGACTCCTGAACATCTGCTATTCCACCTCGCGGAGCCACGAGCGGAGGTGCTGGCGCATCCACACAATGCTGTGCACTGTACGGCCGTTAGTCAGGTCCTTGCGTTCACCCTGCTGGCAATTGAAGAACAACATTCCAATCCTGGGCAGGATGACCGTGTTCGAGCCATGGGACAACTTGGACGGTGGTGCGTGGATCACGATGCCATTCTGAAGGCCGTTCCAGAGAGTGTACGGAAGCAGACGCCACCGCCATCAGCGTATGCTGCTCGGGACTATGACCGCATCGATCGATCGCCATATTTCTTTCGCAACCGTCTTGCAGTGTCAACATGTCGACCAGCATCAGGCGGAGTCATCGACGACGAGCTTTCAGATCTATCAGACGATGGAAGCGGTGGCTTCGTGCAAAACAGTCCCAGCCTCAGAGATACACGCCGTCATCCACAAACCGGGCAAAGACGAGCCGGTGGCAGCAACAATACTCCCGCCGGTTCTGCCACATCGCAACGACAATACTGTACGCAAAAATGTCTGCTTGGACTCGTCAGGGGCGGATTGCTTCACAAGGCATGTCCGAATGCAGACTTGCACCAGCAAGCCAGTTCGCAAACCCATCCTGTCGGTTTAGAAACTTGGCTGCAGCTACTACGCGATCAGCTGGCTGGATCTCACGACAAGAACATCGTACCGCTTGGCAAGCAGGGAGCGCGTGGGGTTGCATTCCAAGTCACACTTGCTGAGTATGGCTACACAGTCGTGGCGAAATGCACAGTCTCTGAATTTGTCGTCGACCTCGAACACGAGGGTTCGATGTACAAGACACTCGAGCCTCTGCAAGGCATCCAGGTTCCTGTTTTCCTGGGCGCCTTCCACCTCGAGCGGCCATACTACTACGATCATAGAGTGCAACTTGTCTACATGATGCTCCTATCATGGGCAGGCGAACCCATCGATACGCACCAGCAGTGTTCTCCCGAATTGACTCATGCACGTCGCTCGGCAGTCTCCGCGGTAGCACAGTTAGGTGTGGTGCATGGCGACGAACGGGACAACAACACACTGTGGTGCTCCGAGACCAATGATGTGATGCTCATCGACTTTGAGCGTTCAACGCTCGCACCAGTCTCGCCTGTAATGCCGTCTCAGCGAGTCAGGTCCAATCGTCGGCCGCGCATTCGAGAACCTCTGCTGGCAATTGCGACTAATCGGCGATTCGTTCATCACGAGACTGGACTGCAGAAAACTAGACATACAAGAAGTACTCGCTTCTGCATGGCTACCAAAGCGCAATGATGTCGTTGGTTGGTGTTGCTCGTTGTCCGTGACGGACGGGATGTCACCGGACACTTTGATCGGGTCCGCTTTTTGTTTGCCTACACAGCAGGTTGCTGGCATTTCACGTGATAATGATAGCGTTACGAATGACGATAGTTTCAATGGGTTGGAGACGCAGCGACCTTTGCGTACCAGTGAAGCTGTGTCGTTGTGCCTTCGCCAAACTGTGCCACACCTGCCACAGTACATTTCAGTCAGGACCTAGAGAGGTTTTAATCTCAGACATCATACAAATCCAAATTGCAATTGTACTATAGGTTCCGATGCGCTATCCACGATCCGAGAAAACAGTATATTCGATGTCATACACCTATAATTTACTTATTCTAATCACTCCACTCGCTATGGACCTGTCTATGGTCGATTTCGCGGTGCTTCGAATCTGTTCGTCTAGTACTACTATCCTCGAACTCTTGAAATGTATCATGTAGTTGGACCGCAAGCCTAGTAAGAATACCTCGTAGTCGCCGAATCTCTCTATCGCCCTTGCGGATTCTAGCCTTTGCTTCTTCTATGTTTCTAGCTAGCTCCTTGTTCCGCTCTGAAAGACTGCATACCCGCTCCGCAAGTGTTAACATGCGCCGCTCAGCTAAAGGCGCTGGAGCGAGCTGCACTGGGGTTTTCGGCAGTGATTTGTTGAGGCTCATATTTCAGTACTAGGGAAGTGCGCATGACTTTGGATAGAAATTCATGCTTGGGAGAGAGTACTGGGTGGCTTAATATGGCTCAGAGGGCTAATTTGAACGTCATATTCCGCCATAAATTGGGATCCAATTCGGGCCGTTAAAATCAAGAAGGTCGAAAAACTCGTCTACTAAGCTATTTTCGACGCACAGGCTGTATAAAGAGTAGTACAGCCACCAAAGTAGCTCCATTGAGTTTTCGGGGCAATTCATTTCCACCTTTACAGATTATCCGGTGACTACGAACGAACTACAGAAGAAATGGCGAGGCTTTTCATCATCCTATGGTCCCTAATTACGATCGTCGAATCTATAAACACACTCCCACCCAACTGCTTGTCCAGCCCACCCTTTAATCTTACTGCAGGAATTTCCACTATCTCAGCTCTGTTTGTAGCCTCGATAACCAGATTCTCGCTCTGGAACACATTGCTAATCTGCCTACAGCCTTACCTCGGACAAGGTAACACAATGCTTGGCTACTCTTGACTTCTCAGATGAAGGATTTCTGCCCACGTCCTGGTCGTTTAATGCCTCGAAGCCGTGCTCGGGACAGGAGTTGGCAAGCTTCAGGCTACCTCTTGCCGTACCAAACGGTGATGCATGGTTACTCTGGTACGCATGCCACCAGATAAGGCTTGTAAGCCGCACTGACATTTCATAGGCAATGCTCGGGCCAAGAGGCCAGCTGTTATCGGGTGTCGATTGCAGGAGGAGATCCCGATTTCGCTCTCGCAGCGCAACACAATGGTAGTATTGCTTGCATTACGGAGGAGTTCAGCACCATAACTACTTTGACCACCATGACGTGGCCTACCTTAACCGCAACTGAAACCACTCATCAAACAATCACGTTCACGCGAACGTTGACGGATGAAGAGACAAGCCTCTCATCTAGTAGTACGAGCGCGCCCCTAGTGGTAGATCCTGTTGAAGAAACCGCCAGCAAGACGGGAACTACACAAGCAACAGTGACACCTAATGAGACCGTTAGCGGCCCCAGCGTTACACGAACAGCAAGTATTAGTGAGACCTCTAACTTACAGAATGCTGGAGCTACCGCTTCTAGCGGCAATCCCCTTTTTATAGATAGTTCAGGTTCTTCCAAACCGAGCTCTCTTGCTACCTTAACGATTGCCTCAACAGTTACAATGATTCAGACTGTGTCACTTTGCTATGTTCTATCTCACTGAAGGGAGAAATAGACTTCATCTACTATCCGCGGGGCGAGCCGTTAGTTCTGTGTAATAACCTGCTTAGTACACCACGAGTTGCAAAGTCAACTATAGATAGTAATATACGCCATTTTCATCAAGTCCAAGATCTTCCTTAGATGTTCTGGGGTATATAAGAGTAGCTATGTTGATACGTGAGAGGGATGCTCTCGGTACATAATCTCTAACAACATAATGTTACTACTCCATACCGTGCTCATTCAGGTGTGGGCGAAAGAAAACTACCTCCGGTAGATCGAGAAAACGAATGTCATGCCTGGTATCTGCCTTTTCTCTAGCTGGCTCTTTGAGCCGGAACGTTCGTGATGGTTCAACATCATTTCTTTTCCCCTTCTCGTCTTCATTCAGGGCGCGAGCGACAGCCTGAAGTAGTGCTCTTATCGCCGCTCGTGCATCGGCGTCGTCAATGGCAGACTGACAAGGCTCACGGCAAGGTCCGAGGCCTTGAGTAGCAATAGGCTGTATCTGTGCCCGAGCCGGGATGTATGACCGACGATATCGCTGGAACGGGTCCGCCATGTTTGCTAAGGACGATTTTTGTATAGACTTGAGGAGGCCGGATTGATGTGGTCGCTTTATCATGCTGCAAGAACCAGAGTTGTACGGATGAGCCAGTTCTTTATACTACACTTTTGAGGGAACAGAGGAGGGCAAAATTATGCTGAACTATATAAATAACTCCTTGGGCCGACCGGGACACCGCCCGGAGGAGCGGGGTACGTTGGCACACGGCGGCTCATGTGAACTATGATTCGCTAGCTAGCCGGCTGAATCGGCCCCATCATGTCCGGACCCGGACATCGTATGACAATTACGCCGGCGGGAACGGATATGATATGATTGGCAGCGCGAAGATCGATAACCCCTTTGGACTTTTGGCGCGGATCGGCTGACTCTCCGGCAACGACCCCGCGAGCTCTTTCGCTGTGCGTAGGCTACGCCTATGTATCTGCCCTGTTGCCGCTTGTCTTCCCATACACTATGTACACCGGAAGAGCTGTGCGATCCTAAGTTGCCAAGAAAGGTCCAGGTTGCACCATCTTATGTGTCTCTGCCAACCATTCGGTCTGAACTGCTCAGCCATTATACATCTAGCAATTGAACACCGCCGTGAATCGAGACACTCTACCCTCAACTGCCTACTACGTAGTCCATAAGAGAGCCGGAGCGTGCTTCAAGCACGCGAGTCGAGCCTTGTCTGTCCTCTGAGACCTAGTCCCGAGCTATTGCCTTCTTCAATCTCCTCGAGGGCGCCCCAGGATGCCGCTGCCGGTACACGCATGCCGCAGCCTTAGCCATGGCACTAAAGACAAAGTGCCTCCGTCGCCATTGCTTTCTGGGACTCTAGGAGGTAGATACATTTTAGTAGGCAGCATCCTGTCCGCGAGTTGTGTTGTGTCTCTCCCTTCAAGCGCGAGTGTCTAATGCGGGTACAATTCGCTATATATCGCTGATGCGATGCCCTGTATCACGGAGTGGTGCCTGGAACACGCCAAGGCACAAGGCCGCTGACCCGCGCACGGGCCACAATGACATTGGATGTCATTGTGGCCCGTGCCCAACCCAACACAGTGACGTGACTCGCGTTGTATGGGGCCATTGAGCATGAGCTAGCCCGAGCAGTAACGCGACGCACGACTTGATGAGACGTTCTCCACGTTTTACGCGCAGTCTAGTCTCATGATGGCTGTTTTAGTCTTTAGACGGACGAAAGGCGTTAGGTCACGAGCAGCAACTGCTCGTGTACAAAAATTGATTTTGGTGTTACGCTTGTTTATCATTATGCCCTTGTAGTTCCACGCAGGTCCGGGTGAAAGTGACTTTGCGCACTTTGCGGCTCTGCTACTTGTGAACTCTCTCGCAAGAACGGCAAAGCACGGCTACATTGACACGCTCCTGTGCCCTCGACACAGCATGACACGTTTCTCTACCGGGTATCACCCTCTGCAAACTTGTTAGTCCAAAAGCAGCGGTGGAACGCCTCGCCTCCCTTTGCCGAGATGTCCTCGACCTCCTTTGGGGTGAGCTTGAAGTTGGGGATGTTGCAGATGTAACTATTGATGCGCGTCTCGTTTGAGCTGGTGGTGATGGCGACGATGCCCTGGTCGATGCACCAGCGCAGGAGCACGTCCGCCTCGTGGACGCCATACTTCTTGGCCAGGCCAGCCAGCAGCCCGCTCGTGTGCAAGGGCCCGTCGGGGACGCGGATCACGGGGCTCAGCAGCGCGTAGGCGCTCACGGCGATGCCCCGGTCGCGGCACGCCTTGACGACCTCCTGGCGCTGGTAGTACGGGTGGAACTCGACCTGGTTGATGGCGGGGATTACTTTTGGGGGGTTGGTGCCGCCCGAGAAGAGCATCTCAATGTCGTCGGCGAGGAAGTTGGAGATGCCGATGCTGCGCGCGCGGCCGGACGCGTGGACCGCCTCGACCTCTGCCCACAGGCTCTGCAGCCGGGCCGGGTCGCCGCCCGCCATGGCCGGGTGGTGGACGAGGTACAGGTCCACGTAGTCGAGGCCGAGGCGCTCGAGGGAGCCCGTGAAGATCTTGTCGACCTGGCCGATGTGCTCGGGCTTGTTGTCGAGCTTGGTCACGACGTAGAGCGCGGAGCGGTCGATGCCGGACTTGGCGATGGCCTTGCCGAGCTCCTTTTCGTTCCCGTACTCTGTGCGAGCGGAAGAAGCAGGTTAGTACCGTCGACCTGAATGTGAATGGGGTGTTCCCCGCATGGCAGGAGGAAGGGGCGCGCACTCTCTGCACCGTCGAGGTGGAAGAAGCCGGCCTTGATGGCTGTCGTGGTAGCCTTGATGACATCATCGTCGGCGTATTCGGAGTTTGCAGTGCCGAGGCCATAGGCGAGCTACATTGTGACCTTTAGTGATGAGTAAACTACTAGTGAGTGTGACTCGAGTCCGAAGTGCGGGAGCTCACCATGGGGATCTTGTGGCCGTCGTTGAGCTCGAGCATGGGGACGGCTCCGTGCTGCTTGGGGGGCGTCCCGGAGGGGTCGGACCGGAATGCGGAGACGATCGAGTTCATGGCTGCTGTGAGGGGGCGGTGCAATGTCTGAACAGCTGGTGCGTGAGGATACAGCGTAGTTAGGAGGATGTCTGCTGGGCGTAGAGCGGATTGTCTGGTGGGAAAGGGACGTGCCGTCTTTAAGTAGTCGGGCGGACATGACTCTAATCCGCGATCGTAAGGCAGGCGCGCGTACCCGGCGGAGGGGTCCCGGGGGGGTGGCATCGTCAGCGCCGTGCATGAGCTGGGCTGCTCCGCTTTTCGGAACCATGTCCGGGCGTGCGTCCATTGGAGGGCTCGACATTCGAGTCGGGACAGCGGCAACCGGAGATGGCAAAGCTGTTGCAGCGGCGCAGTCGCAAGGCCTCTTGCCCTTGGTCAAATAAGCCACACGGCACCTCACCTCGCGGATGCATCACTGAGGACTTCAGAAGCCGCAGAACCATGGATGCCGAGGCCGTCTGGCTGGCTCCGGGACGGCCTGCCATCGGACCCCACGCCATGCTCGCCACTCCAGAGAGCTCGTCATCCCCGCACCCGTCATCTTTACGCACCAGCCCATCACTGCCGACCTATTTCTTTCACTCGGGCCTGTTGCCTGCTTCGACTTTCCGTTGACTCACCGCTGCCGTCTTTCTCACTGCCTGCAAATTTCTTGAATAATTTTGCTGCAAGCCTACGCCTCCCGGATCACCCTGGCTGAGCTCGACGAGCACGATCCGCGCACTCTGACAAGCTCGAGCCGCTGATGCTTTGCAGAGCACAACCCGCCGCCACCATCCGCCGCACTCTCCCGCGACCTGTCCCACGATCGAACCTCGTGTCGCACCGCCTGCGCCTGGCCCCGATGGCCGCACTCCTCTCGTCCTCGTCCTCATCCTCGGCAGGGGCCGCGGGCGAAGGCGCCTCGATCAACGACATCCCCAAGACCTGGAACTTCACCTCGAAGCTGCCCGCCGACGCCCGCTACCCCACGCCCGCCGACTCCCACAAGACGCCGCGCGACGACATCGGGCCCCGCCAGGTCCGCGATGCCATCTTCACATGGGTCCGCCCCCAGCCCGTCGAGTCCCCCGAGCTCCTCGCCGTGAGCCCCGCGGCCATGCGCGACCTGGGCATCCGCCGCGGCGATGAGAAGACGGACGACTTTGTGCAGACCGTCGCCGGCAACAAGATCCAGGGCTGGGACGAGGACAAGCAGACCGGCGGCTACCCGTGGGCGCAGTGCTACGGCGGCTTCCAGTTCGGCTCGTGGGCCGGCCAGCTCGGCGACGGCCGCGCAATCTCCGTGTTTGAAACGACGAGACCAGCACAACAATCGCCAGCTACAAACGGAGCCTCCTCGTCAGTCTCCGAACAAACAAGCCCCGGCAACGGCGAAGACGTCGACAAACTCTCCCTGCGAGCCCCGCCCGGCGCCCCCGTGCGGTACGAGCTGCAGCTCAAGGGCGCCGGGATGACGCCCTACAGCCGCTTCGCCGACGGCAAGGCCGTCCTGCGCAGCAGCATCCGCGAGTTCGTCGTCAGCGAGTACCTGCACGCCCTGGGCATACCGTCGACGCGCGCCCTCAGCCTGACCCTGCTGCCCAAGGTCAAAGTGCGCCGCGAGACGCTCGAGCCCGGCGCCATTGTGGCGCGGTTTGCCTAGTCGTGGATGCGCATCGGCAACTTTGACATCCTGCGGGCGAGGGGCGACCGCGACCTGATCCGCAAGCTGGCGACGTATCTTGCTGAAGATGTGCTCGGTGGCTGGGAGGCCCTGTCGAGTCGGTTGGACGATCCCGAGAAAGCCACCGAGACTGCTTATACGGCCAAGCGCGGTGTCGCCAGGGATGCCTTGGAAGGCCCAGAAGGGTTGGAGGAGAACAGGTTCGCCCGGCTATACCGCGAGGTCGTGCGGCGCAATGCGGTGACGGTGGCCAAGTGGCAGGCCTACGGGTTCATGAATGGCGTTCTCAACACGGACAACACGTCACTGTTTGGCCATAATAGCTTGAACCAGCTTTGTCCGAGGGAAGACCCTAGAACACGAGAACGCGCCGGGCGTTCTAAAGGAACACTAAAGGCAGGTATTCAGGCAGACCTTAGTGTAGTGATAATGATAATGTGCGGTAAATACTGTAGATTCTCCTTCGCTCCTGGTACCGAATGTCTGTGACGCGCCCCTAACTTGTGGCCTGACTGCTAAGGCTTTCAAATCCTAATCACCGACTGAAGAAGTGGGGCAAGCGTGCTTACCTTACGGTCGAGTGAGCTCGAAAGCCAGAGAATTCAACTCACATTATTTCGCCGTCCAGGCTAAGCGCATTTTCTGCATACGTACTTTTTCTAGGTTAGGGTTAGGGTTAGGGTTATCGACTAAGGCCGGATTGGCTAGTGCCCAACTCTGACGGCGCTGGTTCCAGGCTTCCAAGAAGATCAGGAGCTACTTAATATCTAGAACGGTCGCATTCAAAATGAGATTACAACTTCTATACGATAGACCGGCTGATAATGCATATCTTTCGCCTTCCGACCCTGGATGCCATCCAGTCTTCAGCAAACAAAAATCAGCGACAGCATCATCACCTGCAAGTCGGCAGGCTTCTCAGGCGGATCCATGGACTCTAAGCTTCCCGCCCTCTTGGCCCAACGACTGCAACAGCATCATCTTGATCCTCAAGACGTTGAGTCTGGGACATTTCTAGCGACACGTATGGTGCTGCTGTCATTCCGTATGCTACAGAGCCAAAGACTTGACATTGAGACCCTGTGAAAGACGGTTCCAGATGAAAAGGACCAGACCACGGGAGCGTTGGTGATCCCTTGGCTCGATGGCGAGGACTGGATCCTGTTCCACGTGGATAAAGACACGGGCACCGCACACATGTTTGATCCTACTCCATGGCAAGAGCCATCACGAGTTGCCACCTTTTTCCGACAAGCATAAACAGAAGCGGATTATGGTTCGATCACTGCCATGTGGCGTGTTCCCGCTAGAACGCGAACCGGTCAGTGGCGCAGCGGTTGTTGAGTGGTCGAGAAGGTCCCCATGTTAGTCACTGGTAAAGACATCAAGTCTATTGGCTTTGCAGTAGCAAAGTCCGAGGACGTCCCGTACGAAACATACTTTGCGAAGACGACAAATATGATAACGGACTTTGTGGAAATGTGCTATGTCCGGGAGCCTGATCAAAGCGGAGACAAAGTTGTTTCTGCGGTAGAACAAAGGTAGCTAGCCGAATAGTCCTGTGTGACGATATGTCGCAAGTGTGGTCAGATCGTGTAGCTAATGGACCTCAAGTACCCCATGTCAGATTCGCAGCACTTTTACGTAAAAGTCTAGAAATAACTCTTCGAAGTTATGCGAGAGCAACTGCCATATGGATTGCGTAAGTAGCAGCAGGTTCATATATCATTAGGTTATGTGTTGATCATTGCGATCTTGCTTACAGTAAGCATAACTTTCTACAAAAATCCCAGCGTTTCGAAAATGACCCTCAGCACTGCCTTGTCTACTACCTACCATCTTGACACAAGATCTCACGTACCCCTCGAAATCTCTCTGAATGAAACTTTGGTGATTCTTCCGTTCTGACTTCATATGTGTCTTTACTTCACCAAAGAACTCCTCGATAGGATTAGTTCTCGGGCTGTAGGGTGCAATGAAGTCCCACTTCACAGAGGCGGCCTCACACATCTGTCGAATCCTCTCTGAGTAGTGGAACGAAACATTATCCATTACAAGGACGGTCTCAGGCTCTGGCCATTTGCCACAGTGGCGGAGCAGCTGCTCCACAAAGTCTTCGAAGATGGGTTTGTCCACACTCCCATGCAAGAAACGGGACAGCACTACACCCCTCTGAGAATATGCTGCAAGGAGCTGCAGCCTGGGTCCGCGCTGAAATCTAGCCCTGTGCACAGGCGTGACTCCCTCTGGAGCCCAGCCCTTTCGCTGAAACATAGTCGGTTTATCAAATCCAGATTCGTCAATAAAGACCAGATGATATGATCTACACCCAAGCTTTTTAAGCCTGTACTGGTAGAAGTGTCGTAGTTCGGGCCTCTGTTGTTCGGCTACACGGCGCATTGCCTTCCAAGTCATGTTGCTCTTTCTTAAAGCACGAGTGATGTTGGTCACCGACACATCCTCATCAAAATGTTTACTAAGTCCACCATGTCATGTCTAGTCATATCAGGTTCGGTTGCGAGCTTGTGGCAAAGTGCCGTTAACATTGAAGGCGTAATCTTCGGGTTAGGGCCGGTTCGTTTGCCTGGCATTCTCGTGGTTCCATATCGTGTGTAGGTCGTTCGTGCTCGACTGACGGCGCGCGGAGTACAAGAGATAGCATTGGCTATAGCTTCATTTGTGAAGCTTCGGCGGATCATGGATTCGACCAGTTCGTGTTGAGAGTCGGAGAGTCGTGGAGCCATTTCCCACAGCGGCCGTACAGTACCAGCAGCGATATGTGGAGGTGAAGAAAGCGAGAGAGACGGAGAACGTCGCCTGGGAACTTTTGATGGGTTGTGGAGCCTGAGTGTGGATGTGTGAGTCACAGTCATAGGCGCCTAAAATAGCGACTGCTAAGGTTTTCCATGGCATGGTACTTAATTCTAATCACTCGGCACTGTCAAAGGCTCCACTTTCTCTTATTCTCCGACTGGTCGCTGGAGACGCGGAACCTGAACCTAGCTGTAGTAAGAGGCACCGCTAACGCACACTAGTTACTCACAGGGATCACTATCGCTCTTAGCACAATCCGTAAGTCACTTCATCAAGCCATATTATCTGTGCTGACAGATCACTCGCAACAGTCTTCCTCCTTGGTGTCGGACACGACATGCATTCCAAATCTCCGCATTATGGAGCCCGTACGTACTGTACGTGAGTGGCGCCCAAGCCAGACTGTTGATGCAGTACAACGAGTGGGGCAACACTGATGCGGGGCGCACCTGGGCGACCGAGCAGGACTCTAGAGCTTGCAATCAATCAGGAACCAAGTCACCACGAGAGATTTCTATGAAAATCGAATGTGGGGGAAAGGGGTATTTCGTTATGAGTGATATGCCGTGGTCCTAGGGTCTGATTATGGGTGGAGGTTTTCAACGAGAATCGTCCCGCGACGTAGGCACGCCTGCCGACGACGAGATCGCGGCACTGGCCGTGGTATGAGCGACCGATCTACATGCAAGATCGGCTCTAGCCTGCATTTCCGACGCCATCAATGACAGAAAGTATGACCTAGCTCTAGAGTCTTGGCGTGAAACCCCCGCTATCAATTCCTCCATACCCACCATACTCGCGCTTGTCCCAAAGTCTGTCAGCGATATTATGTCATAGCCGAATCAATGTTCAGCTGTCCAGCCCGTGCGGTCAAGGTTGCATGGCCGCTCATTCCCAATTGGCCGCCTGGTGTGGCGCGACTTGGATTGAAAAGTAATCCAGCTGCAGGGGACGATTCTGCGTTCATGGCGACAGGCTCTGGAACATCGCTTGGCCGCCCTCAGAGGCTTCCGGGGGGCCATGGAAGCTTCAGCGATGGCGGGCCGCATGCCACATACCCGGCGTGCGGTCGTCTCTGGAGCGCCGCGTAATCCAAACAAGCTCATGTCGCTGTGGTAGTACCCGCATCGGATCAGCTCCGCCAGCCGTGTGCAGTTTGCTTTGGACCGGCTGTAGATCACGCCTTATTGCCTCCCGCTCATGCGGCCGGTCAGTCGGATGACATGCTTCACGGCCTCGTCCTCGGCTGCGCTCCGACCTGGTCCCGTGACTTGCATGACGTTATAGCTGATGTTCTTCTTGTCGGTCCTTGCTCGGATGATTTCGGCGTCCCCTGCAAGCATTATCTGGCGGAACCAAGCCTCAAGCCGCACCGGTAGTGTAGCTGTCAGTAAGATGACCGGACAGCCGTACCGGTAGATACACTTCAGCTCCGTAAGCCGCTTTCGATAGCTAGCGTCCATAATAATCGTATGGCACTCGTCGACAAAGAACCGCTTGAGCAGACCCCGGCTTCGCAGCCAGTCCGTATAAGTCGAGAACTCTGTGCTATTGACCTGATCTGCACTGACGAAGACGAGCCGTGACACCCGCGGCTTCTCCTCTCGCCCGGTTGCCTGTGCTGGCTGCCACTGCTGACAGTCTAACCCGAGACCAGCTGCACGTCTGACCAGATCGCTAATTAGTGCCACAAATGGTACTATGACGATGCTGATGCCTGCGTTCACGCCGCTCATGTATGCTGTCAACGAAGGGCATACAAAGGCGGTGCGGCTACTAATAGAAAGAGGTGCTGATATCAACTTTCGTGGTAACGTGGGAACACCATTAGCTTGTGCCTCTGAGAACGGACTCGCAGATCTTGTGCAGCTACTGCTTCACAAGGGCGCCGAGGTAGATTACCCGGATCGGGCCGGCCGGACGCCACTCTCATGGGCGTCTAGCAATCCGCACGACGAGGTAGTGCTGCTACTGCTCAACAACGGCGCTGAGGTTGATCGTGCAGATGAGACCGGTCGGACACCGATCTCATGGGCTGCCAGCATGGGATGCGAGCGGAATGTGATGCTGCTGCTCGATAGAGACGCCAGAATTGACGAAAGAGACTCCTTTGGTCGGACACCGCTCGCATGGGCTGTCTACAACAGGGCCGAAGCCGTCGTGCGGCTGCTGCTAGACAGTGGCGCAGAGCCCGACAGGAAAGACATTCATGGTCGGACGCCGATATCATTAGCTGCCGAAAAGGGATACATCAGCATTATAGATCTGCTGCTAGCGAGAGGCGTTCAGGTGGATAGCCGAGATATTGATGGAAGACTCCATTGTCATGGGCGACATCTTGGGGGCGTGACGACGTTATGCAGAAACTGCTAGATAGCGGCGCCGACATTGATAACCGCGACGAGGATGGTCGTACGCTAATAGACTTGGCCAGGATAAGTAGAAAAAGCAGCACAGCTTCGCATTGCGGCTTAGCTCCGTGCGGCAAGTATAAGCCCGATTGATTGAATATAGTAGGAAAGCTATGGAGACGAATAAAGAATTGATAATAACCAGCAAGACGAGATGTTGAAAGTACGTCTTTATCCGGGCCGCTGTCGCTTCGCGGGGCGTCCAGGTAAGCCCACCTCACTTCCTTCTGTCCCAAGAGTCTCTAACAGCTCGGGGTATTGCTGCCAACATCGAGGCTGTGTACACGAATGGCCAATAGCTTCGCCCCATTGTTCTTGAACGTTAGTAGAGTTCCCCTCTGAAAAGCTTGACGCATTCCACAATCGTGTGACTTCATTAATGAAAAATCGCCCATCGGTTGCGACTTCTGAGATGCCAATGTCGAGACGTACGCCATCCTTAAGTGAGGCAAGACCAGGTTCAAAATCGGCAAGCCTAAAAAGAATGGCAAACCACAGAGAGGCGAACTGCTTCAGTTCATGATACTTGCGCTTTTGAGCGTGCTCATCCCCAACTCCTTCCCCAAATATTTCGTGACTGAATGGACTCTGATTCATATCCGAGAATTGAACCTTGCCGGCAGAAGTGGTTGGTCTGGTGATGGTGATACTAATGATCTTACCTGGGGGAATGAGACCGTCTATAGCCTCTTGAGAGAGATCACGCACCATACAGACCCGAAGTTCGCCAAATTTGACTAATGAGTCGACATACTCTTGGTGGAAGAGATGGTTCCTGGGCTGAATATCGGCATCCCATTTGTTCCCAGGGATTCGGCACTTCAGTCCCTTGCGATTGCTGACTTTAACAAGCTTGACTCCCTCTCCACTGCTGCTACGTGTCGGCTTGATAACCATGCGGCCACCATGAGAGGGTGGCAGGTTACACGTCGCCGATAGCCCACCATCGCACGTTATGGGTCGGTATGCGAGCCAGCTCATTCCTTGGCCGTCGAATTTTGCGGCCCACTCGTCGAGGATTCTAAGATCGCCAACTTTGCTTGCCTGGAATGTTGCCTCCTCCCTGGTAGGATATGCTTTTAATAAAAGCATTGTTGTCCATAAACAGTTTCATATATTCGCAATATTCATCGAAAGAGGGCCCTTCCGGCACCAGGATGGGCGTTGACATGCATCCGAGAAGAACGAGCTTCTCCCTCTCAGATGTGGCATCGGCAAGCTGTTCGCGAAGGTCTCGGAACAAGTCTGCACTCCATGTTAAAGTCGCCGACATCGTAAGGCATGGGTTCTTGATGGTTGCCGAGATCGCCATGATCAACGGCTCATAGACCCATACGGTCTCGTCATCGTCATGTTCTTGGTGTTTGAAATGCGGCTCGACATTTACTAGATCGAGAGCAGACGACTTTAGCCTCTTCCCCTCCTGAGACATCGGAACACCTAATGGTATAGCGGAGTCAGATCGACCCTCCTCAACCAGGGGGCCAAATGGGACTCCGAGCCAGATCATATCGACTGGAAGGGGTTTTGGCTCCGGACCAGCGGTAAGCTGGTGGTTGTGGCTGATCGTGGTTGAATATTGTATGCGGACCACCTCAAGCGAATCTGAGAGCGGAGGAAACTTGTCGACCACTCGTTGTGCGCTCCACGCAACGGGACATTGTTTATATCCGCAGACATAGAATCGGGTCCTCTCCCTCTTCTCCTTCGTTCTGGCCTTGTATCCATGTCGGCTGACAAACACTGACACGATGCGTTCTAAATCTTCGAATGAAGGAAATGTCCAACCGCATGGTGGGGCGCCGTCACTTTTATAGTCGATCTTAGCCCGGCCCAGGGCAAAATACTTCATAGCCTCCATAGGCAGTGATACACGGAGAATGAAGACGCAAAGATGATTGAGAGACGTCGCTTTGGCCAAAAGGGGGTTCGCGAAATGCGGGGCGCTGGGGAAGTTTTCCACGAGCGTGGAAGCTTTTCCACGGGCGTGGAAATTTCTCCACAGGCGTGGAAATTTCTCCACGGGCGTGGAAGCTTTTCCACAGGCGTGGAAGCTTTTCCACGGGCGTGGAACTTTCTCCACAGGCGTGGAAGCTTTTCCACAGGCGTGGAAATTTCTCCACGGGCGTGGAAGCTTTTCCACAGGCGTGGAAGCTTTTCCACGGGCGTGGAACTTTCTCCACGGGCGTGGAAGCTTTTCCACGGGCGTGGAAATTTCTCCACAGGCGTGGAAGCTTTTCCACGGGCGTGGAAGCTTTTCCACGGGCGTGGAAGCTTTTCCACGGGCGTGGAAGCTTTTCCACAGGCGTGGAAGCTTTTCCACGGGCGTGGAACTTTCTCCACAGGCGTGGAAGCTTTTCCACAGGCGTGGAAGCTTTTCCACGGGCGTGGAACTTTCTCCACGGGCGTGGAAGCTTTTCCACGGGCGTGGAACTTTCTCCACAGGCGTGGAAGCTTTTCCACGGGCGTGGAACTTTCTCCACAGGCGTGGAAGCTTTTCCACAGGCGTGGAAGCTTTTCCACGGGCGTGGAACTTTCTCCACGGGCGTGGAAGCTTTTCCACGGGCGTGGAACTTTCTCCACAGGCGTGGAAGCTTTTCCACGGGCGTGGAAATTTTTCCACAGCCGTGCCTAAAGTCGCGTGAGTAGCGGTCCCAACCACCCCAACACCGCATTTAAGATTACTGTACTACAAACAAACCGCTCGAGCTGGGCGAGACGAAGGGTGCACTCAGATGCTGGGGTCTAGCCGACAGAACGTAAACAAACAATTGGCTTGGCGTCCGTTCGCTTTCTAACGGGATCAACGGGGACCTGGGCCAGATACGTAATAGCACCGCGAAAAATGGCAGACAGGTTCGAAAGACCTTAGAAATAAAGACGTGCCATCATGATCATCATCCTTCCGATTGGGCTTGGCATAATCGTGCACGATGCGTGCTGCGCGATGGCCTATCAAAGACCTGACGAATGTTAAGCCGCGTTGCCCCACCCCACTTGCGACTTTAGGGAGGAGGAGCTGGCAGGACATGGTGGATGTTGTACACATGCGACAGAGCGGCCCCCACCCCAGTGCTGAAACAGGACTCCACCACAACAGCGGTGAGCTCCCTCGGTATTCGGTCACGGGGCATCCCACAAGCTCAGCACGTCGGACTGGCTGGGCTTGTGGGCCGTCGTCTTCGGCCCAAAAGAAAAACAAAAAAACAATTATCTACGGCTTGTTCGGGGTGGGACATCGGCCACAGCGCACCAGGCGGAACGCCGCTCCGCGTCCCTGCTGCAGGAGAGGACGTGGTTCGACGCGGACTAAAACTTGCATGAACAGAGGGGCAACAATATAACGTAATCCACGGGTGAGTGAGCCACACGGGTCAGTGAGCCACTTTTCAAGTACTCGTACGACAATGTATAAGACAATTCAACCACAACGCCTTAAATCAATTGAAACTATTCAGAATCCTCTTCTTCAGAGGCAGATACAACTTTCTGACACGTACGAGCATTATGGCCGGGCTCGCCGCAGACGCCACATCGCCGCGCGCGCGTTTCGGGCCTCCTCGTACGACCACTATTCTGACTCGTTTCTGCCCTTAACTGCTCCGTCGCATCGATTTGAGCCTTCAAATCCTTTGCCTGGTCAATCGTAAGGGACCCTCCTTTCTGTAGCTGCTTTCTTTTCGTACGACGACGGCGGCTGAGGCGGTCGTTCGCATCTCGAAGTTCGGCGATATTATGGCGCATAAGGTCCTGCTCGTGTGCCATCATCGCCATCCCTTTATGAAGCTGCTTAAGGCTTACGATTATAGACGACGGTGAGCTATTCTGGTGTCGTACGATGCGATTTTGGAGATACTCCTTCTGCGATTCGGCCTCAATCGGGTTATTCGGCGTCTTTGAGACCCAGGGGGGTGGTAGTCCAGCAGAACCTGGTGGTGTCGGCGTACGAAGCTTTATATCTAGCTGCGAAATCACATAGTCCGGGTCGTACGGTACTAGGCCTGTCGCTCGAAAGCCTGCCTGGATGTTTGACTTGGTTATCGCAGCGTCGTACGCCTTATAAAAGGCTGGGAGGAAGTCCTCCTTTGAAACGTGGGTTACGTGCGCCCGCATAAGACCTTCGATTTCTTTACCGTACGCCCGTTTTAGAGGTCCAAAGCACCCAACGTCGAGAGGCTGGAGCTTATGCGACGAATGAGCAGGCATACAGAGGGTAACAATATTCTGTTCCTTGCAGTAGAGCTCGAAATCGACGGAATGGTGGCTCTCGTGGCCGTCGAGGATAAGGAGGCGGTGGGTGCCCTTCGTACGACTCTTTGTATGGAAATCGAAGTGTTTTACCCACTCTAGGCCTCTCTCGTTCGTCGTCCAACCGTTCTCCGAAAGCGCGATTACCCAGTTGGCCGGTAGAGGGCTATTCGCGGTCCAGGAGTCGAGGTGGACCTTCCCTGCGAAGATAATATACGGCGGGATCGAATAGCCGTACGACGCGATACCCTGGATTACTGTAACCCATTCCTGATTCCCTTGTTGTACGGCTCTTGGCCTCCCGCGTCGATCGGAGGTTGTAACGACAGTTTCGGCGGAGATTTTACCCATTGCGAAGCCCGTTTCGTCGAAGTTGTAGATATCGTCATCGTGGATCCCGTATTTCGCGATTATATTTCGTACGAGCTCAAACCACGCGCGATACGCGTCTGGATCTTCGCAGAGGACTCTCTGGTAGTCGATTCTTCGATTAAAACGCGTACGGAGCTCAGATCGTCGTCGTACGAAGGTTGAGGCCCAGTTCGTTCCGACACGCGGCGCGTCGCGTACGGCAAGGAGTCGATCCGCCATTTCTCGAACACCACTAAGTCGCGGTGGAAATGATCGCGAATCTAGGTCAATTACGTATCGTATAATACTCTCCTCTTCGTACGAGGTCAATTTCTGGCAGGGTGGTCGGGTATCGTGTTTCGCAGCTCGGCCGTCTCGTCGTCGTTGGAGGGTTGCGCGGGATACATTATAGAGTAATGCAGCCTTTCGTACGCTCAATTTTGGGTCAGATTTAAGCGCAGCTAGCGCTAGAACCAAATCGCATTCATTTGATTGTCGTACCATGATTGTTGGTGGAGAAATAAGGAAATGAAGGTTATCTATTCAAAATGGGGGAAAAGTGGCTCACTGACCCGTGTGGCTCACTCACCCGTGGATTACGTTATAGGAAGTTGTATTACATACCAAGTGGGAAGAGCGCCTGGTAGCGGCTTACTCCTTGCCGCCAGATGGTAGGGGAGGCAATTAGCTAAGCTTCGTCTCGCTAGATCAGGTCACACATATTGCTGGCTGAGACAAGCAAGGTTCGGGCAAATTCTTGACAGGAAGTGTAACTAAACGAGAGATACATTGACCAGCGTTATGTACATACAAATGTCGATTCGCCTACGAATGGCCCGCACCTACACTGCCAGACACTATGTCTCACCTTCCCAGACCGCGGCGAGGAGGTTCCGTAGGGCAAGAAATCTATGGGTACCCTTGACATTGTTTTACGAACGTCCTTCCCATACACATAAGACATTCTTGTAGAGAGTATGAGCCGGGAATCACCGCACCCCGAAACTCACTTGCGACATTACAGAAGGTCCGCTATCCACTTGATTTCTTCGTAATGGTGACCAGGAAGGGAATCGAGCGGCTCCGCCCAGGGGATTCCGAACCGACGACGCCACGTTGCAGAGACTGCCGCAGCCACCATCTGGCTCGCAGAGCAAGAGAAGAAAGACGGCTCCACCAGTGCAGCCCGGAGGACACGCAAGACTTCGAAGCGTATGTATTGCTCCAAGGGGGTGCGCGAATCGGGAGGATACACAAAGTCGAGGAAGTGGATTGGGGTTGAGCCGTTGACGCAGTGGCCAATGCGGTGCAGGATGCTCGCCCGTGTGCTGAGACTGCTGTCCATGGAGAGCTGGCGATCTGTATCCATGACTGCGGTCTCCAGCATCGCCTCAACGATGGCTCTGTGGACTGCAGTGAGGCCGAGTGCCATGTCAAGACATGCGCTGCCGACCTTCGCGTAGAGCACCTCCCTGGTCGGCTCAAAAATGGCCCATTTTTCAGGTTTGAGGATGGCACGGAGAGCAATGTTGACTGCGGCGAAGACGACTTTGTGCTCGAAGCGGAAGCGCTCGTCGAGCGACAAGATGTAGTGGATAACGCCTTCACAGAGCTCTTGCAAGAGATCCTTGGTATCTGTATCCCAGTCCTCCTAGGCTGCCGGGACGCAGAGCTGGTTCTCGTGCATCGCTGCGTTGATCATGAGACCTGCGGACGCGCCGATTAGACCTTGCGCTTTTGCTTGGTGTCAATCATTCAGGTGACGGGTGTGACGGCTGCAATCGTCGGAGCCGGCCTCAGGGCCAAGTTGGGAAAACAACTCGTCCATGTGTACGTTCTTCTGGCGGGTCTTCCTTGCCACTTGGTGAGATGGCGACTGCCTCTGCCCAGAGACTTTGTAGACGAAGCATGTTTGGCTTGGTCTCTGTCCACTAAGAAAGAAGAGGTGCTGGCGGAGTCAGCCTGTAGACTCAACGATTCAGAATCGCCCTGTCTGGTGTATTGGCAGGTGCTGGAGGCGGTCTCGAATGGTACGCTTACCTCGGTGCTGGCTTGTGCACCCGTGAAGCAGATCGGGGTTGATGTTGATGATGGAGAAAAGAGTGATGGCCTGGTGATGGCTGCCGGGGAAGTGCGGTCTTGAGCACCTAGTGACAAGGTGCATTGACGGCGGATGCCTGACAGCCAGCGACGCTGGGTGCCTGGCAGCCCCTCAAAGTGGGCCCGCTTCAACCCCTTTGCACCGCATAACGCCACCTAGTCACCCGTGGAGCTCGCACTGCAAGTGCTCCCGCTCTCCTGGAGATATGTCCCCCGGGGTGCTCCGCTTATTAGCCAGCATGAAGGAGCCGAAGCATCGCAGGGACGCTTGTCCTGATAATTCAAGGGGTAGCTGACCGCATTGTGGCGGCCCGAGGCTTCGCCAGGTGACCGCACAGACTCACCAAACATGGCTGGAGGGAGGTTTGGCTGCCTTCAGCGGACGCAAGCATGACGGCAAGCAGGAGCTGAGTATCCCCGCCTGCAACGAACATTCGCGAGTAGCGGGTAGGTGGCCTTTGCATGTCAGGACACTTCCAGGGTCATTGCCACCGCGCAAGCTCAAAAGAGGGCAAGCATGAGGGCGCACAATCAGACCTTCACCAGGGGGCCCCAGGACCAGTCCTAGGCCAAGCCCTCAGAGCAGACGGGCAGTTTCATTATGGCCACCTGAAGCCGACAATGAACCGCACTTTTCAATACGAGGCTGCATTCCTCTGAGCCGATGATATGATGACTTTCCTGGGAGTTCTTTTTGCACGCACTCTTTGCATTCTCAAACAAAGCATCGACAGTCTGGGCAGCGCCAACCAAGTGCTGTGCATGGCTCATGACCCAGACCGCGATTGCGCCCTGGCGACCGACCCGCCGGGCGACACTGCCTCGACCAACTTACATGTTGAGCCGGTAAGCAAGAACCGAAGGAAGCCATGGGCCGCCGCGGTCGCTGCGCTGTGGCGGGCTCGTGGCGACAGCCCAGTCCGGCATCCGAGGGAGGTTTCGTTTGTTCCAACGTGCCGCCTTACGACCGCTGTGCGACGCATGCCCTGTGACTCCGATGCGCAGTCACGCAAAGCCCATTCGCGTAGCTACTGCAGCGTGTTTGCTATTAAACCCGTTGCAGCACCGGTCTGCCCGAGCTCCGGGTCGCTGAATGTAAAAGTTTTGAGGGTGCCGTCGCTGACAATGTGCGCCGGGCCAAAGCAGCTGTGCCATCTTTAATGGTTGCCATGCAACGCGCTCGCCAGCAGCCGAATGAATGTCCCCGCCCCGTACTCGATTAGAAACCAAAGCGATCATCACTGGTCACACGTTCATTGCATGGCCCTCTCGAGAGGTCATCGTCGGGGTTCTTACAGAGCACGAGCCTCAGGGCGGTGCGGCCGCCCAGCTCCTTCTCACCAATTTCGGGGGATTGTGTCGAGCCTAGCAGGCAGACTCGGCGCACGCACAAGGGGGCTGCACACATACGCGCCGACTGCTGGACGGCTGCCTATCTCTTGATAGATTTCTGCTGGTAAAACTCGAGGTTGCCTTCCCCGTCTTGATTCCCGTCTTGATTCTAGGACTCAGTTCCCGGTGTACATCGTCCTCGTGCCATACCGTGTCCAGGCATGCATAACGAGTCCCAAAGGACTCAGCTCTGCGGTCATCAGAAGGAGGAACAGCGAGGAGGACGAGTAGTCTGTCAATGTCGGCATAGTGATTCATGCTTCCACGCTTTGCCTTCTTGCCTGCTGATCGCCATATTTCTGTGACTGCCAGATAGTTTTCGAGGTACATGTTCTTCCTCTGAGGCCTTGTAACCGAACAAAATCCTACCCGACATGATATTCTGCCATTTCCGGAGCAGGATATGACCCTGGCGTTGAGTCATCTCCTCCAAACCAGCTCGACAACTTCGTCAGGCACTCCACGGTCTTCAACTCCTTTCCACACATACAGCTGTCTCATGAGATCTGCCCTGACTTCCGTGTATTTGAGGTAGTACGTTTTGTGATCACTGTCGGGCACCCTGTCGCGCAGCGGCCCCATGCTGTACTCGTACTTCGGGTCCTTGCCTGCATAGACGTTGCCCCTGTTCGCTCTATCTTGTTCAGATCAAGCGAATCCACACCCTTTGGGTACACGGTGATCGAGTAGCCATTACTAAGGACAGTATCGTTGCCAAAGATGAATCGTTGAAGGAAGCAGTTCCTGTGGCACAAGCTCGCCTAGTCAGCATACACGTTGCTGGGACCCCGGTGCTTCATGAGAATGAATTACCCGCAAAAGTTCGTCGCCTGCGCCATGGAAACTACAGGTTCGCTGTACCAGCTTTTCCAGTGGTGCAAGTTCAAAGGCTCAACGCCAGATTCGAAAAAGCCGCGCAGGTCGCCCAGCAAATCATGTTGATATCCATATCGAAGAGGTTAGACTCTTGTCACAAGACATCAATGATGGGGTGGAAGGACTTACAGATCTGGCAGTACGGTCAGCCGCGCCCCAGTGTGGCGGTAGACACGGTCTCGGATGATAACGTCTCCTAACTGTGGCGGGGACTCCTCGATGCACTGTAACGCTTGGTCTAGATTCCTGATCTTCCTGGCCGGATGTGCAGAGAGATACACGTCAGCACCACCATAGGCCATGACACCGAATCGCGTGAGGGAGCCCCAGTCCTCCGTCAGCCCGCCAACATAAAGATCTTTATTCTCGTGGTCAAGAGAGTCAAGTGTAGTGGATAAAGGCTCCAGGTGCGGAAAGAAGGTGTCGTCGTCAAGCAGAGCGAACCACTTTGTCTCCGGCCCGCTTTCGGCGAGCATCTTGCTGAGAACTGCAAAATGTGATTGAGACATGGAATGGTTGCTGGCGATGGGCGGTATGAAGATGGCGTTGATCTTGAGGCTGTGAAACTGTGCAAGCAGGTCGGCGACTTCGTCCTCATGCCCGATGTAGTCTTCGATCACCACGACGAGGAGTGTGTCCCGGTCAGAGGCCCAATGAGCAATCGAGTCGACGCTCTGACTTAGACGAACCAAAGACGTGGCCATACCGAATGCCAGGTCTTCATCTTTGGCTGATCGTGGGTATGCATTTTCGAATGGTAGGAGAATCGCATCGCACGGCTCTATCTGCAGAGATCCGGGTTGATCTAGCCTTGCCTCGATGGACTCCGCGACGAGCCGTAGGGCAACCCTCGTGACACTTCTTCTGTCGACAGGTAGATTGCGAGAAAGCTGGACACAGCTTTGTGTGTATTTGAACGTTGACGAGAGCCTGATATGTCCGCCTTTACCCGCTCGACGCACAAATCCGAGGGTTGCAAGATCTGTCCTTGTTACGTCAGACTCGCTAGCCGAAAAGAATGTAACCCCGTCTGTTCCACGGTACATCAGCCAAAGGTGACCCAGAATCAGTAACGAGACAATTGTGTCCACGATGCGTGTGATGTGCATTTCTTGTGTTCTTGGTGGGGTAAGGCTTATTACTGTATAATGCGCTCAACTTCAGCCTTACTTTCCTCTGGTTGTCCGGGAGCAGTGCTCAAGTAGACACCTACGCTATTCATCATGATTGACCCGAACTCGTCAAGCGAAGTTATTAAAAGCATCGTCTCAATTATTCTCTGTCTTTGGACGCTATGGCAATTTTTAAGCGGGGCGGAGGTAGATTATGAACAGGTGTCAAAAGTTGCAAAATCGAACCATTCGCAATGAGCTGGTCCCATCTACTTTCGCCTCCGAAGCGCTTCGCTACCTCTCATACTAGATTTTGATTGAAATTAACCTGACCGAAAGTAGAGTCCAGTAAGGCAACAACGCATGAGGATATTCAGCACTAATGCTCCTTTCTAAGGAACTCGAGAAGACATGACAGACCCTGGGGCGCTATCCCTATGCTACTTACAGACTCCTGGAATAATACCTAGAAAGAATGCCTTAAGGTGAAGAGCTGAGGATGAGGTTAGAGAGTACCGAGGCTGCAAGCTCTGCACGTTGATCTAGGATGGAATCAACCCAATTATCGACTGAAGTCGAATAATAATATGCACTTTAGGTACACCTCAGCACGATATACCCCTACACTACAATTATGCATAACGTACTACACGTTTGCGTTATTGGCTCGGCAGTGTACCCAGACTGCAATGAAGTATTGTAGAACAACTACTCATTCCAAAGGAGGCAATCACTTGGAAATAGCACACATATCAAGAATCAAAGCTATAAACGAAATTCTCTCATTGGTTTCAGCAAAAGTCTAGTGGAACGAGTACTCTAGTTATTTGGTACTCCGTGTCAGCGAAGTTGACTCGTACAGGTGAGCTGGTGAGATGTCCTGGAAAACAGCTATTATAACGTTTCTTGTATGTCACCGACTCCCCTCCTTCTGGGTAATATTGGACCAACTGCGGCTGTTCATTTTGCACGCTTTTGTATGAGCTCTTCCAGTCATCCGAAACCTTCTGCCCATCATCCTGCGGTCTCAAATGGCTCCACCATCCAGGCGGGTTCCACAAGCTCGGAATCTGTCCTGGGTTGGCGCTGTTCACGTGTCGGCGGTAAGATTGTGATTGGGTATTTTGGGGATGGCAGAGGAGGGACGCTCGGAAGTCTGTGGCAATGCACGCCGGCCCGTGAAGTAATGATCGCCCTCCCTGGCAGCTTTGCGGGTCATTAGCATAGCGGAGATGGCATGCACTGGTGATATTGCTGTCGCCATCTTCACGAAGTGCTGGATAGTGGGCATCTTTGCCCTCTGGAGTCGACGGTGAGCGCATTGGCAACGATGTAGTCGGCATAACGGGCGACAGGGCAAGACCGGACCGCCGTAGGAGCTGACGCTTCTGGTCCCTCCGGCGCGTAGTGTCTCTACGCCTGGGCACGTGAGAACCACCGTTTTTCTGGCTGGATCCTCTTTGTGTTGATTGTCGCTGCTCTTCCCTCTTTAAGCGAGTTATGTGTGGGTGACATAATGGTCCTTTTCTCCGAGCTAATGCTCCGTTGCAGGCATCTAGCCGGATATCGTCGGTTGCTGGTGAGATTGTGTTTACATAGATGACGTCTTTGACTTCTTCAACGGTCGTGTCTGCCATCAGGTCTGGGGAGGAGGGGGAGAGGGGGTATGGTGGTTCTCTTCGATATACGCGTATCGCACAAGCCAGGTATCGACGCTGACAGTAAGAAATGTGGGATGAATGGGCTGTTTGCGTATGATTGCAACAAAGAACTATTATTGTATGTTTTCTTCTTTGCTGGCAAATGACCACTTATCGTTATGCCTCCCTTCTCTGCTCCGTCATCGTGAGCCATCAGAATCTGCCCCTCAAGTTCACTGCAGTGCGACTTCAACCGGGGGTAGCAGGCAACCTGAGACGAGCGCGGGGCTGTCTGGGTTTGTTTGTGTTTGTTCGGGTTTGTTTCTGTTTGTTCGTGATCCCGACCCACACACCGACCCACACACCGACCCACATACCACCCACAAACCGCCACCGCCTATGTGCTATGGCTTACATGTTTTCATGCTCACTGACTAGCCCTAAGAAGCCCCACAGATCATCATTGATGACGAGCAAGTCCCGGCAGCGCAGGAATGTCACTGCTAGATAGCAAGTGGACCTCCAATGCCCCGTTGCGCACAATAGCCTGTCCTAGCTGCTTAGCGCGCTGGTTTGTGACACCTGGACACCGCCTCGGTCGCTCCAGGACTTGGACTTCGAGGGAAACCCCGCTGACTCACTTCGGATCACGCCGTTTTAGAGCGGGGCATCGGAAAGGGTACGTCCTAAACAGCACGAGTGGCCCAATGTGAGATCAGTCGATGTGTCAGAAAAGAAAGCCCATCTAGTCAAAGCACGAGCTTTTAGAGACGAGATTTACACGACTATAAAAGAGATCTATTGTCACAACTATAGGATACTACGCGTCTATACTTATGAAAGAGTCTTTAGAGGGGGAGGAGCATGAAGGGGGTGGTCGGGAGATGGCGTCATAGTTGTCCCGCAGACTGCATGCTCAGCACATGAATGTGCACTCTATGTTTCGGTGATACGGTAACGATAGCTTCCAGCCGTCATGATGACATTGTGGTGCACTCGGAGGGTCGTCCATGGACTCGCTATTCCAGGCGAGATCGCCATAACGAAATTCAACCAGATAATTAATCCACAAATGCGGGCAGCGCCTCTTCAGCGGTTCGTGTCCGCCAGGAAGATCGCATTCCGGCTCCGGGATATCAGGGCTCACGTTCTCAGATAGCTTGATATGCAAAGAACTCGACAGTCCTGTATCGGACGTGGCTAAGGCTCCTTCCCCACCCCACGGCTCGTCAAAGGAGCCAGTCGACGAGCCGCCTCTACCATTTTCAAGCGTATATTCAACAGTTACCTTATCTGAGGACCCGGAATATTTTTTCTGAGTAATCTTCAGCGTGCAGGTGGGGGTAACGACGGGACTAGTGGCAGACTCTGGCGAAGGCACAGAAGAAGTTGTTGCCGAATCGTGTACATGGAAGTCACCATCCGTTATTCCTGCAGTCGAGGGGCCAGGCACAGTGGTTGAGGTGGGTCCTGTACCGATGTCCGGCTGGACACTTCCATCATGACTCGTGGACCTTGATGTAGTGAGGGTTGCAGATGTCAAGATACTATGTGAAGTAGTGTATTGACCTGGCAGTGCCAGGCTCTGTGAAACTGCATATTCTGTGGTCGTCGTGCGAATTGTGTCTGTGATCGTAATTGTCACTATCACATCGGAGGTGTTATCAGAAGTGGTGTGCGAGCCAGGCTGGCTTTGGCAAGAGGCCGGAGGCTCGCACACCACTTGAACAGCGCTCAACAGAACAGCGGTCGCAATGGAGGCTAGTGTATGGTGCTTTGTCATCCTTGAAATGGGCCTGTTTTGGCATAAAGAAGTCCTGGAATGGAAATGCCCCGGCGACACAAGTATATAGATGCCGCTAGCTAGACGCTTATGCCAGGCTTTCATTACTTGTATTCCCATAATCGCGTGACATAAACACCTGTCATTAATGAGGATGTGTCCTACCAGTCCTTGGCCCCACCTTCCCCCACAATTGCAACATTTTGTCTTTAGGACGCCAAGACTGGTGTGTTTTTTGTTGTGTGTGGGTACCTACTTGGGTATGGGGATGTGTTTGTGAGCGTATCCACAAGCGTGTTTGTGAGGTCGTCAACGAGGCGATTGACTCCTATATTATATTCCACGCTCCTGCACGTCCTTTGGACTTGGTAGTTTTGAAAGAATAGTTGCTGGCTATACGAAGCTCACCTTGGTTGCAATCCAGCGAACAAAGCCAGTACACTATGGAAGAGTCAACGACTGTCACCGCGACCTCGATTGAAGTGCAATGTCCCACCTGTAAGAATTTCTCCTCTACGGGTCCCTACGCAATCTTCCATCGGCAGCTGCTAATCGATAAGATAGGCAGCGATAGGTTCTTGTATGAGATGCAGGGGCAAGTGAGCCGAGCCAACCAGGGCATGGAGTCGGAACCGGAGCTGGGCCCGGAGCTGCAGTCAGAGATTAAGCCCCTCGAGCGAGTGGGGTCTGCTGGGCCGCGACTCCAGCGTTCGGACAAACCGAGCCCGCAAACACCCACGACAGAGCACGAAACGCAGGGGCCGTGCACAGAAAGATACACAGACGACGGTCGCAGCGTGGCAAGCAACAGCAAGCGTGCTGATTCTCGCGGACGCTCAAGTCACCGAGATCGCTTTTCCTGGAGGGCCCGGGGCCGTTATGGAGGCTCTTATGGAAGCGCTGAACGAAAAAGGGGCATCGAGCAGCCATACTACCCCGAATACGACTGGCCCTACCAAAGACGTGATCGTTCTGGCTGCTCGAATCGAACGCGAGACTACGACCCAGATGCCCCATCTGATCAGGACCAACGTCGCTACAACCGCCGACTAGTCAATTACGGAAACTAGCATTGTCGAGCAGGAGACGCTTCATCCCATCCTGCGCAGTTCTCCAGAGGTTTTGAGAAAGGACAAACCGCTGGCCTGCAGCCACATCTTGCGCCGTTCCGTCGGAGCAAGGAGCATGAAACAGCAGGCGGTCCCACGATTCACCTCGCGCGCACGCCCAGGCCAATTTCGCGCTTAGAGCTTGAGATAATGTCTGCCTGCATGACTGAGACAAGGCGGTGCTGTGTGACAGGCACAGCAAGGGGAGGATGTGACGCGGGTTTGTGGACCAATGTACCGATGTAGCGCCCGACGATCGGCGATTGGTTTGAGGGAGGTGTCCGGGGTTGCTGCGACAGGACACAATGCCTTGGCCCCACAAACCCGGGCTGGGCATCACACGATAATGCCTCGACTGCTTCCTCGGTTTTCACCACTCCCGCCCAACAGACCTTCCGCATTCGGCCCAGTCTCAACCCTTGTTGTGTGTGGCACGGTGTGTGATTGTCTTGGCCGCAGGTATGAAATCCTTGCTCAGACGTGGAGGGACAAACCCGAAGCCTTGCAGCCTCGGGCTTTCTTCGACACGGCCCCACATGGCCGGTGCCTTTGACGACACCGACGACACACGAACCGGCCTTCGTCCGCATGTAAGCAGGCGTTCGTCCGGGTCCGTAGCTCCCTCAGCCCGGCATCCAGCGAGGGTTCATGACTTTGCTGGGTGGGGCACAGCCTGACTTGGAGAATGCAGTTTTGTTTACCCTGTTGTGGTCTTGGCTACAATGGGCACCAGCATGCTGGTAGCGAGTGGCCCCACCTGCCAAGCCTCAATTACGGACGCCACTGAAAATCTTCCACAGAAACTCTTCCACGGAAACTCTTCACGAAATGAGTACCACGCGACACTCCGTCTCCCCCCCGGGGAGTCCCGACAATCGCGGTATCTCTCGCCTATATGGCGGAGCTGTGTCAGTCAGGCACGGCTCAGCCTGCCTGCCATAGTGGCACTTGACAAGTCCTGGGTGAGTCGTCCACGCCGGCGGACGAGCGCGCGCGTCATGATGCCGACACGAATGCCGCCCCTGCCGCCTCTACCGGCGAACAAACAAACCGGCTCCACAAACATCTAATGCCCGGGGCAGCAGGGATTCTTTGTAGAGTTGCAATGGGAGAAGCCTGGGCACAGGACAAGACCATCACGTGACACCCGCCGGGCTCAAATGGTACAGCATCTACCTGCCACCCGGAGGCTAGCCGTAGCACAAGGTCGTAGCGCACAGGAGCGATTGCATTCGTGAGGGAGCAGCGAGCATTCCAAGCACCCATTATTGTCAGAAGGCGCCGACAACATACTATGCAGCGCTTGAGGTTTGTGTAATGTTGGCTTCACAGCTTTGCAGACTGGACTCGAGGATCGAGGCAGGGCGGCATCCATTTCCTCCACCACATGGTGGCGGCCGCAGCTGCCAACATGTCTGGATCCACCCCCGAGGACAAACATCATGAGCTCAGCCGGTCCGATCCCATGCCATATCTATGCTGTTGGCTGTACATTGGTCCCGACAGTCTGGTTCGCCCATGCTGCAAGACAGGGCAAATTCGTCACAGCTATTCGTGAGAGATTGCAAGTCTGCCAGACTCGAGTCTGGACATGGCTATAAAATCTGCGCGAGCGCGGGCAACCGCCATCGAGTTCAGAATGACTAGGTAGATTGGATGAATTGAAGCCGCATTTGAGCAAATCAACCCAGGCAAAAGATGGCACGAGCAAGAACGAAGAAATCCACGCCCCACAAAAAGACGACTCACAAGAGACCCCCAGCCAGGCACGAAGAGACCCAGCTGGAGCTTACTGGCCACGAGTTTTTGGAATGGGCGGTGGGCGAGTGCGGGACGAAGCTCCCAGAGGGCACTGCGGCGTCCTACTTCGATTTGCGGGTTTGGTTTGACAAGCTCACCAAGGACCCGAGAGACCAAGTAGCCCGGGGGCGATGGTTGAGCGGTCTACTTAGTACGTGCCAAGGTAATGACATCGCGCGCATCCCTGAGAACAGGAACAGTCTGCTGACGTCCACCAGTGCTTAAAGTACGAAAGCAGACGAGGATTATGGTGGCATGCAGAAGGTTGCAAGGAGTTTGCGCTGTTGAAAGCCAGGCTCAAAGTGCACCAGGCTAGGTTACGTGCGCAGACACCACTCGAAGCGCCAGCGCCAGCATCTCCCCAGACTCAAGCGCCCCCGCCGCTTGCGCTGCAACCTAACGACCCAGCACAATTTATCTGCCACGATTGGCACGATCCTGGCGCCCATGTCGAGCCGTTGACCAGCGAAGTCTGCGGAGACGTGCACACCCCTCATTCCTCCATGACTTACGACGATGAAGATCAGCGAGCGGCAGATCAAGCACTTTACTGCGTTCCTGCTGACAATCAGGAATCCTCGAGCCTCTGTGCCAGCAGCGAAGATTGGGGAGACGTGCACACCCCTCATTCTTCGTCCACTTCCAACCTTGCTCATCAGTGGCCGCCAGCACTGCTGACTGATCAGGAATTTTCCCGTGTTCCTGCTGGCAATCCGGGATTTTCGAGCTGCTGTGCCAGCAGCGTGGACTGGGGAGACGTGCACACCCCTCGTTCCTCCATAACTTACGAGGAAGAATATCAGCGAGCGGCAGATCAGGCACTTTACTGCGCTCCTGCTGGCAATCCGGGATTTTCGAGCCTCTGTGCCAGCAGCGGGGACTGGGGAGACGTGCACGCTCTTCATGCCTTCCCAACTTCCAACCTTCACGATCAGCGGGTGACCGCACTCCAGATTCATCCCGAGGTTTACTACGTGCCTGCTGGAAATGCGGGATCCTTGGTCCTCTATGACGGCAGCGAAGACCGGGGAGATATGTACACCGTTCATTCCCTCTCAACTTGCAAGCTTGGGGATCAGGAAGTAGTGAGCGTCCAGACTGATCAGGAGGTGGCATTCTACTCTGCTCCTGCTGGCAATCAGGGACCCACGAGCTCGGTCTACACGGGCTCTGGCCATCCACATCAGTGGCCCTAGGGGTGAAGCAGTGAGGCCAGCAGGCGTACAAGCCAATAACGACAATAGACAGGCAGCTAGTCCAAACGAAGCAATTCACACAAAATGTTCGCCCAGGAACCGAATGCCAAACGTAGACTATGGTAATCCACGCTTGTCGTTAGCGTGCTTCCTCCGTTTCCCGGGGTACATGCCCACCTCCCTGCCGCTTCACACCAGTTCAGCGTGAGACTGTCAGCAAGGTGCAGCCTGTCGCAGCGGCTTGCTTTGTCCCGTGCTGTCTGCGCACGAGGTGCAGCAGCTTGACTGCTCAATGTGGTGCACTCTTGGACGGCTACACATGCTGGCGAAAGTATCGTCTTTTCCACTGGTTCAGACAAGGCTGGAGCGTCCCTGCTAGAGTGTTCCTACATGTGGGGTAAATGGTGAGAGGAAGGCGCACAAGCTCGACATCTTGGTGGTGCTGAGCTGCATCAGCCGCCCAGCCCTCGCTTGACCAGCATTTGCGCGTGGCAAATCATCAGTGTCGGACAACGACAGCCGCTTTTATGGAGGCAATCAATGCCCCACCACGCCAGCCGAATGCATGACTGGACGCAGCTCGTGCATAACCCATGCAAGGTACACCCTGCAAGCTCGGAACGGAAAGGGGAACGATTCCAGCCTAGGCCCGGCTCAGTGCCAATGGAATCAGCCGGGAAGGCGGCTTGGCGGCTGGGCTGTGCCTCCGGCTTTTTGCAGTGCATCAATTCCGCCAAGCGAGGGGGTTTGTTTGTGGACTCAGCACCCCAGGATGGTGCGCGAGTCCCCTTTCCCATGCCGCAGGCAGGTGGAATCGTCGCGTCACACAAACCCCCACTCTGACAGGGCAGCACAAACCCCCATTCAACCAGAGTCGAGATTCCTCAAGGCTCCTTTGGACCTGTCCGCACTCATGAATCATTAGTGAATTGATCCTGGCTAGGCACTGCACAGGGTAGCCATACCGATGCACGCGCGGCATGCTCGGGAGTCCCATCTGAGGGCAGAGGTCTGGAGCGGGCGGTTGGCCCGTCGTCGAGATTATCCTAGTGGGTCCGCCTGGACGAACATATGGGGAATGGGTTTGTGGGATAAGGTAGACCGTGTAGGGGGCCATGCTACTGAACAAACCCCCAATTTCTTGTCCGGGCTTCCCAGGTCTGTCTGGGGTCCGTGCGTCAGCGGCCCCCTCAAGCACTTGACAGGGTGGGGCTTCTGTACCCATGAGAACAAGTGGAAAATTGTCGGCGTTGATCCTATCGGGACGATTCCGTAAGTCGGCTCTACGCCTGGTGCTGACGAACTGGTGGTCCATTTCAGACTGAGGACACAAGTTCGGAAGAATGAGTATAGCATGGCAAGCACTGTTGGCAAGACTGAGAAGCCTGTCCATGATGAGTCAGCAAATTGCTGCTTGGGATCGTGTCCGTTTGTTTCTTATACCATACAACCGGAGTCTTTATAGAGTGGGGATGGTGTCCACTACTGTACTAGCCAGGATGTTCTAGGTTTGATCTTCTACTATGTAGCTATCCCAATGTGCATAATTGGGAGTTGCGCCTCCATACGCACGTGCTGGCGTGTACATACCAGATTCACCCTTTTGGCGGAATCCCGGTCCAACCTTGACAATTCCACCAAGTCATCAGCATCTGCGGGTCAATGTATGGTTCTGAATGATGTCGGTTTGTGTTTGTTTGTCTGTGTTTGTCTGTGTTTGTGTTTGTTTGTCCGTGTTTGTCCGTGTTTGTTTGTGGATGTTTTGGAGGTTTGTTTGTGGGTGTTGTGATTTACGTCTCGCTGGTCTGAAACTGTCCCAACTCTGTGCCTGCTTGGGCCTCAGATAAATCATCAACGGCCACGTTCTGCCTCGATTGAGAAACTCATGGTAACATGCAAGATAGCTGTGCTTACGTTTGCTTCGACCTTCGACCTTGTTTGATACGTTCAGAAGATGGAATATAGTCGAGGGCACACACGTCGTCCCAAGCCGCAGGAGGAGTTCCACGCCATAGTCACAAGTGTTGTGAAAGAGGAATTCGCAAAATGTCTCACATGGATCGTCAAGCACGGCGAAACCTATGTCAAAAAGACTGCTGCACAAGCGGCAGCTGACGCGACAAATGCCTGGCTTGAAGATCCGAGCCTACGAGGCTGCGTGCAAGCAGAGCTAAAGGAGACTCAGATCAAAATCGAGACGGCTGTACAATCCATACAGAGCATCACCGAAGATATGATGCGACGAAATCGACACTTGGAAGAGCATCAGCAACAGATCATCTCCACGATGGACAACAGGCTGATGGCCAGCTATTCGATGAATGAGGCAAGACAGGCCGAAATAACAGGCCTCATCGAGAAGATGCATGGGCATTTGCAGACCACTGTGACGTCCCAAGCCTCTATCACACAGAAGCTTGTCTCGTTGGGCGAGGCTGTTGTCTTGAATGGCACACAGGCTGAATCCATACGTTCTGAGGTCTGGGAGCAGTTGTCCAACATTGGAGAGCGATTCGATTCTCTGGCGAAACTTCATTATGCTGGCGAGAGAGAACCTGCTCTGACTCCCAAGTCAACACAAGATAATGAGCCCCATCAGGCAATATCGACAATAGAGAGGTCGACCAAGGTTGCGAGAAGTGCAAGCCCGAAAGTGGATACCACCGACGGCCCACAGTCGCGCAAACGCAAGAGGCATGAAGAGGAAACACCAATACCAAGGAAGAAAACGAGGATACAGCCACAAAGGAACAAGGCCAAAGGAAGGTTTGAGAGCGACAAGCAGGAAATACTCGACTGTAGTGAGTGTCCATTACCCGTCAAGCCCGTCTCGCAGATCGACTTTGGCGAGGCCGTCATCGAATGCTCAGGCTGTCGGACATGGATGCATACAATGTGCAATTTTGGCACAAGGGAGAAGGAGGAGCTGCCTGACAAATGGTGGTGCCCCCGATGTCGGCCTCGCAAGAGACCGGTAATCCGACCAATACGTCGTTTGAAAAAAAGATGATTGACTTTCCTTTTGGATCGTTTCAACTCGCGGCATATATGTTTTAGTAGTAGGTGACAGTGTTTTGCTTAATCAATTCTGGTTTAGGGCGCCAGAAGGATTCTCTGAATCCAGTCAATAGCATGTTGGCTGCATGTCACCCTAATCGCCCCGTGGCGGCCTTAAAAGCCATTGTATTCTACCTATTTCTACAACAGTACTCTAAATTACGTCCAGATTTGTGCATTCACCGATAGTCTTACATATTGATAAAGCCAACATGACCCTCAGCGCTATGCGCACGTGCAGTGACACGGCGCTGCGACGCTGGCTGCTACAGTTGGCATGAAACCAGCCCCTATTCCAGATGTCGTCGAGGCAGCTCCTCCCAGAATGGGCGCAAAGATGTCTGCGAGAGAAGAGTGCGACGGAGACCCAGAGCTCGTCTGGTGCTCTGACGCCACTGACGTGGATGTCTGGTCAGGAGGCGTCCAAGGTTTGGTTGCTGTTGGTGTTCTTGCTGTAGTCGGATTTGGTAGCCCCCCTTCGTTTGGTTGCCCGCTTGATAGTGGCATGGCCGGGGAGCTGTGCGAGGGCTGTGGTTGTGTGAGCATCGTCGTGCCGTAAGGCTGCGTCGGGTTTGGCAGTGAATTAGTCGCATGGGTCGGCAGGGCCGGATAGCTGTCAGAGGATTGCGGTTGCGGGGGCATAGCACTGGTGTACTGCGGCCTTGGAGTCGATGGTGAATTAGCGGTGCTAGAAGCCGGCAGACCTGGGATGCTATGCGAGGATCCTATTGGCGTGGGATCCGTGGGCGGGTATTGCAGGGCTGACCTGGAGAAGGTGCTCTGGGGGAGAGAGTTTGGCCCGTGCCACGTTGAGTTGTTTGCGTATGCATGACAATATTGCACAATGCTATTTTCGTCGACATCGTAACCTTCCACCTTTCCTTGGATTGTTCCGTTAATGCAAAGTGACTCGCCGTTGCAGAGCCAGGTCAGCGTGTACGGACCCAACGTCGTATTCTGGAATAGAGACAGCTTTTGCTCAGGCTCGTTACTACAGGAACCGAAGTTTTCCACGTCGAGTAATACAGTTTTGTTATTGCTGAATGAGATTGCTGCCGCATGGCAATCAGCATCTTTCGGGCCGGGGATGGAATTCTCTTGACCAGCCCACAGATATTGCGGTAGGCATTCATGGGCATGCCTTTTTGGGGAAAGCGATGCATGCACAGAAGCCAGCCAACTAAGCAGAAACACCAAACGTCGGATCATTAGACCAAAAGCAAAGGCCCCGAGAAACCATTCTTATACTACGTGGAAGAAAGGTTACCTAAATACGTATGCTACTATTATGTTACACGATAACATCCTGACGAGAATTGCACTGAGAGCACTCTCTACAGGGCTTCCTCTAATCAGGTATTACCATGTAAGGGGTATCGACTGTTCTCATCAATCATAGAGATGATGTCAGATTGTGCTAGTCTTGGGGGGATTTCTGACGTCAGCCCGCGCACCTCCTCCTTTAAGCTAGTTAACTCCTCGTTCCACCGACAACGGGTGACCTCGCTTGTATGGTGTATTCTTTGTAGAGGTGACCGACAGACCATCGTTGGGCACCGGAATGTAGCTGCGAAAGTGCGCTCGAGGACCTCCAGCTGCGTCCAGTCTGTATTGCAAATGCTACAATGCCACATAAGTCGATCTTCTTCCTCGATATGACTATTCAGGACCTTGTCCATTACATCAATCCTATGGGTAACAGCGGCAAGGAACACACAGTAGTCGACATAGAAGTAAGTTCCGTGGATGGGGTGATCGTGACTATGGCCAGACTGTAAGCCTATCACTGAGATACGATGCGGTGAGCCAGACCTTTGAATGATGTAGTGCTCCTTTAAGGCGGCACAAATTCTCAATGTTTCGGCCTGGCTAAGTCCAAGCCTCTGAGCAAGCCACGTGTGGTTTGCCCTGCTAAGTCAGTGGATACCCTTCGGCTTCCGAGTACGAGTAGGTTACATACAGTTTTCTGCGAGATAACTCTCTGACACAAAGACGATATTCTGGCTTGTCGAAGCATAAGCTTGTCACTCTGTTCAGCAGGTTATAGCACCTCTCCATGCTGGATAAGTGTCAGTCGCACGATAGTCAGAAAGCCAGCGGCGCGGGAATGCGACAATGGGGTTCTTTATGCCACTTCTCCCCGCCATTTCGGGCTTCTGTCACAAACAATGGATGAAACATCGTCACGTACACGGTGTGCCACTTCCCAGGTATGTTTGTCTTGGTTGTTCTTTGCCCAACCGTTCAGGCTGTACCCGCTGCCTGGAGTATCATACCTACAATAGGACATGGACTACCCTACAAGTAGCGCCGACATCGGACCATAGCACGTGTAGAGCTCAAACAGTTGGTACCCACTCAGGCCTTTCATGCTCATGATGGCCCGTCAAGGACCACTAGTACTGAGAAAAATACACACGATGTACTGATCTCTGCGTGGAGATTCATACTGCAGCATATAACTCCCTTGGAGAATATTACGAACGGAGTCAAGACTTGATAAGAAGACCAGGTCGACGGTGTCGTCAAGTGTGGTCGGAAGCCTCGGCACTGTTTGGGGCCGGGCAATATTGCTCCACTGCTCGCTGAAGTGGAATACTCAACGCTCACGCGAAGAACTTAGTGAGCTCAAGCACAACCAAATATTTGACTGAGATTTTTGAGCGACATCCCCAGCTCAGAGCAGGAAGGCCGCCTTGCGTGCCATTCAGCTGATGGGCGAGCTCGAGGTGTGTGCAACCACTTCAAAGCCCGGAGCCTTTCGTGGCGGTAGTTCAGTAAACCCAGCTAAGGCCAGAACTTTCCACAGATGTATCATTGGGGACGTGGGCAGAGTCCTATCTCGCCTGTTAGTTCATGACAGACTTGCGCAGCTTCAGAAGAAGAGAAACTCACGGCTTTTGTACTTGTTCTGCAACATATCGATTGAGGACAACGATGGCAGCAAAGATAGCGAGGTATGCGTGCGGCCCAAAGATGAGCTGAGTTTCGTGTATCGATAGCATGGACGCTACAAAGTTGGACGCGGTATAGACTGCAGAGTAGGATGGGAGGATTCTCATTTGGTTCAACAGCTTGATCCCGATGCGCGGGTAGACGAACCCGTTAATGACGCGTATCGATGCTCGGTAGAGGAACGGATCACCGGTTAGGTATGCAGCTGCGGAGAGGCAGAAGCGCATCGTGGTGATCGTCTGATACGTTGGCCTAGCGATTGACCGGTCTCCGACCCTCAACCTTGAAGTCAGGGCAAATGCTGTAAAGGAATGTAGTACGCATAGTAAGAAATCGCCGCCAGAAGGGCCCGGGGTACCATGCAAGGCTCTCAGATGGTATCTGCAGATCTCCATGACTGGTATACTCAGATGACATAATACAAGGACGTACTTTTGCAACCTGAAGCTCGGCTTCGTGACTGGAACCGATCGACGAAAGGTGTGCAAGAGAAAGACGCCTGCATAGGACGAAAAGACCCACAGTACCTCGGCAAACTCGATATTAGGCATCTTGACTTATTCATTTAACACGTACAGGAGCGTGTAAACAGAGGTTAGTACCATGAGTCCTAAGAGACACTGTATCTGTGATATTTATAGTGATTCTGCCAGATATTTCCAAGGGCTTATAATGGTGGACGATTTAATATGGACTGGTTTGTTTGCGCAGGCTTACAAACTCTGATTTTCGGCCCTTTTACGCGACGAGAAGACCATACGTATATTAACGCGTGGTGGGTCTAAACGGAATTATACTACTATGGTAGAGCACCACGCAGGAGCCTTGAACAGAAGCAGCAGTATGATATAACAGATTCTACCAGGGACTTCACCAGGGTGCACATATGAGTTGGCATCTTCCCAAGGCATTAAAGTAGCGGGTCCTTGGGACCTACGGTTTGGAGTACCGCGTCAATAAGTATTAGAGTCACGGCGCAATCATTAAGGATGCAATTCCAAAGAGGGACAAAGCTATGTATTGCTACTCCGTTTGAAGATAAGACGCAGATCTAAAGGACGATGAAGGTGCAATCGAGCTATTGGAAGGACCGCTGTCGGCACGGCGGCTTTCTTATCAAGGAGGTACTGACCAGATCTCCACCAGTCTTACGAACTAAGTGGCGTAATTGACGCTTACCTGTCATGTCATGCATGACTCAGTGTCCTCCAACGGCTCCTATATTCGAGCCCATGAAATACTCCTGCGGGGCAGGTTCAAAGCTCTCTCCCGAATTAACGGTGCGAGGTCAACTGCTCGCAAGATGGCGGAAGCGCTATGAGTGAACTTGACGATGAGGGATCCTGTAATATCATCTTTAATGGACCTCATAGATGAGCAGCAGTATGGCATGGTACAGCCCTCGACAGAAGTTGTCAATTCGCTTAGGCCGGAGCCACTGCAAGAGAAGCGCGAAACCCGTGGAAGCCCGATTCCTGAAATCATGGTCCCCCAACAAGATAGTACGAAAACTGTCTCCGAGGCCTCCGATAGACTTAAAGAGATTGGCAATCCTAATCCGGCCAAATTCCCACTCAGAGATTGTCTTGTACGAAACTCACAAGTCCAAAATAGCTCAACCGAGGAAGCGATGGTGGACGTAAAAGATGCCCCATCACCATCTCACGACCTGATGGAAGCACCTATAGTGCCGAAAAAGAGCGTGAAACGGGGTGGGAACTATACTCCGCAGGCCACCAGGTCGCGCACTGAACAAAGCATCGAGCGGCCCCCCGAGCTGACCCAACAGCTTCAGAGCACCGAAATGAACCTTGATTCCTATGAAGATCGTTGTGTAGGACAAACCGGCTTCCTGGTCCCGCTCGATCCACGAATGGAAAATCTTATTCTGCCTGGCTTGAATTCCAGCATTGACTTCAATAAAGTCAATGAACTCACTACACAACGTGGGACAGAAGACACTAATACTAGTGTCGAAAATCACGGCAAAGATGAGGTGCGGATGCATTGTGATGCCCGTGTCACGGGCTACGAGCTGGAAAGTTACAACGGGCATATCGGAGTGAGACTACCGCACGCTGCGAAGAGTCATCCGATAGATAGAGCTAGCAATAATAATAATGTACCAGGCTTCCAGAGGGAGATCAGACAAAGCTTGCTGTCAATCGGTCACAACGACCCAGGAGTGCTCGAAAGTTCTGGCGTGCTCGAAGAAGACTATGCCACAATGAATCAGGAGTCGCTTTCAAAGCTTGCAGGCGTCTCAAGAGATCTCATGTTTGAGGATTCTGTCTCAAAAAACGCCAGAAATGAGAGACAGAGCCAGCCAGAGTACAACAAGAGGAACAGAGAGGTCGCCTGCTACGGGGCGGAGAACCCAGTGTCGCCCCAAGATCTTCCGACACACTTGATGGAACTAGTGGAAGCTTCTATGTTGAAACAGACCGTTGATGATGAAAGAGGCAAATCTTCCCAAGATGGCTCACTGGAGAGTGTCAGTGAACAAGGAGAAGAAGAAGGCAAGAAAGAGGATAAAGGAACCATTTGCTCAGTAGAAGAGAGACTGAACAATGACTTGGCGATCGTGGCAGTATTCAAAGACATTCCAGCGGCCGGAAGTCCGCAACGATCGATTCGAAACAAGCCTATGAGCTCTATATTTGAAAATTCAGACAGTGTTTCACTGGGAGGAGCTGTCTCCCCGAGAATCGAACCATCCCTGGCCCTTAGCGGAGCACGATTACAATATGATAATGCAGCAGATAGCCCGGCCAATGTCGAGCTTAGGCGCCAACTGGAACAAAGGTCCCAAGAATTAGAAAAGGCGAAGGCCGAGTGCACATCTATCAACAACCTCCTACAAAAGGCATACGAAGAAGTGCAAACTGAGAGGTGCCATATTATGGACATTAAAAAGCAACATGAAGTTGCGTTAAATAGATTAAGAAGTGAGCGGCAGTTGGCCGATGAAGAACGTGAATCCCTAAAGGCAAGTCTGAGCGCAGTTTGGGTCCGGGTGTCCACAGCTCCTGTCAATTGTTCACCTGATCAAGATATCTCCGCAGCAGTCAATGCATATCTCAATCGAGTTGTGAGTGAGCGAGCTGAGCTAGAAGAGCAACATCAGACAACTATTCGAGGGCTTGAGGCTTCCCTGCAGTCCATTCTTGCTCGTCACCGGTGGGCCTGCCAGGTAAACGAAGCAGACACAGAACAGTATACGCTAGCGGGTCCTCTCGCTAGTACGGTTAGCAAGCTCGCTTCTCTATATGATGAGCTTCAAATGAGGCATGACGGACATGTGAGAAATTTCCGAGATTCGTCAACACAATGCAGTGGATACCCGCGCGGAACTAATACTGGTGCGACTCACGGATTCGAACGGCAGTCAGCAGAACTACATGAACTCCAGGCCAAGAAGTCAAACCTTGAAAGGGAATTGCGGAGCTTGGAGATAGAATACAACGTAGAGGCAGCCCGAAGGAAGGCTGATCTATCTCAACCTACTGAGCAGAGTGAAAGCGATGCGCTACACCAAACACGGCGAGAAGTTCAGAGTGCCGACTTCCAAACTAGATTCGGCACCCCTGTAGAGATTGCGAAATATCTTGATATCGCTTCGGCACACCAAGACTTAATTGAGGATATTCATGCATCCTTGGAGCGCGCGAAGCAAATTGAGGCTCTTGGTATGTGTAACCTGGAGAAAAGAGCAAACCCTCGCGAAATGTTAGGACAGCTGGATGCGGCATATGGTACACTCGACAAACTTTATAACGAAGAGAAAACTCGATGTTCGAAAGTCAGGCAGGAGCTTTCGAAACTTAATGAAGCGCATGCATCCACGTCGGCGCAACTGAACGAGGCCAGGAAAGAATGCCAACAACTATCAGAAGATGTAACCAGATTCAGAACCGAATTGCACCAGAAGGTTTCGACAACGAACAAGCCCATCCGCCGGCCCGATAGCGTCGAGCAGGCACCAACGGGCACGTCCACTAGCAAAGGTGGCTTGGGTAAGAGTGGCGTCTCGTGTGAAAAGACCATGCAAGACTTAAAGGCCATCCGCGGCGACATAAAAGCCCTCCAAAACAGCTTCATCACGAGAGGCATTAAACAGCCAGACACAAAGTGTATACAGCCAACTGAGCCGATGACGGACGAGATACGCGCGCTGAAAGCGCAGATGTTTGAATGGTTGGACTTTTGGACCCGGCAACAGGAATTATCGTACGCAAACATGAATAGTGAACGGATTCGCCGACATAGTGTTGGGTGCAAGCAAGTCCAATCCTCCACCTATGAAAGAAAGATATGCAAACTTGAAGAGAACCAAGAGCAATTGGAGTCTCGTCTCGCTCTAGTGGAGGCGGGCTTAAAGGATAAGGAAATAACAAAACAATCGAGTCTTCAGGCCTTGGAGGTGGAAGAATCTCAGCTCGCCCCCATGCACTATGAGATAATGACCCCCACAACGATACTTGGGGAGAAGGACGAAACTTTTAAAGGGGCAATCGAGTACACTTTAGACATGCGGAAAGTTCTCCCAGAACTGGTTCAGATTCACAATCATCTTTGCCCGAAACCCACACCATACGCGGACACTGAAAGCCCACAACGATGGGTCATCGAAGCGCCAAAGAAAGGGATCGCGATTAGATCTCAGAGGAGGAAGAAGAGAGAATACCACTGCGGGGAGTGCGGAAAACCAGGGCACAATTCACGCTCACATAAAGCGCCCCCCATTGTACCTCAGACCAGGCACAAGGTACCAGAGGACAGGCGACGTCGCAGACAAGACTCTATCGCCTAATTAATGTTATCAGAAAGAGAAATGTTCAGTAATATCTATAAAACTGTTCATACAGTCGCACGATTTGGTGTAATATCAGGCGTCATTAATTAAAAAGAAAATGTTCAAGAACCGTTGCACAAACCAATTCCTGCATGCGCCTAAACCCCGGTGCCTGCGCCAGCAAGAACAGTTCTAAGTATGTCTGGCCGAAAGCATTAACAGCTATGATCTTTCTTAGATTCAGGGAGACGATACACGAATTGCCTTAGTATAGAAACATCCCACGCCTCCTACTTATTGAAAAGATGAAAAGATCTGTACCTATATAAGACCGGCTCAGTACTCGGGTAGAGCGGCTTGGATGCTTCCTATTGGCCGCCGAATCAACCGCGCATAGGTGCCGCCTCAGGCAGTGCGGTGATGGGCAGCCGGAGTAGGGGCGTAACCAGGACTTTTGACAGTCACGGTAGCAATACCACAGTCTTTTGTCGCATACCTATCCTGAGCGGAAGTCGGACTCGCTTGAGGAGAGTAGACCTGAGCTCTCGAGCAGTGGTGGCCACAGGTGCAGATGAATGGGCAGGAAACTGGCGAGAGCTAGGTAACTGAAGAGCAGAGCTGCTTTTTCTGGCTTGGCTGTTGTCGTGAGCAGCACTTGACGCATCATCGTTCACAGCTTGGTTGCCGACATTCCAACCGGAGAGTGTGACATTGTTGGGCAGCGAACTGAACTTCTCATGTACTCCTGCATTGAAGAAGTCAAACGGCTCGAGAATCTGAGGCTCAAGGTTGCAGTTCTGGTCGGTACTAAGACCGCCCAGGATGAGCGGGCAAGTGTCCATGCCCGCGGTGCCAGTGTTGCAGGTATTTATGATGGCTTGAAGGGTGTCGGGGTCCCAGCCTGAGATGAAGTCGGCGTGAGAGCTGAAGCCAGTCACATCCCCGTTGGCAAAAACGAAGGGCTGTGTCATACCATCCTCAATCCACTGCTCGTCAAATTCGGGTGTGTTCCAGTAGACCTCAAAAAAGAGACGGGGGACATGGATGTGGCCCTCAGGGCAATCTTTGTAGCCGTTCCCAACGTCCTTTGGCCATTCCATGTTCTTGCGGTAATCATCAAGGCTGAACGCAGGATTATAGCAGGAGGGAAAGTGAAGATCCTGACGGAGAGGTGAGGCGTAACCATTACACTTCTTGACAGGAAAACCGACTCCGGCGCCGTGATTTTGAGGGTCCGGGATGCCAGCCCGGCTCCCGTCAGAGTCCGGGGGGTAAGCGGGGGCGTTGTAGTTCGAGGCCGGACAAGTGAACTGGATATTATTAAAGTGAGGCATGTTGGGATCGAGCTGGATGCTGTAACCCGTAGGAGGGTCTCGTTTGTTGGCGTCGCCGACGAGCATCTTTAACCCTGGTGGGAAAGGGACAAGATCGTCGTGAGTCTTGTCGAAAAAGTAATAGACGTTCATGTAATACATGCTTACCTTTTGAAAGCTGCCATCCTTTGCGAAAAAGAGTTGGGGAACCCAGTAATTACTGAAGTCACGCGCAATTTTGGCAGTGGTACACTTAGAATTCCTGAGCAGATCGTCTCCCTCAATAGTAAGATCAAAGGCATCACCACCCTGGATCATATGGTAGTGGTGCGAGGCAACTCCGGGACTAACAACTGGATCCATTCGCCCCTCCGTTAGAGGCTTATGACCATTGAAACGTAGAACAGTAAATGTAGCAGCCTTATGAGACGCGGTAGCCAACGTAGCGAAGGCACTAAGGATAGTACCAAACCGCATAGTGATTGTCAGGGTGCCTTTAGGATGTATTTTGTACGATAGGATACAAAGTGACGCATAGGATCCTGAAGGCTTGATAAGATGGATATTATATCACGAGAAATCTCGTGTTACGTTATTCTATCTATATGAGGAGAAAATACCATTTGAGTCCTGGTTACGTGGGTGACCAGAAGGAAAAGAAGGTCTGAACAGGCGGAACGGGTGTAGAAAGCAAGTGAACGAAATAATGTATCCAGTCTATAAGATAGTACGGAAGTGTTTCCGAGAGTATGTGACTGATTGAATAGCAAGGTAGCAATATAGCCCTCATTATTACCTAATTCTATGTCATAGAAGATCACGTCTATGAAAGTACGAAAGGATTATTGTATGATAATAACCTCAACAACACCCTAGTGGATTGTGCTCCTATAAATAGGACTATTGGAGAGAACATACTGCTGATATACAATGTCGTTGACGGATACAAAGACTAAGACCCAAGGAGAAAGTAACGAGAGACCTTTACCTCCTACACCACCTCCCTCACGTCTAAGCGAACGCCCGATCCGCTTAGATGCCCAAAGGGTTACCTGGCGCAGCTAAACTATAGCTTCATATAGATCCACATAAATATTCTAGATTGCCCAAGCAACTATAATAAAGTTTATTGTAGGGGACTCCGGGTTGTGATATGAGTCGTAGAATCAATTATATTAGCTACAGTAGCCTTAGCATTCACAGCTCTTGCCTTGTATATTATCAGCTAGGTGTTAGAACTTTCTCGGTCTCCCCATCGTAGGCCCTAAGCCTTTACTCTACGGCGAGGTATCTATGTCTCGAATCTTTCTTACACTGGAAAGGATAGGTACAATCTTTCCAGCAGTTTGTATGAGACTTCAGAGAGGAGTGTAGCCGGAGATTGCCGTCGGCACAAATATAGTCCAGACAACCTCCGCCGCCAGTATGCTTGTTAAAACAAAAGCGATGTCCGTCGTGAAGACATCGGTGTGTGACAGCTAGTGAATAGACCTCATCACACATGTGGCATTGCCACAACCAACGGATGCCCATTTGCGAAACAAATGGTCCTTGAGGAGCCGCGATGGGACACTAATAGCGGAATCCCAGATTATAATTAGCAAAGTGATTGTCAGCACAACGTTACTACAACCCAAGTCATAATGACGGGTCGGAAACCCTTGGAACAACCTATTGCTTTAGTCATGTGTATGAACGCGTTCAGTGCCTCATAATGCATAAAGTTTGCCGTGGCATAATATGTCTTAGTGATTAGAACATAGCAATACCTACTTCAATCATCTATATGGAAAGTCGCATGTCATCAGACAAGACCACGACACCATATCAATCAGTGACAAGACACAACCACGCACTTGGGACTTTCATCTTGCAGGTCAGAGTAGAGTCGTGCTTGTATCGCTGTCTCGCAGCTTCGTGGTGCCGGACAGCCATGAGTGGAAGTTGCTGGAGGTCATTGCCTACGAGCATGACCTTTAGCGTGCACTCAACCAGCCTCGAGTTTCTTATCCGTCATCGCCCGCGTGATCTGAAGTATCGTGTTGCTCTTCTGCGAGTCAACAGTCCCAGTTAGGTCGCTATTATCTGATAGCAGGCTGAACATATCGATACTCAATCTCTCATTAGGACGAGTCCGCCGTGTATATCTTGCCCCAACCAGTTGATGAATTCCTGTCTCCCCATCCTGCCCACATCAGTCTAAGCGATCCACAATTTGTTATCGTACACACCCTTGTCCCTCACCTCTTCTACATAGCGGCATACTACGCGCTCAATATGATTCATTGCGTATATAGGACCCGATGATAGCCAAGCGCGAGGATGGCGGGCACGTAAGTGTGCCTGGTATAATAACGGAGCGACCTTAAAAATGCAACTAGGCAATTGATGACCCACACAAATCCAACATGATCTCCCTCATTCCCCAGCATACTTCAGACGCTCGACCTGCAGCTAGACGAGAGGCAAGACCCTGCGAGATTGAGGGTCGCGGTGTGGTTCTGGACGCGTCATCACCCTTTTTGGTGGTGACCAGAATTATAATAGCAACTACCCTGTCGCTGGCGTCGGCCGGCTGAGCGCCTTCGACTAAGATCTGCGCTGTCCCAAGTCCTGCATTTCGCGGACGGTGTCCCATCCATTTACTCTAAACATACCAGCATCCCCAAGTAGTGCTGGAGAACTCCTATAACCTGTAGATTCCCGTGCGCTGATACACCTACCTCGACATTGTCCGCCTCACGGGCTGCATGGAAACTAGGCGAGATGAAATAGCAGATTCTCCGTCTGTGCGGAGAGCATCGACACTACACTCGCCGCAACGGCGGGGTTCACGGTGGATATAGATGACCAACTATTCTGCTGCAGGCCGAGAATTGTGCTGCTGAGGTTGGTTGTGTGAGCTGTTGAACTAGCTAATGCTGACTGGCAGTTCTGGACCATGAAAGCACGAGTGGGAGCTGTTAACCTTCCGAGCCGTCTCACACTGCAATACATGCAGTACGTGTGTCATGGGAGATTTTAAATGACATGTTCGAGCTAGGCGCCCCGACGGGAGTGCGATACAGTACCCACTAGGCTAGCTGGTCATGAAGAAGGGGAACGGTGCTCAGAAAACCGCCACTAAGGGGGAGAATGTCTTTGCGAGTGACATAAAATCCTTGGACCCAGGCACCCAAATCAACAATAACAACAAGGCTGCTCGAGATAGGATGACGCAGAAATGGTCGAGCGATGGCACGAGCATCAGCCTTAGCACGGCGTCTCGGCTCACAACGGTTACGAAGGTGCAGTGCCTTCAGTTTGCCGGTGCTCGTGAACCTTTGCTGTCAGGGAATGTCAGCAGAATATCTCGCCCTACCGAGGGGAACCACTAACCATGTTCACTCTCTTATACCTCGTGGAGCCATTGGAATGGTCCTGTATATCTACTGGCAGCCCTAATGTTTCTAGCACGGAACAGCGTTCCACAATATGCCGCAAGTCGCTGGTGGTGTAGTTGTAGGCTGATTTAAGATCGTGCTCTTGCCGCTTGCTATCAAGCACAAGGTGTCGAAGATTCTTTGCTACCTTGAATATAGAACCAATGGGGAACGGGCTCATTGCTAAAGAGAGGATTATAGAGAGGTCAACCAAGGTTTCAAAGGGAGCGATTTGATGTAACAACTGAATGATGTGGGGTCGATTATAGTCCGTTGTCTTAACGAAAAGTCGTCGAAGGCGCGTTGGCGGGCAGGCTATTAGGGCTTTGAGGAGAAGGCTTGTGTTCTTGCATCTGATCACCTCTACGCTCTCCAAGTCTCTCGTTTCAAAACTGGGCAACAGGCCAATATCTACGTTCTCGAGACGAATTTCCCTCAGAATTGCCATTGCCTTTGGTTGGTCCATTAGTTCTCGGATGGGCGGCTGGTAAGTCGATTTCATCCGTAATTTTAATGAGCTCAGGTTCCGGCAGTTGTTCAAATGCCAATTGGTCCACCTGATGTCCTCATCAGTCTCCAAGGTCATACAATGAAGCGATTGTATGCTTGAATAAAGGGCGTTCTTGTGCACACTGTCCATATTCGAGGAGAAATGGAGCAAGTTCGCAAGCTCACTACTCCCTATGATTGTGGATAGGACAGTCTGAACGATGCCGGTCGGTACCTTGATCCAGGACGACATGAACATTTCCTTGAATTCCAGAGAACGTACGTGTTTCACCAGGTCCTGCCTCAGGATCAATGTTCGCATGAGCGACTCACTGCACGCGCTCAGTTGGCCGGAACTCGCAGTGAAAGAAAGATACCGATATAGATCTGGCATCACAGCTCGATAAAGTGCACGACTGCAACATGTCAGTGCATATTTTTCTCGAGGTGCTAAGTAGATGGCTACTATGGCCCAGACTTCTGGTGGCAGAAAGCTCATCTCGTTGGCGATAGAAGTGATTCGTCTGCCATTCTTCTTGCGAGACAGAACTCCCCATGGATGCGATCACTTATAATGTCCATTCGGGGACACGGTGGACAGGTTAGCCGTGAAACCGTGATCCGCATTACGAGACAATGAGTAGATAATCACGACTAGCCGAAGCTGGGGCGGTGGATATGTACAAGGTGCGAAAGAGACTCGAGGGCGTTCTATTGCAGGGTGAGTCTGCCAAAGTACGGAGTCTCTCAGTGGGCTGTGCTCTATATTTAGAGATAACGTAATGGTCTTATTGCTAGAACAACTACGCTGAACTTTTGCACCAGGCTCATACAGAAGAACCGAATACACCAGGCTTTACCCTACCTTGTGCTCGCTTCATGGTACCTATTACTCAGTGTGCACTATAATTAACCAGTATGTTCCATATCAGGTTAACGGAAGACTTAAGCCATGAGCTGATGAAAGTGAGCACCGCATATTGGGCGCCCATCGAAGGCAAAGTCGACCGATCGGAATGCTTTCCTATTTCGACTAGATCGCGAGCAGGAGTATTAAAAGGTCGGGGTGGTGGAATAATGGATATGAAATTTGGCTATAGTAGTCTAGGAAAAGCCTGCCGACTATTCACCCATATGACAAAATCACCTCCGTGACCACGGTATACGTTGATTCACGAGTTCCCTATACGTTCTGGAGTGACCTGGTATAGACTCAAGAAGGCCAGGAAATAGGGCAGGGCTGGCCTTAATACGTGAGGGATTTCAATATTGATATGCAAAAGTTGGTAAGATTGGCGCTAACCATTACTCCCTCCTTGATATTGGCCATGATTCCGTCAAGGCTGAGTCAAACTTAAGAGAAGAACGGCACTTGGGTAGCGCTTGGGATGCGTTCAGGCTTCGTATGGTTGGGCTTGAGATGTTGCCCCTGTAACTCATTGATTGAGCGGACAATCATGGGCTGAGAGAGAAGTCGTAACAGGACCAGTAGTACATCGTCTTTAGAGGCTTTGGGCCACATGATGGTCTCTGTTCTACGTGGTATCTTGCGGTTGCGGATTCTGCTCCTGTCTTGGATGGCAAGGTTCCAACAACGTCCGGGATGAACTCTTTGACAGTGAGGACAGGCAAAATTGCTATGGTGTCTAGTGGCCAACTGAGCAATATGCCAGCACTCACCAGAATGCCTCTTGTGACAGGTCGAACAACCAGGGGTTGGGCACTCTCCGCCTCTATGGTCTTGACTTCGGCAGTGGATGCAGACTTTCAGGCCTTCATATCTGCATTTGTAGCCATGCCAATTTCCGCAGTCAAGACAACAACGGTAGTTCACCCTAAGCTTGGGGTATTTGCCGGGGCGCGCACGTAGATGGTGGAATGCTAACATTGGGTGCAGTGCGCTGGAGTTTATTCAACATCTTTGCGGCAGGTGTGCCTTTTATTCCTATGGAGTGGTTTTTGAATTAGCCCATGGGGCGTATCAATTACACGTGGACTTTGCTGAGGGCCTCGTCATCCTTCATGTCGGAGGCGCTCAGGTTATCAACTAGTATGGGATTTCAGTTGAACAGTATTACTCATTGTTAAGCAAGCCTAAAGAAATTAGGTAATGGCTCGTTTCTATCCCGGGAGACTCTGAAGAACCAGACAGCACCGTCAACCATATATGCTGGGGCCAATTCGAGCTGACGCACATGGCTACGACTAATCCTTAATGGGTGGCTCCGAACACTTATGCAACGATACCCTCTTACCAAGCCGGTGTAGTAATTTATGTTCTGCTGGATAGATGAAATTCGGAACAGTGAGTGCAATTGTGGTGTTCTCTTCGGACCATCGTGTCTGGGTCTCTCTCCAGCCATCCCACTTTGGTCCATGTGATTCACTATATCAAGTGCAAGAGTGGAATGCCACTTGGAATGATTTCTGTCTGCGAATGGTAATGAGTGTCAGGCAAGGAGATGTTCGTGACTAAGTACAACTCACTCCTCATCGGATCTCAGAGATCTCTCATCGTTGACACATCCGTAACTGACTGTCTAAGATGCATTGTGACTGACCCGCCAAGTCCAAGCACCCGATCTACTGAATTGGGAGCTTCTGATTGAACGACCAGGTCCCGATCTCGAGTCCTCCTAACTGAAGTGTCCGGAAACCCTTAACAACCGTACCCTCCCAGTGATGAAGAATGCTTTTCGTGCACATTATCGATGACACAAACTGGGGCTGTACCGCGCAGTTCGTAATGCTTGCCTTAATGATAATCTTATTGCTTTCCTCCGTTGCCGTTCAGTGATACTACTTAGAAAAGGTTACGAGAATGGGGTATCCTGCTTCTTTCTTCCTGTATGATATCGTCGAAAACTGAAGCGTCAGTCTTTGAGATAGTGTCATAGGTGTTTACTGTTAGAGGGCAGTCGGAGTACGGGAGTCTCCACAGACGACAGCAGCATAGTGTCATGCTCCGGGAGTGAACAACACTATACGGTCTTGCCACATCCCATGAATGCTCCCCGAAACGCGCACATAAGCATATTCCTGTCTCGTAGCAGGGTCGATGCGTCCATCTGGGAGGAATGTGTGACATAGAAGCGGGCTGCGCCCAGGAGCATCGCACTTCTGTGTTCCTGGACGCAACGTCGACGCCACTCGCCAGCTGGGCCAAATCAATATGGCATCGTTGCATAAGTTCTGCACGGCTGTCAGTTAGGAAACTAAGGAAGGTAGAATGCCCTACCCTGATCCGCGTTCAAGAATTTCGCGACAGCCCTCGGTATGACGCTTCTCACATTCCTCCCGACCCAGATTTTGTATAGCCGACGATCATTCCACTGTAAGACTTTGATCCAATATATCTCGCTACGCAGTGTGTATCTCGCATGTATGGCAAAGTGATGAGAGACCCTGAGCCAGATGAGAAGATCTCCTGGACTGGAATAACCTGACACTAAGTACCAGACCTCCGCGGGCAGGGCGCTTAAGCCAGTATGAAGCATGGTGACTGTATCAACGCTTCCGAACAGTGTTTCTTTGCTCTTGCTCAAGATGACTAGAGCACGTATCGAAGGCCGTTCATATAGAAGATTCCCATATGGTAATGGAAGCCTGCGGGGACGGGTTCTGATAACGATTTGTCGAGTTGGATGCCCAGTCAATATCTGGAAAAACAAGCACAAAACCATGTGCTCAACAAGCTTGCTAAAGAGCGTTATTTGGTCACAAGGTTTCCTGGACTCGCGAAATGCCAAGACTCCCACCACTCGCAAATCTCCTCAATGTCCCGAGCATAGTAGTCCGTCTCGCTCTCCTGTTCCCATAGTGTATTCCCAATGGTGGCAAATGAGACTGCGCCCCAGTCCAGGTCGCGGTAAGCACGGCGACTGAGATAGCCGACCAATCCTGACTTCTGGATACGTATTTCAGGTTGCCAAAGCCAAGGTGCGTTAATCGTGGATGGGGTCGAGAGGATATAGACGTATTTTTCGTCCTCCCTGTAGTACACCATTGCGTTTTTCACTCTCAAGCGTGGGGAAAGGTGATAAAGTTCAATTGAATGGAAAGCCTGACAATCGGTTACCTCCACTGCTATTAAGTAGGCTGTAGAAAGCAGCGAGGAGACGCTTCCTGCTTTGAGGTACGAGACTTAGGGCATTAGATGTTGAACAAACAAACGGGATTTATGTGGTATCAACAGTTTGTGCATAAGTAGTGAAGGCCAGGGTCACCGGACTACTGAGAGAGCTGTGTCCATACCACCGGGATTCCGGTAAGTATCAATAGCCACACCTATTGAAGTCCAAGGCATTGCTGAGTTAGCAAGGCGTGACTGTTCAAATAGAACTTCAACGAAATGACTCTGCGTAGACTACTTCTGTTGCTTCAATAATCGACCAATATACAGTAGTGACCACGATGAGTATCCACTTCGGTTATATTAGTTTCGCTTTCCGCACAAACCAGTCATTGTGGCGCATTGTGGCGCCTACAGTGCCAGAATTGGCTTGAAGAATGTACTTCGGCTGAAGGCGGGGTCACGGTGGAATGGCCCAGTCAACCCCGCTCTCTGGTGCTGCCGAATCTCAACCATCTTTTGGCTGTCCTCTGCTCGACATTCTCACTTCTATGAGAGACATTAAACTGCCAGTTGTCCGCTATAGGTTCGGCAGGACTCCTGCCTCGCCTCTTTTCCATCGACTTGTCCCTTGTTATCATGCGTCCACACCCGTAGCTTTCCGACATCTGACGAGTGGAAGTACCGCAATCAAGCGGAAGCACCGACTCCAAGCCAATCGCAAGACGCTTTTCCAGGATTCGGATGGATGAGTCTGCCTCAGCTTGTAGCCATGTCAGCGCCAATAGACACCAATAGAACAAGATTCCGCAACGACTGTATCTGATACGAGCCAGCAGTCCGACCGGTACGAACAAATATATGATACAGGGGATCTCATTCTCCTTCTTGGTCCACACCAAGCGCCATTGAAGGTGCAGTCAAGATGCCTTCGAACGGCATCGAAGGTCTTCGACGTTATGCTTGGACCGAACTGGAGCGAAGGCCAAAACCTCTCTGAAGACAAGCCCAAGCCGGTCGACTTGAGCGACGACGATTTCGGTGCAATGCACACTGTCTGCTGTGTGATCCATCATCGAAACGACCTATTGACGCCAACTCTCGATCCTGCAGACCTTCTCCGAGTTGCCATCGTGGTTGACAAGTACGACCTCAGTGTAGCTATGAAGTTCGCCCTCGCGCAATGGCTCAAGCTTCGAGACGACATGGACATGATACAGCTCGGGTTCATGCTGGCAGCTGCATATCAACTTCGCCATGACGAATTATTCGAGGAAACCACGTTAGCTCTGATCATACGTTGTGATGCTTCTTATTGGTGTCTTCCTGGGCATGAAATAATCAACGAAGTCTTCAACATAAAGACACCTGGAAAAGTACTTTGTAAGTTTTATCTGATAGTCTGTAAGATGAAATACTAACGTCACAGACGTACTTGAGGAGAGACGAAACCGCATGCGAGCAGATATTTTGCGCCTTCTTGGATCATCAGGGCCAAAGTGTTCTTGTGGTTGGGGCAAGGTGCATGCACAGGGTCGTGAAAAGCGTAAGGCAAGGTATGGACCGCTTGACTTATTGAAAACGCCGTTGAGTCAGATCATCGACAGACTTGAAAGGATCCCACTCGGTAATTTGTCCAAATCTCAAAGTTGTCACATCTGGGCTAACATGCATGAGCTGGAGGGGAATGGAGACCCGGCAGGCGAGATAGACATCATGAAGAGGGCTGCAGCAGTGTCTCTGGAGCATATATAGTGGTGGACTTAAACAAGCTGATACTTCTTGCATGAAGGATGAAAGCATTAGTCTCGTTCATTCGCGTAGCAGAATGCTTACTTTTGACATTGCTCCAGACCGTGACCGGTATTTTGCACATCACTACTACATACTAGCACGATTTCCAAAGACCCAGACGCCTAGCCTACCAGGATACATGAAGACTCAATCATGATAGACGATTTGAGATTGTGTGACGCTTTGAGATAGTGCGCACCAATATACACACAGTTAAAAGAAACAAGCGGATCCATATGACCCGTGCGCGAATCGTCTTAATTGAGTTATGTGTGGACACTGACTGTGGTCACTACTGTACTCTATACCATTTCAACAAGACCTGCAGAATGTTGAGGTGCGACGGGGGCGAGATTTGTAGTATTGCAACAGTTACGATATGTCTTATGAGGAGGGATTCGCCGACGCAAGTCATACTGATTCCATCCTAACGTTGCGGGTGAACTCTCGTGGGAAGACGAGACCTTTCGCATAAAATACGTCGTCGGACCCCTGAGCGGATGACGTGTTCAGTACTCTGACAAGACAGCCCATTTTCATTGCGAATTAGTTCAACATATAAAGACTGGTTCAAGGTCTCACATTGCATTTGTTAAGGATGCCGTGCGGGCATAGCAGATGGTTAAGCTTCGTCCGGCACAATGGTAGATCTGCGCTTGAGGCCACGGATTGTCCACAGAGGTTGCTGCATAATCTGCCGGACCCAGACTCGCAGCGGCCTGTTGTGATTACGACAATTGGAAACCGTCTCAAAGTGGAGTTTCTGCGCAGCCTTGGCGTTAACGTTGATCCAAGGAGAAAAGGGGAAAGTCGCAGCGTTATAAACCTATCCATGTGGCCGAAAACAATCAAGGACGACAGTCCCGCAATCTTTATGGACACAGACATCCCTCGAGACGGGTGGAATAGCACCAGGTCATTGAAGCCTGCCGGATGCCACGAGTCAGTCTTCCACAATTGTGACCATCTAGCCAGAGAGAGGCCAGAGGCCATTGCCGATGTACTGGCTCGCAAGGCTCTCTTTCCTTTTTCGGATGTCCTTTGCGTTTTTGCCCCCGATATTGGCGGAGTCGTCAGTGTCGGCAAGCAAATAGCTTCTTGGATGCGAGACAGCCCCTCTACGCCTTTCATGCCACGTCCCTGGCTGATTGTGGTCGTGGAGCGAGCTTTAGAGGGAGAAGCGCTGGATACTATCATTGGAACCATTAGGACCAGTGTCGGCGAAAACGTCTCTGCTCACTTTGCATGTATCCGCGTGGTGAGAGTGGACTCTAAGCCAGCTCAGAGACATCGCCAGTGGCCTTCACTGGCCCAGGAGTTCTCATGCCTCTTTCCAATCTTAGGAGAAGAACGGCAGAGATATGGCTGCCTGTTCACAGCAAGGCACCTCGCTGGCTTTCTACACGATACGGCGGGCGCTTTGACACTTAACTTAGCAGAGAGACCTAACTTAATAAGTGTCTCCAGAGCAAAGTTCCCCCCTGCCGAAGATCATCATGAGCACTTGAGCCGCTTCATAGCGAGTTCAGCGGTATCAACTTGTGAGGAAGCTAAAGAGTTCTTGCTACCTACAATTGCATCAAGCCTAATCCTCGATCATTATGTTCCTCAGATGCACAGTAAGTATTGCTCGTCACGCAGTCGGTTCCTCCACTAACGAATATTAGATTTTGAACCGGATGATGTATTTGAAACTCTGTACCTTGAGAAGTGGAAAAGCGCTTTACAGCGAGCCAATCTATCGGTAATACCACCAGGTGGTGACAACCCTGACCTCATTTGCGCGCTTCGGGCCGCTTTTAGAGACGCATTTCGAGAATATCTTGTTCTAGGATCATCGGAGGAGCTACATCTCAACAAGCTATCCGCTCATAAAAGCAGGTGGGAAGTCGTTCATTCCAATGAGACATGTCTATGTTGTCTCAGGCGCCAGCCAAAGTATTGGTTCTCCTGCGGGCACTCGTTATGTGAATGCTGCGTTGAAGTATTTTCAAAAAGGGACGTTTTCGATCCTTTGCTATGCGAACTTGAGGGCTGTCTGTTATGTGGACGAGTGCTACCCGCGACCCGTATCAAGCTGTGGCCTCGAACAGCTGGGGTTCGCGTTTTGAGCATTGATGGCGGGGGTATTCGTGGCCGGATCCCCTTGGAGTTTCTACGCGTTCTACAAGACCATGTAGCGCTTCCACTTCCGATCCAAAGTCATTTCGATCTAGTCTTTGGAACAAGCTCCGGTACGTGACACTTAACGACTCTTACTGAGCATGAACTGACATAAATAGGTGCCATTATTGCATGTGCATTATGCATAAACGGCTGGGACATCAAAGTCTGTACGGCTACCTTCGAGAGCTTTGCAGCTGAGGCCTTCAAAGCTCGCTTTCCGTATAGAGTACCATTACTGACGAAGATCTACGATTTGTGCCTGCTGATGATTGCGGACTGTCGCTACTCCGCAACAAATCTGGAACAGTCTTTGCAGGCCGTCTTCGGACCGACGAGAAGCATGCTTGAATATTCTAGAGCCTCTGAAATGGGCATCTTGGTGGGGGTTCCTGTCACGACAACTTCCGACGTGAGTTGCCACATATTCAGTAACTATAACGGTAGTGGTCGTCGGGAGAAGACAGGTAAGCACGGACGCTGTACATTGGTTGCATACTTGCTAATCTTTGCAGACTACACTATGGTCAGGCATTCGTCCTCAAGAACCCCCGTCCCGCTATGGGAGATGTAAGCTTTTGCTCCTGATTGAAATGATGAGGGCGTCATGTAAGCTAATCGAAACAACTTATAGTCTGAGATGTTCGACGGCAGCACCGTAGTAAGTCCTAGATGGTTCTCGAGATTGGTCACTGCTAATGGAATATAGCTACTTCCCTGCCAGGCATGTCGACGGCCTGGAAAGATACCAAGATGGGGGCCTGCTGTATAACAATCCTGCCTCCGTGGCGATCAGAGAGGTGGCTGCAATGTTTCCAACTGCTAGGAAACCGAGCACGCTGGTGTCGTTAGGCACGGGATCTAGTCACACGCCTGGAGATCATGCAATACAACCCAAAAGGTTCTGGAATGACTGGTTTGTCCTTCGTGGTTTTAGAGCCTTAATGCAATCTGGAAGCTCAGAGAGAGCGTGGCAGCAGCTGGAGAGTCATTGGAACATATGCAGGTCGGGTAAGATGTTTCGATTTGATGTCGACTTTCAGCAAACAGAGCCACCTCTGGACGACGTGGATAGTATGAAAGAAATCGCCGTCATGGCAAATCAGACAATTCTACGGGCACCACATCTGAAAGAAGCCGCTTGTTCCATTCGTGCCGAGCTCTTTCTCTTTGAACTCGACGAATGCACTCCTTTCTTAGTAGAGGGCGGTTTGTACAAATGCCAAGGGAAAATCATATGCCGACTTGATCCTAGAGTTAGGGCAAGCCATGAGCTTCTTCGGCAGCTTTACAGAAGCAATGCGAAGTTATCAGTCAACGGGGTAGAGTTCGAGCTTTCTTTCGTAACTCCTTGGAGTCACAAACTGAAAAGATCGAATATTCTACCGCGCCCAAAGCTGACAAAGTCCGATTTGACTGATGGACGCACATTCATGCGTGTGGAATTTACTTTATCTAGTCGTTTGGATAAAGTACAAATGGTCCTTCAAGAACAGTCTCATGACAGCCATATAAGTGGCTCCCCCTTCACATTGCAACGACTTCTAGATCAGCAAAATTTAGAACATTGGTTCGGTAATCATAATCACCGTAAGCGAGCTTGGCCAGAACCAGAAGTGCGAGAACGAAGGACAAAAAAACCCAGAGCCTGTACGTCGTAGTAACTACTTAGAGCCATGGCAGGACAAGCTGCTGGTCCGAGGATTAATCGCCAGCGTGTAATACATCCGCTCAGCATTCATATAGCATGAAGTACACAATAACGTAGGGTTTTGTGATTAATAGATTAGGCTCTGTCCTATGTCATTAGAACACACCCTAGTGCCGCGTAAGGTTTTGGACCTTTCAAGTGGGACTGACACCGAAAGAGATTCTGAAGGTCACCTGGACTCGCGATTTCCCCGAGAAGAAGTCACTACGCTCCTTAGATTCACCAAAGCCCATGATGGCCGCCACGCCGTCAACGAGCAAGGCTTCGTGGTAGCCTGCAGCGCGCTGTTCGTCAATTTGTGACCGATTGCCTGCTTCGATCCCAAAATAAGCCTAGTTGCTACGATTGGGCGAGTACTCCCGCCGCCATTTCGTGTCGAGCTTACCAGTCTCCCTACAAGCACTTGCCTTGTTCTTTTTGGAGGCATGTAGGGCCTACGCGGTAAGCTCTTCCACTGCACTCACTATGTTCAGTTGAGTAGCTCGGGGGAGTGTGTGGGATAACTAATCCTTCGCTGCTGGCCTTTGGCTGGGGCGTTCTGGCCGCCGGCCATGCCGAAGCACGTGAGACGCTGCCATCCGCCACAGGACCGATCCCCACGAACACCACGCGCAGCCTTGAGCTGATGGGCGGGCAGGCATCCAAGGAAGCGTAGTTGCACCAGATTAGTAAAGCAGTAGCTCAATGTATCCTAACTCCTGCTCGTTCCCTCATAATGGGGGGCCTACAAAGGCCGTCTGGTCCATAACCGCGGAAGCACCGCGCACCAACAAACTTGGGCAAGGCAAAAACGTACTTTTCACGAAAGTCACCATTGACCTTAAGTCTCTGCATTAGTCTCGCACGCTGCTGTCGTGAGCTTCGCTCGTTCCATGGGAACACGCCATTTGGCGTACAGAGCACTGCCACCTTCTCGCTTGTCCAGAGTCAACGTCATTTCACCGATACTGCTTCATGGACCAACCAATCATCCGTGTGACTGAATTTGCTGTTATGACCAGATCTGGGAACTCGTTGGTAAATTTACCCAAAGATCGCCACAACAACGGCCTTGGTCTCTCCACTGCTTCTTGCGGCATGACTGCGAAGATATCGTGTTTGCAACCTTGTCGACACTGACCTGGAGTGACGCGACCTCGATGGCAACGTAAAGCACGACACTTTCCCTGAGCGTTCCCTGAGCATAGCCCACGGCGCCCGCGGTTTCCACGTTTATCTACCGCGTGCTTCAGCTCCGGAATTGCCCTTGAAATATTTCTCATCAGGTCTGAGACTTCCGCTATTGGAGGAGATTATATGTATATGGAGGTCCCGTTCTCTACTACCAAACGTTCTCCATGATTCAGGCTCACGTGCCCCGCAGCTCTCTTTCTGTTGAGCAAATCGAGTAGTTCGATTGTTACACCAAGAGGATCCCACGTGTCCCCATCTGACCACCAGTCTTGGACATCCGCAGGGAAGTATTAGGACTGCGGAGCTCCTCTGCATGTGTCAGAGCGCTTCAAGAGCGAACCAAGCACCAGATTCCTTGTCGCAACACCATGAATAGCACCGACTGGAAAGCAGTAAGCGCGGGAAAGCTAAGTGTCTGGCAAGAATTAATTATAGAACATGGCTATCATTATTAGTTTAGTGTTAAAATAACAAGTTATGGCACACTCGGGGCTTCCCACCGGCCGACCCACCTAGCCATCTTTGTGTATATACTGTGCACTCCCCACCGATCGACAATGAGAAGGACCCAGGTAAATCCAAATTCACAACCAGGCGAAAGCACTTCCTAGTGGAAATGGACCCACGTTTCATCTCAGTCATTGTGGGCTTTTTTCTGGCTGGCCTATTACACTGTGCCGAGATACTGCTACATCCAAACAGGTCTCCTCTCTTGACACTACTAGGACCTCTCCTTGTTGTCCCGCATCTAGCATTCGTGATACTCCTACTGCTTGGAAATGACGCATACTACCCGGCCGCCAAGCTCCTGTGCATAGGACACCTGTCGGCTCTCCAGGTACGTTCCAACACCTATGCAGCGGCCACGAACCTTTCCTAACTTAACAGCCAGTATATCCTGACCATCTGTCCGATGCTGAGGCTGTATTCAGCGCTCTGGCATCAACAATGGGCAATGTTCTGGCCAGTTGTCCCAGCGATTCTTGCCGCCATGCAGCTCTATCTCGCCATGTTCGGCATGATATCGGGATCGGCCGTTATCATCAGCTGCATCCCTCTAATCACGGGTGCAGCTTCCCTTAGTCTGCCAGGATACGGAATGTTTCATTTTATATCCCATCACTTCAATAAAGGCGGCCCCATCCGCCAAACCTCCATCGCATCTGTGTGGCGAATCGGCGCTTGGATGGTACTGATATGTTCTGGCTTCTTTCTCTCCATCACACTCGTCATACTAGGCGCAGTCTCGGTGGTCGACGACTACGTCGTCTTCAGTGGCCTTACTGCGGTTAATACTGTATTGATATGTGGCGATCTTTATCGTTCATTGAACAAGGTGGAAAATCCCGAAACAGTGTCCGAGGACACTGACTATCTAATCAATGTTTCTGATACTGCTGACAACAGAAGAAAGGCGGATGTGGGTCCGGCTGTGTAGTAGTACAAGTAATCAGTAGGCTGCAGTGCTACAGCTGTCAGTCATTAGGATTACCCATCGTGGGCTCCTTGGGAACACGACATTGGTCACCAAATGTATGGACTTGGGTGTTACTAAAGGGTTTATTAAATGCTTCTTATAACTGCTTGGGGTCTGAAACTTAAATTTGCAAGGGAATGCCTCAGCGATCCCGCGAAGAAGCCTGAAGGCGCAAACTGAACAACCCCGCGATCAGTGTAATATATGCCGTTGGGGGATTCGAAAAAGATAAAGTACGCCGTGTATAAGTTGAACTCCGGAGTGACCATGAGTACTGTTATTACAGCATTGATCGCTGTTGATTCACAAATACGAGCTGTGATAGTAGAGAGGAAACGCGTCGCAATGTTCGACTTGCATATTCCAGTTCAGCTTGGGTTCTGGCCAGAGCCTCCTGTACGAGCTGCAGAGAGGCGAGAGCTTGCATAGCCTCCTCTTCAAGGTCAAGGACGGCTTTCGTCTGCATTGTCGCTCGTTGCAAGGCCATAGTGTTCGTAGGGTCCTCGTCGCAGGCTGGTTTATTCTCACGCTGCTGCTTTGTCGCTAAATACTGGCCTGTATTGGTGAGCCCAGAATTTCATCCTAGCTTTTCGGGGAAGGGGCGATAGAATGTATTATGCTTCTTGGTCGTGGGGTATACCTGAGCCTTCATTTTATACACAAGCTCAGGCGGAACCACCTATTCTCAGGTGTTATTTTGCACAACCAGTAGTAGTGCTAACAACTCGTAAAACGTGGCTTGGTTAAAAGGTCGACGGCATGGTCCCTTAAGCGGGAAACAGTAGGATAACACATGGTTAGAACCATAACAAATCTGTTTATATTGAACAATTGAATAAACGGGAGACATATGTGCTTACCATGGTATGTCCATGGCGCGGAGCCAAGAAGACGTCTCTATTCGTCTTGCTAACAAGTGCAAAGAGAGACAAGCTTGGTGGGGGCCGCCATGGTATCTCGAACCTCAGCGGGCGCTGATGACATCAGAAATCTAATGCGTTTTTCAGTTGAGGTTATATTAGAGTGTGCGTCGTTGATCGTGGACAGATAATGGGGGTGTCTCACGCTACTTGGTCCCTCAGCAGGAAGTGCATGCCGTCCTGTTGTGTGTAGATTATCCATCCGGGTGATACTCTTGTTGAAGATACCATTAGCCAACTACACCCATAGGTGGGTAGGGTGGTCTTTCTTTCGAAGAGGCCTCCTGTAAGAACAGTGCACCATAAGGTAAATCAGCTAGGGGTCGGAGGTCCAATTGAGGTCGCATTACTGCAAAACTAATTCTTGGAGATCTAAGTGCTCTGTCATGAAGTGCACACGTTTCGACCACAATATGGTGTCGTGCCAGAAAGCCCAGTGCAGCTGTCCCGTGTCCACCTGTGTGCACTCTCATACCTCGGTACTGGTTGCACAGTTGTGCACATTGTGCATCCTCACCTTATCGGCACCAAGTCGATCCCCGGCTACGCCAGCACCTTGTCCACAGTCCCCGCGGCCTTACACCTCCTTATGTCATGTGGACTATATATAAATAATTAGTTGGTTGTGAGACTTGCGTATTCCGACGGGAGACATCACGTAAGGATCAGAAAACAAAGAACAAGTAGCGTTGAAGACTTCTGGCGATGAGAACCCAAAGACTTAGCAAGGTAGATCAGGGACTCGTGTCCCCGAACTCTACATAAAGTGGCCTCTTAGCTGTTTAGGACTCGATCAAATAGGTTCGACGAAAGAATGGATTACATGCCCCTCAGGGTTCAATGCCCGTTTGGGACCATGACTTACATATACGACATTTTATGTAGTTACTCGAGAGGAGACACAGTATATCACGGCATTGTTTGCAGGAACCTCAATAGCTACTACTTGTCATGGCTGAAAGAAGGAGACGAATCATCCACATCGCTACGTAGCAACGGCGCTTCTTCTCCAGCAGAGCGTGCAATCGAAAAAATTATAACTGTATACGATGATTTCCGCACGGGGTCCACACTAGCTGCTGTTAAATGGAGAAATATCGAAGAACCGACATGGGAGGATGTCAAGACTCTAGTCGAGGGAAGAAGCCAAATGGAGAATGATCAGATACTTGCCTACTACAAGGAGGTAGATCTACGAGAGAGGGAATACCTCGGCGATACCCTCTATCAAGAGGTATCCTTGCCGGAGTAACGTACAACGCGGTGCGAGCACCAAAATAAGTCAATCAAATATAGCTAGGCTAAGTTATACAATTTATCCATTAGGTAAAACGAGTTATCGAGTATAGATCGCCTTCACAACTTCATAAATAAAGCTGATTATATCTGCGTATCAACTTTAACCCCCGGCTAGGCTACCGAGACAAGTATTAGTGTGGACCACTATCATCGAGAGGTCATGTCAAGGATCGAGTAAGTGATGATGACTCCGTTGCTAGGATTAAGTTATTTAACACAGTAGTAACTCGCATTGACGTACAATAATCTCAGGGCGCCCGAACATTCTTGTAGAATTCTGATAAGAAAGAGCGGTACACATAGTTTCGATCGTCTTTCTAGCCGCAAAGTTACCATACTGTGTCCCTACTCTGAGAGCTGCTGTTCCCCTACTGATCGATCTTTTCTGTCATCCAACCCTCTCCGAAGGGACTGCCAAAGCCCCAGGGGCCCCGCAGCAAGTAGGAAATTGGGCCCATGTAGGCTAGTCCTGGTCGAAGCCCAAGCACCCCTCTGATTGCCGACCTCAGCAGCGAAAATATGACATGTAACGAAGCAGATATTGTAAAGGCATGTGACAAAGGTGCTTTACTACGTCACAGAAACAATGATCACCAAATCACGCGCCCTAGTACTACAATATAAAGATAAGTCTTAGACGCCAGCTTGAGCAGCATCACTATGGGCTTCAGAATTACTCTCCACAACGACGGACTCCAAGATATTTGGCCCTCGTTCCACTTTGCATCTAGTGATCAAATGCAACCGATTCTGCCTGGCATTCTCCGGCCAAATGGATCGTATACCGCGCTTCTCCCGGATGAGGCCAGTGCTGGCCGTCTTTGGGCAAGACAATACTGCGAGGATGGGGCTAACTGTGCGATAGGAGACTGCGGATCATCAGACTGCTGGAGTCATTCTTCAGATAACACGACACTGTTCGAGTTCACACTGAATGCGGACACGTTTTGGTATGATATCAGTCTAGGTAAGTCGCAGGTTCCCACGTTTAGCATTCTATTTATTGACGTAGAAAAGTGGACGCTTTTACCTGCGGTATGACAGTCGTTCCTGAAGTGGAAGATAGCTTGAGGTGTAAGACTATTGCATGTCCTTACGAGTCTATACTTGGTACGTCTCATCAGCCCCCCCTTTGCCCAAAAGAAAACTTGATACTTGGAACAATGACCGCAGGGCAGGCAACAACAGCGCCATATTGTCTCTCAGATTGTAGGTTATATGGATCCGATGAATATTGTTGTAGAGGCGGTACGCCACAGTCGTGTCAACCAAGCAGTACATGGTTTAAGAATGTGAATGCATGCCCGCATGCCTATAGTTATGCCTTCGATGATGCATCCTCGCTATGGGGCTGCGACGTACGGGACGTAAATCATATCTCTGTGCGCTTCAATTGTCCTTAGCATAGATATAAGAATAGTTCAATATAGGTAATAATACTGCCTGATTAGTACCGTTCGCTTTTACTTCTTTACGAGTTGGCTTATAAGGTTATAGAAAAGACTTAAGCCATCAAGAGGATTACAATCAAGAACACGCTCCGTGTCCGCATCGTCTACATAGAATAGATTGTTTGGAGTACCGTAGGGCGTTAACACAATGCCAGGTCAGCCTGCCGACAATACCCGCAAAGTTCTATCTATACATGACGGACCTCCACTACTGGACCGCTACCGACTTCTCCTAAGCGTTATGTTCCAGCCCTTTTTGATTCTAAATACTCGGACATCTCGATCGTCTAAAAGGACTTGATCGTGTGAAGTTAATAAAAGCCTACGTAACCGCTTGCTAGTTGTGCTAGGAGGCTTACTTATTGATATCTCATGTTGCTATATCTACTTTTGATTTGAATGAACTGGTTCTTCCGGGTTATCAAAAGTTACTGAGGCGGCAGCCCAAGCTTGTCCCGCAGAAGACAGAGGAAAACAGCCGCTGCGAGATCACGGCGCAGGTCTGTAACAGGACCGGAATGACTCAGTAGCCAGCACCTAGTGGAATTGTATGGCCCTAGCAAGAAAGAGAGATAGAGCAAGAAACTGATCCTTGGCCCCTACCTCCTTCACTCTCGTGCAGTAGGAGGTATTCCTTATATAAGCTTGGGGGCCTGGAGAGATGGCGGGACGGTCATGGCTCCAGCCTTGCAGCCTATTCTTGTGCTCCCACTTTGAATCCAGTACTGCTGTCCTCGGGAACACCGGGAGGCCAACGGTCTAGTCACAGAGCTAGCTCGTGGTGGCACCGGCACCTCCAAGGCTTGGGCTGGCGTCAGCTCCGACAACACTGTATTCCGGACAGCTCACGGAGGGAGGCAGGACCGCCTAAGATTCTGTACCGCTCTGATGTACATCTGGGCCATTTTCAGTCCTGCACCTCATAACTCCAACGTCGCCATGCAATTCTGCCACTCCACATGCAACATTTTGAGAAATCGCATCCGACCACGGTTGATCACTCGTCTAGTAAAGCTGCCTTGGACTAAGCCGTACATCCCCTGTATAAGCGGCTATTCGAGTGGCTCGACCGGGTTAATTCCCTTATGATTTTATCAATGAGCGACCGAGGCTCCCCGTACAATCACCCCCGCAAGCACGACGTTATTGTTGTATTACACTTTTAGGATCTTGATTGGATAAACTTATTAATCCATGTCAGAAGATGTATTCAAGATTACAAGGGTTATTGATTTGGGTTTGTCTGGGTTTGTTTGGGTTTGTTTGGGTTTGCTTGCTTGGCTTTGTTGAAGCCCCACTTAACATTCAAGCGAACCAGTGGGGGTTTGTGAAGGTTTGTTCTTGTTTGTTTGGGACCCCAGTGACAACTGTGGGGGTTTGTTTGTATGCCTTGACATGGACGGATTGAGCCACGCTATGGTAGCAGGAATAGGTTTCTGGCGCAAAAGCTGTTTCGTGAGCCAGCTGAAATGTTTTCCAAGTCATCAGGCGCCTTTATAGGATGGTGAGGTTCTTCGCTGTTTGCACTTGGCTAACAAGCAGTCCCAGGCCGACAATTCCTGCGATGTGGCTTCGAGGCGACAACAATGGACAGCGATGATCTCCTGGAATGGATGTCCCGCTTCAACAACCAACTGAACAACATTTTCGACAAGGTCAACAATCTTCAAAGCGAGCTTCAGACTGTTCGTCACGATGTGCATCGACTATTATCCCAACGACAGACAATTGCTAGGGCAGCGGCCCCACGCACAACAAGACCACGAGGAAAAGTGAAACTTTACTTCCCGGACGGGACGAAGTCTCCCCCCATACCCTATGTGACACTCATCCAATTTGCCTTTTTAAAGCAAGGCAACAACCCGATGTCTGTCAAGTCCTTGTATCAATGGCTGGCGTTAAAAACGGATGTCCATGATTTAAAGAAGTCATCATGGCAAAACAGTGTTAGGCACGCCTTGAGTTCAGATGATGGGTTTTGGAATGACAAGGAAGAGAAGGTGTGGCGCGTCGACCCAAGCAGAACCGCAACACTGCACTATAGTGAAAATTGGCAGTACTTCCTCAAGGCTTTTCCCGGCTTTATGGACGATACAACCTTGTCTGTATACCCGGCACTGTTAGAACAGCCATCACCATCCCACAATGCCAGATTTTATCCCTTCGAAAAGGATGTTTTTGGGGGAAACCTAGACGACGCCACTTATAGAAACGTCTTGAATGAGCTTAACACGATCGATCAAGACACTGATGGACCTATGAGCCTAATTACGCAGAGCCACAGTTACCTATTCTGAATTAGATACATTAGGTCGCACCCAGCATCAGGACTTTCATTTCACTCGGACATTAAATCCTCATATTCTCTTTTCGTGCTGAGAACGCCATCTACAGCTTCACTCATACAACGGCACGTCTAGGTGGATGCACGATCCCTCTTTTAATAGGGCCCCTCCGCAGGAGCAGCTTGGCAACAACGAGATTCCGGGCACTCGATTCGTGCGCAGTGAAGGCTACGTAATCGCAAGCGCGATTCAGAATAGCGAAACGAGTATGCGGACTGATTATGAAATATGAATGTCGACCACATTGTGGGCTCCCTAACTTGTAAGCAGATGTTGGTGAGCAATTCTTGGAGACTAGAACGAGGACGCCCTCGTCGAAGTTGCTCCTCTTTGACCAGAAACTGCGCCGGGCGTCGCTTTTAACTTGTTAAACATGGTATAGTATCACCAAGGCTTTCGTTTACATGCCTCTACGACTCAGCAATGCTACACGTTCTAGATCCGCTCTGGGGTGTCGCTCGTGCTGCTGGGATCAAGGAGGGACCACACTATTGCGAGTGGCAAATGACTGTAATGCAGCCCACGCGGCGCTGCTGTATGGATTAATTAATCCACTCCCAAAATCTAAACAAAACCACCTCTCGGCTACGAAGCCCTCCCACTTGGAGAAGGCAGTGCCCAGAATGCTATGCCATATATGTCACCAAGAACTCATGAAATCAGGTACTGCAAGTCGCTAGTCAAAACGGCATCGATGCCCATCGCGCGGTGACGGTCCCTCATCCCCTCTGTCCGCAATAAGACTTCTCCAAGCATTCGACTCCCTTCATCAGACACAAAGTGGAGATGACTGGCCCGAACTTGTTGCTCTGATCTGTCTTCGTCTGACACCCTGGTATTGGCTGTCTCTGGCACCTTCGGCATCATTTACAGACTTTTACCATACATATATGACTCCGCCGAGGTATCTATGATTGTATTATACGTCACTTTAACCGCGCCTTGCCCGTCGCCGTGGTTCCAGGGCGAGGTGTATCTCAACACCGTTGGAGCACCTGTGGTTAGCCACACTCAATGCTTTTGGTTGAATGGACGTAGAAAAGCCTTGAGCGCAGCACTCTGGTCACCGTTCACTCTTGCTCCTCCAGCCAGGGGAAAGACCTTATTCTGCTGCTTCGAATACTTCTTGAGGGCCTTTATAGTTGGAAAAGTCTTTAGATTGCGAAGGAGCTCATTCGTCGAGGCCTGAGAGTTACGAGACGCGATCGCGTGTCGCGCGCAGTGTAACAGGTCGAAAATGTTGACATGAATTGCCTGTAGGATCTGGGACGTGCAGAGCACAAAGCGTCAGCTATTCTGGGCCGTAAAAAGACGCAGCAATTGGCCGGGAAAAGGCGGCCGGAGCATATCCAGCTGGAGATGGAATGAGGCTCACCCTCTTGCAACTAGTGATTGACCGTCCGACCTCTCCTCCAGTGACCACGGCACGGCATAGCGCCTGCCATGCAGCTAGATCGTTACTGCTGCCGTACAGATCCTCTAGCTCTATGTCGATGGCCTTGTGAAAACGTTTACTTAGAGCTTCGATCTCTTGGTAGCTCTTGCGGTCACCATGGTACTCTTTGAGCTGCGCAAAGCTGAAAGAGGACGTAGTGAATGGGTCGTATTTGAACCCCTCAAACGCCCGAAAGAAGCGATCCAATTGCGTATCGATATCGACGTTCGGAGAGGAACCTCCCACACAGACGATAGCAGTGCATAGTGAGTCCTCGCTGGTAGGTGTAAGTTCTAGATCTGACGACGACGAAGAGGTCCAATGGTATGTGACATCCAAATCCTGGCAGCGAGCGCATAGTAATGTGAAGTCCTTGCCACAGCATGGACATGTGTGCGCCATGTTACAGGCTTTCGCTGATATGTGGCTTGGATCGTGAAGTTCTTGCCCTGGCCGGAGGACGCGAAGTGTAACGACCTCACTGACGCGGGCGCCTCCCAGCCGGCGATGCAAAGAAAGGCTCGCGGGGGGATAAGGAGCTTGGCAGCATTATCACAGGGGCATGTCAGGCGATACTGTCTGAAAAGAGTCGGGCAATAGCAAACTTTTCGTTTGAACTTTAAACAATAATCCTGCTGGTATGCTATGCTAAGATTCTGTCGCAATGGCCTACCAGCCACTTGCCAGGCGAATCAAATACCGTCCGTTATTGAAGAATCCTTTCGCCGCAGAATGTTTGTTTGCAATGGTCGTGCATTGTTGGTGTGTACTCCCCACCTCTTCCCAATCTCTCCTTCTCACCCATCTGACTGGATTGAGCTTTCCGCCACACCCCACGCCTCCCTCTCCTCCGCCAACCATCTCGGTGATCTATCATCAGGCAAAAATGCTGAGGTCCATCATCTCTGTGTAACATAAGCCGAGTCGTCGTCCGGAGAGAAGACAGCCCATGGGCGTCGCACCTGTGAGGTTAATCGCAAAAAACAAGAAATTGTACACTTCATCTGCATTGCGTCGGCGTTGGGGGGAGTGACTGCGTGTCACCATCTTGGCAAATTGCCCTTGAGGAACCATGTTCCATTTAGAGCCAGATCAGAGTCGTCAGTGAGACGTACGCTACGCAGGGGAAGACGTAAGCCAGTCAAGAAGAGCAGGTGCACGATTGCCACACAAAAAGACTAGATGCACAAAGTAGCATGGACCGGTCTCGGGTTGCATGGATAAATCATACAGAACATTGAGTAGGCATTTCCAATATTTAGCACAATAGGATGTGTCTTTGTCTTTCCTCTCCCAATTAGCTCTTGGGATTATGTAAAAAGGCGTCCAGCAGCCGCATCAATCTGTCGTTGAGAGCTGCTCGGACCTTCACATCTAGAAGTGCGACCCTGTACCCGATTGCTATCGAGCACTGCAACTTTTCTTCATCACCCAGACCGACTTGGAAGACCTGGACATTTGGATGACAATATGGTGAATTTTCGGGCTCCCGGACGAACTGGTTCAGGATCCCCTCCAATTTCGGAATAGACCGACTTCGAGGAATGTCTATTTTGATCGCCGTTCGACTTCCCTTGCTCCGGGATCGATTCTCAATGAACAAGTTGTTCAGGATAATGTTAGAGATCTGCAAAGTCTCGTGCGTGTCGGAGCGAGAGAAAACCGTGAAAAGCAAAGATATCTTTATCACAATGAGCTGTTCCCTTTCGGTGTTCGTAATGACTAAATCATCACCAACATCATATGGGTGCTTTACAAAGAGGAATATGCAAGACCCAATAAACTCCTGAGCAGTCACTGCAAACATGAATGACATTGACAGAATCATTGTCCCGGCTGTTGCGATGCTTGTTAACAATGATGCTTGGAAGAACGAGACTAGAGCGCGTTATGTTAGCCTACCGCGAACAAGAAAGGTAGCTTGGCTTCTCTTACAGAAAATTAAAAGGGTAATAAAAACGACTACGCATAAGCAGACCTTCTCCAGCGATCGGATTGCTTGGGCCATGTCGGTCTCGTTGCTAGTAATTGCACGATACTCCTGTCCAATCTCTTTAATCCTGCGACCCCACTCTTCATTTGATAGGTTTGTAGTGACAACACTGCAACTAAACAGCTCGTTGAGTGGCTCTAGTTTACCGCGAAAATCGCTTCTTGAGATAGTGTTGACCTTTTCGAGACCAAGTTTCTCCCAAATACTTGCGGCGAGCTGCTCGGTAGAGGCCTCCTCTCTTAGCATTTTGAACACATTATGATCGTCTAGGGGATTTTTCATCACGAGCCTCTTAAAACAGTTCCTATATGCCAGTTGTCGTTTCTGCGGCGGCTCACCCGTCCTATAAAGCTTTTGAAGATTGTCCGCATCCTTTTTGTTGCCTGCTTTCCGGAGCTGAAAGGACTGGTGCTGGTAGCTAATCGATACGAGTTGTATAAACACCTTCTCCCCGAGAAGAACCCCTGATGCGATGAAGCAGGATATGAGGATGTTACTACAAGTCGTGACCCATTGAAAGTCGCCATGGCCTCTCTCCATGACAGCCTTATATGTCATCCATGATGCTAAGAAGGCCAGGAATCCCGCGATATAGTTCTCAAGCAGGTAGAGAGCCCTTTCATACCTAGGCTTTGTTATGCTAACAACGCCGCAGAAGAATTTTATCATGGAAGGTAGGACGTGTGCGAATGCTTTGGCTCCCCAGAGCGAGATCCAGGTGGCTTCAGCCCATATGAAGAGATCCAGAACCCGCGGACCGGAGACAACGACGTTCCCGGTTTGAGTGTTTACAGTCAGCTCGCCGAGCTTCGGTTCACTGCCCTTAATGCTTTTGATTGCTAGCAAAGTGCCAATTGGTATGGCTAGAATGATGGCGATGGGTAATATGTACAGTACATATCGGCCGGCGGTTGGGAGCTTATGAACATTTCCGTATAATCTTCCTATTGAATTGGGTTGTTCTCCTTTTAAATCGGCTTGTTCTTCTTCTCTGGGCTCGGGAGACTCCAACATATACCGTCTGCACAGAGGGTCCTGACCATATATATAGTTCTCCATTCTGTTTGAAAAGTTAAGGTCTGTAGAATCATAGACGGTTTTTATTCTAGTTCCCTGACATACTATAACATTGAAATGTCATTATAGTTATGCGAGAAGGCTCTGTCATACTGTTGACTTGCGAGTAAATTACCTTATGCTGAAAAGAACATTTATTACACTGTACTGTACAGTAGTGACCGCGAGATGTGTCCGCTTTTCAGACATTACTTGACGTTCCCGCACGGACCAGCACGGACTGTGCCTTGTTGGCTCGTACTGTGCAAACCATTCCACAAAAAGCACTCTCCGTAAGTGGCGCAAACCACTTGCGGCCACATTTTTATCCAGCCCTAGTCCTAATCCATCCGTATCGCAAGGCATTTCGAAGCAGAACTTTCGGCATAATATCAACGAATTTTCAATATGGCTATCAAAGAGATCTTGTCTATAGATGTAGGCTTTCTTTCGACACTTGATTCAGTCGGTGCACACATTCACAGCTTCCTGCTTCGATCATTCTTTTCCACATTGCAATCGTCTTCAAGAAGTCTTCTAGCACCTTGACTTTCCCACAAGCACACGCCATCTTCCTCAGAGTATTGCGGACCGATGAAGCATCCTTTGGGTGAGATTACGGCGAGGATATACGCCGCTAGCTCTACTCTATTCTTAGCCTGGCAGTGGTCTCTTTAGCATCAGGAAAGATCTTGGAAGCGGCAAAGTTAGCTGGCTGGACTTTCACTCACCGACTTTTCGATTGGACAGGCCGATCTGTGTTTAGCTCGGCACAGCTGGAGGCAGTCTTGCGTTCTGTGTTATAGAAAGTCCTCTGGTGGAGGCAGCCTTGCCACAAAATCTTTCCACTTTAAGGTCTTCCCAAGATACATTGAGATCGCTTCCAATATATCCTTATCCCAATCAGGGGAAAAGAATTTGATCCGTGGAGGTTTTTCAGCCCGGTGGTCAGACAGCCGCATCACGACCTGCATCGCTGTAGTCTGCGAGTACTGAAGACCTGCAATTGCCAAGTCTTGAAGCTCGCCGGCTTGCTTTCCAAACAGATCAAGCTCATCGAGCAATAGTTTCCTGGCTAAGCCGCTTGTGTTGCTCCCAAGTTCAATTGCCAGAATGCACTGGACAGCTTTATCGATTAAATCGCGTGCGCTCTGAGTCTCGAATAACAAACGATCGTTATTTCTCGAAATGTGCCGATGGTGGAACGGCGAGGACATGATTCTGACGATGAACCTCCTCTCGCCGCTTTCGTCAGGAAGGTTGTAACTCTCAAAGGAGCCAATTGTGGCGCAGATGTCCTTAGTAACGGAGTTTTGTCCTGGGATTGTCGCGCGTCGATAGTGCATGAAGAGGTTTCCCGAGTCCGGGAGGTCTCGGAGCTCGCTGACCTCCATCCCGAACATGAAAGGGAGGATTGATTTCGTCCGTGCAAATGGGGAGAAATAGAGTAAGAAGCAAGTGGGGTTAACCGGTTTCTATAGGAGAATTAGTTGCATGTAGTGGGGCTGAAGCGGGGGAGGCATACACAGTGACAATTGGCAACTTGTTCACAGTCAGGAATTTCATGCCCAACGCACAGTACTAAGACAAATTTCCACGCGGTTTCTACTCATGCCTTAAAAGTATGGACCGTGCGGAGATCATCGTAATCAAACTGCTTGCGGAGACTGATTTCCGGTACTTCTGTACCTTATCGCCTTTATTGCTCTAAGTCCAGGCAATGCCGTACTGTACGGAATGCGCTTACGGACAAGTGTGCCTCCACAAAGCACTAGTTTGTGGTGCAGCCAGCACTGTGCATGCCACGATAACCCCGCACAGGTTGGTCCGTGCGGGGATCGCAACTAATATCGATAAAATGGACACGGATTGTGGTCACTACTGTAGTGTCCCTAGATTTCAGAAGACGTCATGAAGTGCGTTACTGTTCTGGGCATTGGGCAGTTATCTCAGAAGGACATCTGATGAGACGGGGTGTGGCCCGAACATCCATGGAAGTAATGTTGATAAAAGCCGCGCTTTTTTAGCTGCCGGAATGCACGCTGAATTAAATGGACAACAATTTGACAAGATATATATAGGTCTGTGGGTGATACTGTATTATTAAGCACATTCGCCTGCTCTTCCTCTATTTCAAATTGTATGATATAGTTATTCATGGGCGTACTAGTATGTTTACGTAGTTAGATTTTATGGGTACGACCGCCAAGGAGGACGGAGAGTATGGAACTATGAGGATAAGCTACAATCTGATGCCACTACTCGCGTAGTACGGTGATACGATCCGATGTCCGGAGTCAACTGTCTGATCGGCGCTGTAGGGCTCATCTCCTGTCAAGGTAGGTAGGACCTTGCGCAATACTGGCTACGTGCTGTCGTGCTCTCTGGGGTTGTCGTTCGTGTCTCTTGTGAGATAACACACTTTGATCAACTGAGTGACTACGTCGAGTGAAGGGTAAGGGTTACACTTAGATTGATCGCTGAAGTATAAAGGGAATGGCTGGTTACAAGAAGATCCACCGTTCTATATATCTTTGTTCTTCATCGGTGTTTCCCTTATTCCTGCTACGTCGATGCGTCGCATGGGAACGAGTCGTCGTCGCGACCCAACTGCTAGTGGTCGCATGCCCACTGTTCAGTGTCGGCTGCTGACGTACGGTAGAGTGATCACCTAATAATCGCCCGCCAATCTTTGCTGGCCCGCCCTTGTCCCTGGCCTGATCATGCGGCCTTGTTTGTGCTGCGCTTCTTTGCTACTTCAGCCCCAAATAGTTCCACTATTGGTTGGGCCGTCATATAGGGCCTGTTTGATAACCTTCTCCCGGATGTAATGCTTTGTCCTCGACTCCTGCCTGGAAGGCATGGTGGAAAAATCGCAGGGCATGATACAACTGCTCGTAGATATTAACTTCTACACAAGCTGTCCCCTTGTCGTGGTCCTTGCTAGTTCAAAATGAGATTGAATTACTATAATGTAGGCGCCATCCAATCGAGAGCAGTAGGATTAATAGATATAGGACTGAGCATGGCATGAGGGCCTATGAGATCCATGATGCCGTGGTCTTCCTTCGTCCCTAGATCTATATCCGTGTCCAGAATATTGGTGCTGATCTCGTCATATATCCTTTGGGTATCCTCGTCCAAGTTGAGATCGAAATCAAAGACACCGAGCTCGGTGTTATCGGAGAGCGTAGAAAGTGCCATTGTTGGCACGTCGGCAGTGCTATTTATGAAAGGGTCGTTTTGGAGGAGGCCTGACATTAACATTGCAGGTGTCCTTTGGGCCATAGGGATATTATATAGTATGGAGTACAGGGCTGACATGTCGTTGCGGAAGACGGCATCGCTTATAGAACTCAGGGTAGACTCGAGCTGCTCGATCTTTTTCTTTATCGACCTCTGCTCTTCGAGCTTCTTCCTGCGATGCTTTTGTTGCGCTAGCCGATTCTTTTCTTTTCGCATTAACTCAGTCTGTCGCGCCATATTGTCTGGTGAACTTGTTTGGATTGGCCTTAAGGGCTCCTTTCCTCCTGAGGTTCATCGCCTCTATATCTTAGTCTTTCTTCGTTCATGATCGTGCTCAACCACTCTGAAGTCCCAAAATACCAGTATTTGCCTAATGATGCTGTCAACAGCATCCTCCAGAGGCTAAAAATGCACCAAGATCTGAAACACTGCATTATGTGAACTCTCTCGAGATCTTGTCTCCAATTCTACCGCGGCCCAAAATAGCCGCGTCTGAAACCAAAAGATTATGTCACTTCTCCGTGAAAGGACACTTGCTGAGTCTCTGCCTCGTGTCAACCCTCTGTATTCGAGTTGTGAGCGCGAGTATTCCCTCTCCGATTGGCGCTAACAAGAGATATGACATAGGTTCGACAAATCGCCGTAGACTGCAAAACAGGCAAGTGATCACTATATGACAAGTGCTACTGCTTTCCATGCATTGACACAGCGAGTCTCTACCTTCCACATCAGCCATGGACGCTACATGCATTTTGTGTCACAAGAGACGGTCCTCTAGACGGAAGACACAGGACACTGTCGACCGCTACATATGCTCCAGGGCGAATTGCGGGTGGATCAAGAACTTGATCAACCCAGTAACCCATAACAGCCCATGTCCCGTCAAGGTCGAGATTCACTGCTACCCACAAAGTCCCAGTACAAGTCCGACCTCTGGCGAACCAACGAAGGAAACTACACTACGCCCCCAGCATTCGATTGCGGAGCTCCACGGCCAGGAAAGAAGATACCAGCCATTCAGACATCAGCCGCAAGTGAACTTCTCGACAAAACCAACAAGGACCGATCTTGCCGGGTCTAGCAGGGCAGGCATCCGCGCCTACGAACTATACTAACAACTCCATACGATTGTCGCCTGTTTCTCCATAAAGCCGTTATCCTAAAAACGGGGCAACGCATACTTCTTCCATGCGCAACCAATCCGAAACATTCCGAAGCCAGGGCTCAATATGAGTAGCCCTACAAAGCTGGCCCTTCTCTAGCGTAGGGGGAGGAGTCGGCCTGGAGTCAAAGAAATGCCAGCACTTATCCGTTATCTGATAGTTCACCAGCGGTTTCGAAGATTTACTTCGCTTCTCAACCGGCGCATTGCAGAGGGTGACTCAATTCACCCCACGATGTCCTTTGTGTTCTGACCTCTAACCTTTTCAGTTTATTGAATGGTAAGATCTTATAACCATAAGATCAGTCGGTTGGGATTCTACTACGGCTTGATAATAAGCTATATGGTGGAATATTTATTGCGTTGAAGCATGATAATGCATGCTCTCGCTGTGTATCTTAATCTCACGCCGTCTCTCGTGATATCAAGTGCGCTCTCTTATCCAAAATTCTACTTTCACTTTCCGCTGTTTGACGCCTCAGAGTTGGTCCTTCATGAAGGTGGCCTGGATAAATTGAACGAGGGCGTCAACGTCCGCTTTTGTGGACATAGCACCTACACTTGCTCTAACCACCCTGAGCAATTCATGAATGGTCAGCAGTCGAAGCCACCAAACTCAGATGTGACGTGGAAACTGCTGCTGAAACAACGGAAGGACTGGGGTCATAGGTGCTGGGGGCTACCAGCACAGTACTGATAACAACGTAGAAGATTCCTATACTCAACAGAATACTTACCCGGTAGGTGTCCCATGGAGGACACCTTTGGCTGATCTGCCACACATGGAGCCTGCTTGTAGTGCGCGATGCAGCATCCATGACTCATATCCCAGGACTGCGTAAATTCCTCCGGGATTGCACACTCCTACATTCTCGATGTCAGCATTAAGAGTATCATCATGCCAGTTATCGGTTCACCCGTCCATTGCTCGGCTCACCTCCTGACCTGACATATATTCCGGCTTGATTCGCTGCTTCTTCAACTTCCGTGAAAGGAACATATTTCCCATCATGACCGATGATATTGAAAGCAACTGCTGAGCCATGTCTGAAGGTGCTCCCGACGGAGACATCGTCTTGCTTCTGGTGTTTGTAATGGTAGATTTGACACACTGACCGCCCATTGTAGTGCCGCAGCGCCACGAGCCCTTGCTGCAACCGCGTGACAAGATCGTGTGTATGGTCAGACACCACCTCCATCGACATGAAAAGTCGTTGGTGCGAATCGATGGCTTCGCCAAGGGCGAGAATGCTATGGAAAGGGAGAGTCCCATCCTCCAGCCCTTCATGCAGATTTTCATCAGGTCCTTCTTGGCCCTTGGAACGGTGAAAGACGTCCTCGATCACACCGACAGCCTCGACCGTTCCACCTCCGAAATATCTCCTAAGACTCAATATATGGCCAGACTCTCTGCGGACAACCAGAGCCCCTACGTCCGGGAAACCGAAGATCTTATAGAAAGACAAGCATGTGAAGTCCGGTGATGATGCTGGATCTGAAAACACTCGAGACATGGGAAATGTCATGGCCAACGCTGCAGCATCCAGCAGCGTGTATGTATTCTGTGAATCGTCAGCATGGCGCACGTGCCCATTCCAAGGGCAGTCGCCTGCCAGTCAAGTTCGATTGGGCCGGGTACGCAAATAAGCCTAAGGAGTGGCGATCCGGCAGTTTGACATCGGCAGTAGCTGGTCGACGAAGCCAGTCTTCGACCTCTTCATCACTCTCGAAGCAGTGCGACTGGTTGTTCGACCACTCACGAACTCCAACGAGGCTGGTATGCGCGTCCCTGTGATATCCGTACCAGAATGATTTCGAACGTGTCTTCTCTCCCAAGTCTCGGAAGGCTTCCCCTACAAGCTTGATAGCTGCTGTAGCATTTGCGACAAAGACAAGATCGAAGTGTTCCGGATTAGCACCCAGGAAATCTAGCGTCTTCGCGCGGACGTCTTCAACGACATTGCTGGAGAGCCTCGCGGGAGCATTTTCCGAGTGGGGATTTCCGTACAAGCCTGTCAGCATCTTCTCGGTGAAACCTTCGATCGCTGATTTCGCATATATCGTGGCTCCACTGTGGTCAAGATATACTCCTATTACAATATAGTTCCAGGTCAGCTGTGTCGGCGAGACTTGTGTTTGTCAAACGACCATATGATTAGCTATGCTTAGGAGTTCTGAGTAGCTCACCAACGTTCATATGCGGATACTCAGTCGGCCTCATCCTATCGACATTTTCGTTATAGGTTCCGGCCATCTTGCTGATGGAGCACATGCTGAAAACCCAGCCTAGCGAGACCCTGAAGGTTACTCTAATTGGAACGCTATTGGTGTCGGGGACGAAACCGGGTTATCAAAGCTGCAAATAACGAAGACGTGCAGATATTAACGAGTATTATACATGACATCCTAGTCACGCCCTTATCCTGATTGCTTTCAACCTATATTTGTTACGGTCAAGAGTTGATGTATGATCTTGTTTGCGGAGCAGACGATAGCGACCCCGCCTTCTAGTGCTGCTTTCCGTTCCTGAAGTGTCACCCCACCCTTGGACAGCCTCGACAGCGAACTGACTATGGGATTATAGTCAATTTCGTCCTCGAGTAAACCTGCTGTGGGCTTTCCGCGCCATTTGCTCTGGGGTGCTAGATGATCAGGCGCTTTCACGGTTTGTACATCAAGAGTGTATGCTCTCAGACTTATTTCGCTGGCAGCCTGCGACAAGTGGCTGCATTCGTGCTAGAGCCTTGGGTGGCCTTCAAAAGCGAGAAAGCTTGGCGCTGCCAAGAAAGGCGTCAGCTATCCAAGCACCAGCTGGCGGCTAGCTGTAATTGTGTTGGTCTTGGAAATCGGGTCATAATGTACGGTGTGCTAGGCGATCTGGTCTTCTGCTTCCAGAGCTTCAAAGAACTCTCCTTGCCTCTGCCCACGAGCAGCCACTCGAGTAACCATCGACCAAGAACCTAATAATACTAGTAGAGCTCATAGAGACGCGATCTGCGTGATCAATATATACCGTACCAACGAATCTGAACGACGCGCTTTGACTCGAACGCAGCGAGCGAAGACATGACTTGTGCGATGTTGTCAACCAAGACGGCAGAAAGGTACTATAGTAGGGATATACAATACCTTGGTGCAAATATGTTACTTTTGGGACATCTTTCCAACCGGCGGACTCCGTCATTCGCGGTACATTAGCAATTATAGAAATGACCTGTTAGGAGTGACCAGATCAGAGAACTGCTTAGCAGGCTTGGTACCTGCAGTTGCTCACTTAATCATTTCGACGTACTGACGCAGCATTCGTCGATGATTCTGTCCGAGCCTCGAAGCTGTACCTGTGCAATCCAGGCGCCATGCACGGTATGCACTCATGTGGGCAAGGCGTCGTTGAAAGCTGAATTAGGACGCGTGCTAAAAGACCCGCGGTGGGTCTTGCCGCCCCCCCGAGATCTTGGTTCACAACCACGAGTAAGCTCTCGATCATGCAGCAACGCAACGCAGAGACATTTCTACGGAAAAGTGATCACGGCAGAACTCGAAAATAGTATAGTGCGTATGACTCAAGTTGGCTCGGTTCAGATGACAAATGTTCTCCAGGCGTAAAGTGAGGTTGATGGAGGACGACTCGGGCGCTGTTCACCCCACTTTACAGGGTCTCCTACCTCCGGCGCCACGCCCCGCAACGACAGCACAGGAGGCGCCAGAGACGTTCTCAACTTCCCCTGGGATTATGCGAATCCTCATACTGCTGCCGAGCGAGCCGTAGCGCAACAACGTTGCGGTGATGTTGCGAGTTACGAGGGCCGTCGAGATAAGCATCGAGTGATGAGTCATGACCCCACGAAACCATTGAAAAGAGGGACACGAAGAGTGCAAGTGAAGCGTCTGTTGCCGGGGTTCAGCTGCAGAAGCGATGGTGACCTCTTTTAGCTAGAAGATTACTCACTCTGAGTTCGATAGAAAGACTCCATGCTTCTAAGGCGCGGTAAGACAAGGCCGCTATGGGACTGTTGTAAACCCCCCGCTGCCGGGACATTGCACCAGACTTCTCCTTTCGACATGAAGGTCTCTATCCGACACGAAGTTGACTGCTGCTGTGCATCCTATGGCTGGTCGAAAGCAGTAATAACGTGCAGCATTATGCGGTATCAAGGTATATGAGCCGCCAGATTACACCTGCAACGCAAGACATGAGTTACTTTGCGGGATATGATCAAGATACTCCGAAAGTCGCAACTCGCAGAGTCGTTGACCAAAACAAGCATCTGCTGTGACCATTTGGTAATTAGCCATCTTTTGTCCGCAACAGTCATGTGTTTAACGGAGCCAAAACGCGTGAGTCAAGCTTCGGCGTGACAGGCTATGACTTAAGTCCTTGCTTATGATGATCCTCTTGATGTGCGCTACTCCAGAGTACATCTTCCAAGAAGTTACTGATCCCAACGGCACTTGTGGCTTTACGACCCATATCTGAAGGCGAGGTGGGCATTTCCTTGTCTGCCGTAGATTTCTGTGCTCGTACATCTCGCTTCTCGACGAACCTTGTGCGACCGTGAGTTATTAACCCTATTCTGCATGCTTAAGAACTCCCAGGTGGTCCTGGCTCGAGTTGCTGCCGACTGCTACTTGTCATGTTTTCTCCCGCATCATGAACTACGTAAGAACAGATAATTCTCTCCTGAAGCAACTTTGCTATCAGCGACAGAACGGCATCAAAAGCGAACGTGTTTCCCAGTACAGCGCATAACCGCAACCATGAAGTCTATCACCATTGTCTATGTTCTTCTAGCGTGTGCTGTCGCTGCGGACCTCCACGGCCACGAGCGCTACCGGCGGCATCCAAAACAGCGCGTTCACGCGCATAACAAACGTCATACATGCGATGAGGACTTGGCGGTCACGCCTAGTTCTGGACTCGTCATCGTATCCAGTGCAGACTCCAGCTCCTCTGCTGGTATGTATACAGCGCAGGCGGCGGCCGCCACATTAAGCGCCGGAGCGGGTTTCTCTGGGGCAGCCATTTCGGTTTCTGTTGCTCCCGAAGAAACCTCCGAGTCGCCTGCTAGCAGCGAACGCACTTACTCCATTACCGGGGATATCACTTACTATGATGTCGGCCTTGGTGCTTGTGGGTATGATGACTCTGTGCACAATGATAGCGGTTTATTCGCTGCCGTGTCTGCAGAGTTTTGGAACGGCATCAGCACGCTCACCAACGCTGGCCCTGGCCTGCCTCTCCACCCTCTTTGTAACAGGAAGGTCACACTCTCCGCTCCGAATAGCAATCAAGTGGTTGTCACTGTGCGCGACAAGTGTCCCAGCTGCGCCAAGGAAGCCATAGATGTCAGCAGAGCTGCATTTAAGGCTCTTTTTGGTAACCTGGATGTTGGCCGAACTAAGGTAAGCTGGAGTGTGAGCTGGTAAGTCCACCGTTCTAGTCTTCAGGCTGCTCCTATCATTTCCGTTTATTAGACAAACGAACAGTGCCCATTTGCATTCCTCCTTCTCATGGATGACGGTCCCACACGGCACCGGTCTCTACTAATCCACAGGATCACTTATGCTCGGAAGAGCTTTACCACAAAACGAAATGAGTGCGCATGTCTAACCCTATCCTGGCGCTTCTGGCACATGGGGCATGCTCGCATGCACTGCAGTCGCAGGCACTAGTGACTCGCTGCCCAAGGGAGAAGAGGCCGTATTCTTTAATCACATAGCAGGGCTACCCGCATATTTATTAGGAAAGATAGTGAACCACCTTTTGTATCAAGAGATTCGTATAGTTTCTTTCAAAACGATCTTCAGACGACGAGTTGATTGATAACATCGCAGGATGAATTATGACGCGGCGTGGCATGACGATTAGTGTGGTCTCTGATGAGTCAGCGGCGCCCAAGAGTCAGGACTGTGCTAACACCTACCAAGCGAGGGAGGGGAAAGAGATCCAGCTCGTGGTGTCTCCAATAACGATAGACACCTTTTGAATTTACACTCTAGACGTTATTGAAGTCCTTAATACCGACTGACTGATTGAGCTTTTATATAACAAAATCCGGAGAGCATGCTGTCGCAGAATAACTTGGAACATGACTGTCACAGTGCGGAAAGGTGTGCACATCCGACCCGAAACGTGGGGGCGATGGATGATGCGCTCGCAGGGATCTGACAGCGCCGGATGCAGGGTCCGCTCCCGGACCTGGTCACATTTCGCGTCAACTACTCAAGCACGAGGGTTGCGCAATTCGCGATCCGGGCAATTCGCGTTGCTGATTGGCGCGACCCGCTCATTGACTGCAGCAAATCCGGACAGGGCTCAATGACGCCTGTCGATGAGACGAACGCAGAGAGAACCTTAATTGGACGTCCTTTCGAAGGACCTTGCGCGCGGCTCTTTCTGGACCTCCCGATACTTGGCCGCACATGCCACGAAACGGACTGGACAATTATGGTGGGTCGAGTCACCCGTCTTTCCTTGCGGCTCGGAACAAGGCGTGAGGTGAGGTTCCTGAATTATGTGGGGTGCCTCCCCAAACGGCGCCCGTCGACGGCTGCTGCTTCGACGTCCTGCTGGTGCAAAGCCTTCTCTGCAGCAAGCTTGAAGGGGCAGGACCCCACTCCTGTGTCATTGCGAGTAGGTCGGCGCCGCCCAGATGGCGCATCATGTTGTATGGCTGTCTCTCTTTCCGAATTACTCATTCCGACAAGGCTGAGCTGGGGCTAGACAAAGCCGATGAATGGCGACCAGGAATTCCGCCTTGGGGTGGCCGACGTGTGGAAGTTCCCGCTGGCAATTTGGGGCGCAGGCAACCCACTGACCCACGCAGGCACACCGTCCAGCTCGCGGCACGAAAGTGGACCGTGGCACTTTGTGCTGTGCCTTCGCGCGACTAGAAGGCCCGTCCTGGGTGTCGACCAACAAGGCAAGCCAGCAACAACCATATAAGGTCACCATCAGCTCGGCATTTCAGGCCCGCATCCTGACAAGAGATCCTCACCCATTTCAAATCACACGAGAAAACGCACTACCGATCCCCAAGCTATGATGCAAGCGTGCAACGCTGCCCGAGCGGCGTCCGGAACGCCAGCCACACTGGCCGCGCCTGTGGCGTGGGCAATATATACAACGCGTTGCCGAACGCCCAGACGCTGTCAAACGACCGTCGATGAAGCTGCCGCTCCTGAGAAGCCGCGTGTGTTGCCGAAAAATCTTCAGTCCATACAGTCCTTCAATGCGCTTGAGGTCCTGGCGGATGGTGCGCGTCGTTGCGACGGCGAGCACCAGCGAGATCCAGCGCTGGAGCATGGACTGCGGGAGCTGAGTATACTCCTCAAAGACAACTCATACATGGGATCAGACCTGCTCCAGTGCTTTGCCAGCTTCCCGGAACCTCCTACGGATATATAGCGCGCTTCACCGTACTCTGACTCGCTGGACGCCGTGGTGAAGTTCCTCTTTTCTATGGCCACTTCATGGACCGAGTTGATGAAGAAGCATGCGGCACACGGTTACCCATTGCTGATGGATGAGGCTAGGACCGCTGCATCTGCATCCAGACGTTTTGCAACTTGTCGTCTTCCGTGCCTCCAGGAGGACAGCAGGTGTTCCCCGCGAGCCTGTCGGCACGCAGATGTAGTTTCTATTCGAGGATCAGGACTTTCATCGGTCTGCGGAAGGTTTTTTTTTTTTTTTTTTTGCCAAAGGCACAGGATCCCGCCTATGCGAATTACAAAGTCAATCTTATCCAGCGATACCAGGAGTTGGCCCACACCACCCGAAAGCCTAATCGACCCATGCCTCCATATAATCAACATAGCAACAACGATATGTTCAACAGTCGGCCTCGCCAACAGCTGCGGCAAACAATGCGCAGAGCTTTGTCGGAAATGTCCCCTCTCCAGCGGCGCCAAACCAACAGTGGACGGCCCTGCCAAGCCAAACGATGTCCGTGATCGTTGGATCTCTTCACAACAATCCTCCCAGCGTTTCCCAAGGAGTTGCCGCTCGGCCCCAGGAGTCAGCAACCCCGATGAATGTTGCAAGTCATCAATTTTCTACGACCTCGCAAGCACCCTCTCCTGGACGGCAGCGCCAACACAGCACGCGTTGCGTACTGAGGCGCCGGGTTTAGCCTGGCACGGTCAACCCCAGAGACTTCACAGACACATGCGCGGCCGAATGCGCATATCTCGGAATTATCGACAAATCAGCAGGCTAGTGGTGCATACTGGTCCAGTGGCTCACCTGTTTCAGCTCAGTCGCCCGTCGTGCAGGCTTCGACGGCCATGCGCACCATTCACAAACGGCAGGCTGTTCAGCCTCAACAAGCCTTTGTGGCACAGCCAACACCGACTGAACCAACCTCGACCGGCCTCTTGATCCCAGGCCGCACTAACCAGATTCCCATCAATGAATCCCCGAGTGATCCGCAGGATAGTAACTGCATCATGCGTACCCTTCATCATGCCCACATTCGTAGTCCAAAGCGCCTCCGTATACGACCCGAAGCACAGAATGAGCGATACTACCAGTCAGTCAGGAGACTCGTGTTAGGTCCTACCTCAATTGCCCCTAGCGCCGTGGTCCACAAATTCAGCTTCCACTTGGGTCCTAGAGATCGTGATCGTTTGACACATGTCGAAACCGATCCCGATGATCGACTCCCTATTCAGGAATACACCAACGGAACCGTACGCGTCCGGATCCGCTGCTGCTATCTGCTCGACCAGCGGCACAGCATCACTGACAGCGACTGGGTCACGAAAGACGTTATCTAGCCTGAACACCTTTTTCTAGAAGTCAATTATTCCGGCTTGACCTTACGGCGAAAGGCGCACCATTCCAAAGACTTGCCGGTTGAGGTTCCAGCAAACGCGCTCTCGGAGGAGAACCACCTTCATGTCTGGGTTCCGGAAACTGCTAAGCGCCCACGGCAGGCGCCGAAGAACAGTCACCCACATCTCGCGGTAGAGCTTGTCGAAACGCTAAGTCACTCAGCCATTTTGAGCTTGGTCAAGACTCACGGCATTCAGCAATCCTCGAAGACTCTTAAAGTCATCAGGCGACGATTATCGAGCACTACAGCCAGTAATGATGATGAGATCGCGGTGGTTAGTCACGAGCTGGTCATTGACTTGGCAGACCCATTCACCTCCGCAATCTTCAAGACTCCGGTACGTGGCATGAATTGCACCATCTTGAGTGCTTCGATCTGGAGACGCGGTTGAATACCCGATTAGGCAAAAAGAAGACATGCACGTGCGGCAAAGGGGGGTCATCGTGTCAGAGTTGCCCAGATGAACCTTCCTCCGTGGACAAGTGGAAGTGCCCACTGTGCTCAGGTGATGCTCGGCCATACAGCTTGCGCATCGACGAATGGCTGGCTGAGGTTCGCGACAAACTCGAGAAAGACGGCACATTACGCGCCAAGGCCATCCTTGTGTCCGCGGATGGAAGCTGGAAGATCAACGAGGTGGTCGAGGAGTATTTACCGCCTGGAGCAGCGCCAGAATTTGGTAACAACAAGTCTGTTGCAGCGGTGGTGAAGGAGACGCCTGTCATTGCCATCGACAGTGACTAAAGTGAAAAGCGCAGAGAGCCCTGATAAGTTGCTGGGTGTGTCTTCTCAGCCTTTCCATAGACTTTCATTAAAGCATTGAGCCTGGGTCAAAACTGGCGATTATATATCTGATAACAAACCAGAATCCCTCTATGATATCCAGTTTCTAAGCCGCGTGCGGGTCCCAATGCTAGTATGGCTTGCTTAGTTTTACGTCTAATCTTACACTTTTAGTGTCTTACCAACTTATAGGGCTTACAAAATTACTACCATACTGAAATATCTCTGATCGGGGAAAAAGAAGAGCATCACTTTTCATCGAATAATTCGTTCATGACGTGTTCCTTCATCCACCTCTTACTACAGCGCGATTCTCCAGATCCTAAGGGACAGAGAGGCGCTCCCGCATCGCCTGCGCATTGAACGCGTGGGATGGCAGAGCCGATGGTTATCGTGGGGGCTTCTGCTGGGCTCGACCAGAGTAAACACCACCCACACGCGGGCCGAAGCGCAGAGGCACCGCAGGCGGCGCGCGAACACACCGAAGGCGACACTGTGGCGAGCGTTTGAACGCAGAACTCGACTGTCGAACAAGAAATTGCCGACGTATTTGGGAATGAGGATAAGGCGTGCCTCCACAACCTCCTCGAGAAATTCTACGCCCTCCGTATACGACGCGACCGAGCCTCGAGCGGGGCACGACCGACAAACATATCGAAGGCGTCATCGCGAAAACCGTACAGGTGACTATCGACGCGGAGGAGAAGAAGCAGAAACCTACTTGGGCCGCGGTCGCGTCGAGCCCGGAGCTTAGTAGCAGTGCATGGCAGCCCCCGGTCTGACATTCCCGAACGCAGGGAGATGCAGGTAATAATATCGGCCCCCGAGGGGAACACACTCCCTGACAGGGACCCAAAGCGACGGTGGAGGGTGTGGACGCCGCCCTGTGCGGCCGGGACACTCTAGCAGCGATGCGCCTTCAGTCCGGCGATATCATGATTACCTTCGCGAGTAAAGCGGCCAAGCCCGGGCGCGACGACTAGTGGCTGGAAGGGGCCTACGGCCAAGGGGCGTTTCTGAAGCACCGCCAAGTCGCGGTGATCGCGAAGGGCGTACCGACGGCACTACTGGCAGCCGCGCACGATGAGCGCACACTGGCCGCGCACACAGCGACGGAGAATAAGGCGGGCATCACAAGGTGCAAACGGGGCCTCCCTATGAACAACCAAGCGGCGAACGCATCGCTCATCATTTTCACCAACGGCGTAAGCGCAGCTCAGGAGCTGGTCCAGCGCGGGTCAGTCCGGCAGGCTCGAATTTTCGACTACGAGCCTTACGACCCTAGTCTCCGCGGTTCCTTCAATGCTACGACTGTTACGGCTCCGGCCACAGGGCCCGGGTGTGCAAGGCCAAGCTGAGGTGCGGGTACTGCGGCGGCGGCGCGCAAGAGGGCGGCTAGAAGAAATGTACTAGGGCGGCACCGAGCGCCAGGAAGGCATGCGTCAACTGCCATGGACCACACGCGGCATGTGACCGGCGCTGCAGGGTAGTGCAGACGGGGCGCGAGTGAGTCCGCGAAGCATTCGCCTACCGGGCCCGCCGTTTCGAGGCAGCCGAGAGTGTCGACCGTGTCGGTCCTCCGGAGCGATAATGACACTAGGGCACCACCCGTGAGCACCCGCGGGGGAGCACGCCTTGACGGCGACGCGCGACGAGTGGCAGGTCGTGCAGGGTAGAGAACGATCCAGGCCCCGTGGCCGCCCACGGAAGCAAACAGCGTAGAGCGTCGGCGGTAGCCAGGATAGGGCTATAACGTCAATGTTCATTGCGCCCGCGAAGCGGAGGCGTGGCGACGGAGGATCAATCGCAGCGCTACCGGAGACGAACTCAACCCGATCAAGATGAAGCTCTCAGTCCTGTACTGGGACACCGTAGCAAGCAGGCAGAACACGGCGCTGTCCCTAGAAGACCACGCCGAGTACGTGGTCCAACAGGGACAAAGGGGGTTCTACTGCCCCAGCCGCTGCCGCTACACGGCGATTTACGAAGGCGGCAGAGCGTTGTTCTACGTATATAAGTGGCTTGACCCAGCCTCGTGGACGTGGCGCGAGGCAACCAATTGGTGCGTCATTACCTTCGGGTCGGAGAACGGGGCTTATGGTAATACGCCGCCCTATCGGTCGGGGCTGGCATTTGGCATCCATACCCCCACGCTGAAGCACGGCAAGAAGGAGACAGGCCCAAGCAGCGAAAGTGCATCGATACAGTCGTAGTGCCTCCGCGTCGTCTGCAGCGCACCACTGTCGACCGCTATCCGGTATCTTGAGGGCGAAGCCTGCGTCCCTCCCTTGGACCTACACCTGAACTATGTCACCGCAAGCTTTCAAGAGAGGACCGAGAAGGAGGATGAGGAGAAGCTTGTGCGCATCGCGTCCGCAAGGGCAGCGGGCTTTGTCAGCCGCGCCCAAAGCGCGGCGGAAACGAAACTCGACGGCGAGCAGCCCATTGCCGAGACCTGACGCAGTACTGACATAACAAGTGACAGGCCTCCTGGCGGGGACCGGAGGGTCCTCACCCAAGCTCGCGCCGAGGGGTGGGAGGACCGCTGGAACGCTGCGCGTGCGCAGTGCACAGACCCTAGACCGATCGCGGAGGACTGCCAGAGCAGGGGCAGTGGCTCCGCCGCTGCCGTCGGCGCGGTCGTCGGCACGGAAGGCACCTAGCAGCTGAGCTGCTGTGAGGGCAGCGGCGGCAAAGGACTGAACGAAGCTATCAGCATATGGATACCGTGAGCAAGCCGAGGTCGTCGCGGAGACGAGGCGCTCGATACGCTCGCGCGCAGCACTTACTGGGTCGGCATCGCTCTGGGCGTGCTCCGGGCGTCGAGCATCTCGCGCACGGCGGTAGCGCCTCTGGAGGGAGAGGGGCGGTGAAGTTTGCTGCTGCTGCTGCTGCTGCTGGCGCATCCGCTCTCCCCCTGGCCAGGGCCGCAGAGGCATCGGCAGCGATGGTTTTGAGTCGTGCGCTTGCTTCGTCCTACGCGCTGCCGGAGAGGGCGCGCTTGAGATGTTTCGATTCGGGTCTGGAACATGGCAAAGTTAGCAAGTGAGATGGGGGTGAGATTGTAGGCGGCGACGTACCCATCGTTGTTGCTGTTGCTGCTGTTGCTGTGGCTGATAAAGACGTCAGCGCGAGGCCCTCGACGAGGAACACTGATAGGTTGACGATGGCTTGAAGGAAGAAAGAAGGAATCACGACGACGACGACGACAATGCCACCGTCAGCATGTAAGGTACTACAGTAACTGCCAGTGGTTGTCCCGGATACTGAGGCCGGCCTATACGACGACTTCAGGCTGAGAAGCGTCGCCATAGACTCCAACGAACCGCACTTTCCCGCGAACCACGCTGGCTTGGTGGCCTGGAGGGTGGCCAACCTCGCCCAAAGAACGCCTGGCTGGTGGGAGCCTTTCGTACTACGCGACGGAACCACGCAGCTCAGACGCCGCTTGAGCGTGCCGAATACGTAGCGTATATTATCATCTCGCTCCGGCACGGTTCGTTATACAATAGATTTGCAGTCTCGCGAAATCGAGATAGGTAACGCGTGCTACTACTACTAATAATAATCATAATAAAATTGCTAGCAAGAAAATGGACTCCATAATATAGCCATCCTTAAGTTATATTACTTTAATCATAAGTCAGCTTTAAGATGTAACGTTAGCGTTAATCAGCTATATAGATAACCGAACGGAGGTAGTAAAGATAGCTTTTGTTAATTCCCTTCCCTCCTTATATTTACTGTTACTAACGTGTGTAAAAATACTCTAGAAGGTTTAGAAGCTTTTTGAAGTGAGCATAAGCCTTATTTTTCGAGAAAGGTTCAATCTCGGTGTCTCGTGTGGGGAAGGAAGCAATTTTCTGCTTTCCGTTGAATGTAATCGGTCCATTGTGATCGAAAGTTTCATCTCGTCCTTTCGGCTTAGCTGGAGATTGCGGTAGTGCTGCTTTTGCTGGAACTGGAGCCCCCTCGTGCTTGTTCCTATGATAGCGACATGACGCTTTCATCCGAGGACAAACCGTTCCGTTGCCCATAGGCCACTTGCACATGACTTGATCGACGTCTGGGATGGATTGGGCAGCACGCTTTTTCGCAACCATTTGTTTTGGCGTAGGGTACAAGGGTGGATTAAATAACGTTGAGTTGGTATTACTAACGCTTCATTGCTGTCCAGTAATATAACAAATTATCGAAATGTAACGGTGATGATTATGTGACTGCTCTCGTACGGAATCTCAAAACACTCTGTAGATCACGTTTTTGTAAATATAAATCACCCATAATCAGTGCTCTCTTCTCTAGCTGACACACTGACCCCCAAGAGTAACGCGTTTCCGACTAGATAGGGCTCCGCATTTTTAGTCTTTAGCATGCCTTTTACTTAGGATTAGAATACTGTATTGCAGCCAGTTGCACCTGATATACATAAAAGAGCCTAGTGTCTCGTCCTATATTGTGGCGTTCGACGGTGGTTCATGAGTTCGCGAACCAAATCGATACGACGAAACAACTTGCACAGGACTATCATTTTCTACTCTTGTATAATTACTCCCCATCACTTTTCGTTTCCTCTGTCTCGTACAAAATGCCTGATCCACCTTGACAGGTCGCGCAAATTGTCTTTCCTACGACATGAAGTGACAGGTTACCAAAGACATGATAGTCAGACAGAACCTTACTAATACAGTCAAAAGGCTTGGGAGAAGTAGTAAATTTGCAAGCAATGGGGTTCACTCGGCCTCCTCGATAGGAAGCATAATGAGGAGAAGGGTCCATGCGAAATTGCGCTTAAGACTCGGATTCTGGCCGCGCCTGGACCTGATACCCGCGTGGGGTAGCAAGTGTTCATTCTAATTGCCGTTCTTGATGAATTTGCCTGGCTCGTGACGGTGCCTGAAGCGACGGAGGCTATGCCCGTTACCTGAGGTTGCTAAGGCTCAAATTTCGCGCGACGGTCTTGCGGAAGATCATGGCCCGGTGTAGAAGGTCGGCCGGCGGTCATGTGATCAATTGGCTGTGAGTCGCAACCCTTGGCAGCGAAGGCGCCGGGCTTCTCAAAATAGAAAGGCCCACGCCGTCTTAGAAAAACCGTCAAAGATGTACTACTAGTCAAGGCAATATTCTTCCAACTCTTGCCGAAGGGCTAGTGGCCGTGCCGACCGCAAGCCATATCCCCACTGCCTTGAGATTATACTGGGGAGAGAGTTCGTCGACGACAGTATGAATAGTTGAACTATCCTGGGCAGATGGAGAGCCGGGAGGCGAGGAGGAAATCGCTGATCGGCATTGGATGGTAGACTCCGGATCGCCCCAGTATAACGGGCTTCTTGGACTATGTGAACAAGACTTGCCGGCAACAAGTTTATCATATCTTAAGGCCCCCGAGTTCTGCTCGAGGCCACAACCAGGGGCTAATACAGGCAATGTTGACGAGAGGCCGAACCTAAACATGCGCAGGGATGGATATTGATAAGTTTGCCCATGGCTGTCTGCAGATGAGCTGCAATGCTGTTGAAGTGCTGGCGGTCTGTATTGACCGCATACTTGCTTGAATCCTGGTATGGTACACAGCGAAAGGCCTGGTACTGTTAGCTGTGTCTTGCTTGTGTACGCTGCTCCTCTCTAGCTGGGTCACATACTGACTCATCTTCCATTCTACACTACCACCTCAATGGAGGTTCTTTGACTTGGCGGGAGTTTGAGCTTCTCGAGCGATCTAGGAAGCTAATTCATCGGAGCGCAGGGTCATAAGGGACATCCCTTCCCGCAAGGTTCGAAGAGGATTAACGAGCTTCTCTGTGCGCGATAGAAGGAGTCTTATGTCACTTATATTCTTGATATGAGAAGGTTTGCCGCACCTCGAGACTCCATGGCTGAAAACGCACTGAGGCTCAAGGTGACAGAGCTTTATTTCGAGTGTCTAATACACGGTATTCCCTGATTGTAGTAGCGACCATGTGTTCGGACTATCGGTGCAAATGGAGATCTCAAAGCAATTCGAGACACGATTGCCAGCCAACCATCAGCTATGAGCATTCTTCCATGCGCTCCGGACAGGAATCATAGAGCTTATGGCGGCACGGTATCGCCGAAGACTGCTTCCCTTGTTATATACACAGAGGGGTGCCAGTGTAGCCACCTACTTGGTGGATTCGTCTTCTGCACCTCAGAGCTCCTGATAAGAACATGAGACCTTGGCTATTGCTTGTATTATGCAGCTTACGAACAAAACCTCGCTAAGATGATAGGGAAGAAGTCCCGAAAATCCCGACGCTCATACAAGCTCTTCAAACGCATCGAGCATAAAATCTCTCGTTATGTCTGTGGGACAACCTACTGAGCAGTCTGAAAGCAAGGAGTCCTAAGTTTCGAAGCATCATTCGGTTACGGTTGAAAATAGTCAACATATTACGCACATACGCATAAAATCGGTTGACCAGTTGGTCATGGCAACAACAACCATCGTCAGGTCCCAGCCACCGCTAACACGACCTCCCGGCCAGCTGCTCGTCATCGATACCTCTCAATCAACCTCTGAGCACCCGTGGCCGCCATACCGACACGCACGTGGCAATTCACCTCTTGAACGTCTGCCTACCGAGATCTTGCGTAAGTTGCAATCGTCCTCGTTTTTTACATGCTGTGTCCCATTGCCAACACGCTATACAGAAGAAATCATAGATATAGTGGCTACGAGAAAGCCAGCCCTCGGGGACCGATCTCAACAATACAGCATACAGCCGCTTCTTAATACTTCAAAGATCCTGTATTCTGTCACTGTCCGCGCACGTTATGAGCACGTTACTATCCCCGACTCGCAGGTCTTCCGCAAGCTGCTCTCCGCCTTGCGCGGTAATCCGGGATTTGGTACACTCGTGCGGCGCATTGACTTCAGCTCATTTAACCCCATAATACTCTTCTCCTCGGCCAAGGAGCGCTTGAGCGCTGATAACCTGACACCGAGAACACTGATTCAGTGCTTGAACCTAACACCCGGGCTGCGCGAATTCGTTGCGCAAGAGCACATGGATGATGAGATAGACATTATAGTGCTGAGGAAGCTCTTTCACCACCTTTCTCATCTAACCGCATTAGACTTTTGTGGCTGCTCCTCGCCACGCTTCCGTACTGCGATGACGACATTTGCCAAGAGTATAACCGACAAGGATATCGCCTTTTCTGTTTCGCGTTTGTCACTGCACCGCTGCGACAATCTACCTTCTGCAGTTTTTGATCAACTACTACGTCGGATGAACGCCCTTACCCATCTCGACCTTGCCGGCACGAAAGTTTCTGACCAGGCTCTGCAGTCAATACCGCACTCGGGGCGAATAACGCATCTGAATTTGTCCCGGTGTAATGGTTTGGCAGCCAGCGCTGTCCTCAAGTTTTTGCAGAGCCATCCCGGCGTAAAAGATAGCCTCGTGGTCCTGAACCTTGCAGTTGACTTCCGTACTCGATGCGGGCTCAGGGGGAACGACCTCTCGGAACTGTTGATGGGCTTGCCACGCAGCTTACGGTCGCTAAACCTGAAAGGCAGCGAAATGGGCTCAGCACATATTCCACTCCTCCAGAGGCTTATGAAACATGTTCATGAACTCGCGCTGGGACGAGGATTGACAGTCGCTGACTTTGAGAAGCTATTCGAGGCGAATCCTCGGTTATCCGACCAGGATAAAGATACTCAATGTTGTACAACGCCACCAGCTTCCATCCTGTCACACACGTTGAGGTATCTTGATCTTTCCGATTATGTGGGTCAAGAGCTCGACCTGGGTGCTCTGTTCTCCCCCGAATGCAGTATCATGCAAAACCGTTCGGCCCCCCTTTCCGTAGTCGAGGTTGCGGGCGAATTGTTTAAAGGGCTTTCCAGGTCCTCTATCCCAATCAAATTCGGCTGGACCGTGGTCGAATCTGGGTGCCGAACTTGGATCCAAAGGCAACAAGGCGAGATTCTCCAGGGCTCTAATGACTTCAGCTGGAAAATGGGAACAGGGAATTGGGGTATGCGCAAGATTCCCGTTGTTTTCGGAGAAGTTTGTGCTATGTACCGTAATTATACTTTTATGCGGGGCGTTTGAAAATAGAAGATATTAAGGCTGTATGGAGCAGCAATGATTCTGCAGCGATTAGCTCCAGCCAGCTTGGGTCTGAGATGAGGGGCTCTCCCGCTAGTGTCCGGGAACTAACCTATGGTACGCACGAACTGGACGCATGTCGCTATCGACTGACTGGTTAAGTAGTGCACATGGTGAGAGGAGCCTCGAAGGGCTGCCTTGTGGCATCGATGGGCCTCCTCAGTTCCGCACATCATAAGATGAAGCCAGTAAGATGGGACACCAGAGAACTAAAGGCACGCAATTCCACGCGGTTAGTTCGGAGAAGCACAGCGTGCTTCACATTCTTTTAGGATAAAATGCTACCATCGCGCGAACGAAGGATTGATATGACACCACACACCAGAGGGCAACAACGAGGGGAATCTATCAAGCAATTCAGGGAAACTATCTGGCTATTCTTAAGGACTCCTTTCCTTATATTTCTATATCACATACAAGTCCCGCTTGCGTTAGAATGCTTACAAGCTCGCCACCCAATATTCTTCCATCAGCATTTATCCGCTTCCGACCTCCACATGCTATTGACCAAATCCTCTCCGTCGCTATCCAGCATATAGCCAATAGCAAAAGTGTTCTCTGCTCCCGTTGTCCCAGCTACAAATAAGCCACAGTTATTTGAGATGTGATCAAAGGCCCGCCGAACTTCGTCCGCGGTTATTCGAAGAATTCGATCTCCCTTTCTATCATCATTGTTTACGATGAAAGCCATGACGTTGTGATTGCGCTCGATGATGGATTCGTGCGGTAAGATTGGGCGGCCAGGGTCTTTATAACTCTGCACCGTGCCAATCAGAGCGGTAACGGCCGCACGAGTGGCGTCGTGATCAAGGTGGCGGTCGCAGCCGCAGGCCCTGTTCCAAAAACCCCCGGCTCTTGGACGGATGGCGTTGTCGTCCTGGCTCGGATCGTCCTCTTTCTTGTTCATGCGAATAGCCTGTGATGCAGTGACAGCTGATATATGCACTTGCGCTACAGACTGCGTTGCAGCCATTGCAGTTGTGGCAGCAAGAAGGAGCGCACGCTGGTAAATCATCATATCTGAAACAGGTTTCTCTCTGTGAGGGGTAAAAGGTGGTCTCCTCGTTTTGCCCCAAGTAGCCAGTAGATCTATATGTGTCTATCTTGGGTCGGACCGGCAATATCACGTCATAACTGAGAACAGGAGGTGGTCCTTCCCAATATGACTAGCATAGTCCGATGCGATTATTCAATCCTTCGTCGTGACAAACGAGCACGCGAAAAGATGTTCTTCGGTTATTGTAGGCCTGGAGAAAATAGCTCACGCGATACATGTGTCTGGAGACGTGCAAGCGTTAAGACCAGGAAAATGGAGCGTTGCAAACGTGTAACAATCAGTTGCAAATAACATAAATACCACCAACGCTTCACTTGTGACGGCGGGTGCATGAAGTCGGACCGACATCACACTGACTTTGTTCGAGTGATTTGTTATTCATTAGCACGCAGTACATAAAGAATAACAACGCAACTAAGACATTGGTCATGCGATGAGCAGGCAGCCTTCTTCCGTTCTTAGTCAGATAAACTAAGCGTATTTGTACGCCTGGATGCGAGGTACTCTCCGAGGGTCAACTTCACGGCTGGAACACCGCACAACTACCATATTCATCGTCTACGTCTTAACAACTACCCACCGGCATAAAAATATCGAAAATGCCAGCGCTGACTATCATGGGGGCCATTGGGCCTTTTCAACTCCCGCTCGTCGTGCAGGCTCATGCGCTGCTCATGGTGGTCATGGGGGCTAGATCCCTTCTTACATCCCCCCAACGGCCAGAAAAGCTTCCAAGCCTGAAGATACAGCCAGATAAAGCGGATCACGATCGCTTCCATGAGGTCACTGTTATACCCAGTGATGTGCCAGGAGACAACGGCGATTCCGGCATGGAAGGAATTCTCTCCTGTGCCCTTGGACTGGCTTATTTCATGACCTCATACATGCCACCAGAGCAAAATCAATTTTTACATGCTAGTGTCCCTTTGCGAATATTCCTTGCTTTATTAGCAGGGGGGAGACTCTTCTACATGCGAAACTCACGGAGCAAAGCTGGCCGAACTATGTTACTCGTGCTTGTCTACGACGGCATCGGGGGTGTAGCCGTAGGAATAAGTATTCGGAACTTCACCGGTCGAGTTTAAAGATAAAGGATATGTCGCGACTGGTGATCGGCTGCACGCAGTCGTTGATCCTGGTGGCATCGCGGGCAAGTCGGTGGGGCAAAGTACAGTCCTATCCTTCAAGTGCGTGGAGAACAGATAGCAACACGAATGGCTGAATCAAGAGAGCCTGCAGGCTGGGGAACGTATTTATAAATTGAGATACATAACAACAAAGCAAACGTGTTTGCTTACGTGGGCTCGACCATGGAGTTAAGTACTGCCTATGAATAGGTATTACTAGGGAAAAGATATGGTCCCTTCAATGTCGTTATAAATGGTGTATGCCTGGAAGGAGCTTGACTGGAGAACATCGCTATTCGACTTCAACATAGACAATCACAAACACAGCGCGCAAAGCCCTGCTCCCACCATGCACCAGCCAACGGGTACTCGTCATCTGGCATCGATACCTTCGACCGATTCTCCTGACGGCAATGAGACGCAGACTTCGCTGTTTCAGGCAGTCCAGGGGGATCACGACGCTTGGGTTCGCGCTCTAATCAACGACGGCGCAGACGTCAACGCTCGAAGTGCGGCTGAACTGTCTTATGAGAACTGGCTGTTATTGTTAGGGGACCCTGACGCAGCAAAGGCCACCACCGAAGATTCAGTGTCGGAAGGTCAGTTCTGGTGGGGAGAGACACCATTAATGTGGGCAGCTCTGAGCGGCAACGCGATCATTGTTGAATTACTTCTGCGGGCGGGAGCAAGCATTGATGCTCGTGGCCGCGGATTTTGCACTCCTCTCCTGTGGGCGACCATCTGCGGGCATCTGCCGGCCGTCCATCTTCTACTTAAGCATGGCGCGGATGTTAACGTTCAAGATGCCGGGGGTCGCACTCCACTGCACTGGTCGTCTAAGAAAGGGCACACAGCAATTGCCCAAAGATTGCTTGAATTCGAAGCAAAAGTCGACCTCAAAGACGCACAAGCTCAGACTCCTTTGATTTGCGCAGCGAAGAACGGTCATAAATTAACAATGGAAGTCTTGATCGCTAAGAATGCTGCGTTAGAGGCACGGGATACATATGGAAGAACCCCGCTTCTATGGGCCGCTTCCATCGGAAGCTTGGATGCGGTCGACACGCTTCTCGAAAGAGGATGTAATGTAAATACGTCCGATATACTGCATTGGACTCCTCTTGGACTGTCAATAGCGCCTAAGTACGATATGGGAAAGATGGTCGATTTGTCATCTGAGTCCAAAGAGGTCATTCGCCGCCTCATCCGGTGGAGGGCGAATGTTAACTGCACCAACATCCACGACGAGACTCCGTTGCTTTTGGCAGTTCGGCGCGGACATTCCGACATCGTAGTTCTGCTACTTCGAGCCAGAGCAGATCCTAACATTACAGACCTCGAAGGATCGACACCTCTCATGGCGTCTGCCGCGATTGGCAGAGTAGATATCGCGAGAAATCTCCTGGAATCCGGTGCAATGGTTACAGTTGAGGACCGCCACTGTCGCTCCGCCCTAACGATTGCCTCCGATAACGAAGATCTAGCCATGATGGAACTTTTACTAGACCATGGTCCTAGCGTTGATACGAAATTCATGTCAGGTCGAACGCTCCTACACTGGGCAGCCATAAACTCCGACTGCGTAATAGCAGGGGCTCTGTGCGCTAGAAAGGCTGACATTGACGCCGTTGAGGATCACACGCAGTATACTCCATTGTTCTATGCGGTCAGGGAGGGCACCATTGACATAGTTCGAGTGTTGCTGGCGCATGGCGCCAGCCTCGAGGCCAGAGATCGAGATGGCAGGACTGTACTGTTTCACGCAGTGGATCGAGGGCATCAGACAATCACGGAGTTGCTATTGGAGCACGGCGCTGATGTGATGGCAGTGGATGGAGATCAGCAGACAGCCCTTTATCGAGCTACCAAGCACGGAGATAAAGCACTGGCTAACTCGCTGGTATCACGCGGCGCTGCGTTAGATCGCCTGTAAGGCAATTATAGTCGCGCGCCACTTTCACAAATGATCGAGGAGTATCCTGTCGCTATCGTCCGTGTGAAAGAGGACATGGGAGTGACCAGTGCAAGAGACTATTTTCAGGTATAACAGAAGAACGAATAACTTGAAAGGCCAAGGTTGAGGAAGCCTCAGGGCTCTGGTTCCGGAAACGGCACTACTGAACTAGACTCGGTTGAATTATGCTATGGCCGCTAGGCAAGTACGTGTAGCAGGTCCCGTAGCCCGTTGTGCTTCATATGTCATGTCTGAGAGTTGAGAGACGCCGAACGTAAAAGATATCTCGAGTTTACGTCACCAGTGAGATAGTCGGTAGGCGCGCCCCTGATATAACTCCCCCATCAGCCCTGCACCCACGAGGTGGTTTTTTCCCCTCCCTGTCACTGAGTATGGGTGAAGACTGGATAAGACTTTTCTGCGGGCTTTTAAGCCTCTGCTTTGTACCGTTTTATGGGTACTTTGCATACTTCATCTTCGACGAGCTTATGCCTTTCCATTTGTCGAGATCGCTGCCCCAAAGTCATCATGCGCCTCTTGCGGGTTTTGGGTGCTTCATCTATGCATCCATATACGCAGCTGTAGTTTCTTTACATACTTCAGCTCCAGGTTTCACGGATTACAAGTGCGTACCAACAGATATCAGAAATTTCGCGCTTTTAGTTCTGTCACTCTTATTCACGATCACTGGCGTATGCGCTTCGGCTCAGGGAATGGTATGGTTTATTTATATCACGATTAATCCGCGCGACGATGAGAACCTGCCCTCTATTTATTGGCAATGCCTTGGCTCCGTTAGCTCTCTGATGGTAGGGGTCATCCTGAATGCTACACTGTGCGCTGTTGTTTGGGTGCAGCAAAGGGGACACGCTCCCAGGTTACACTTTATAAGCCAGTTTAAACCACACGAAGAGAATAGAGATTAGACTTTTTGCGTAGAATAAAATACTCCAGCAGACTCTCGCTGGGTTTTAAGGGACAGCCCAAACTCTGAGATTGGGCAATGAACCTATAAATGCCTGGTAGTCGTATCTGCCAACCTGAAGTAGAATGTGGCTCAAGGTAGAGCGAACCCATCAAGCTCTTATTGTTTTGCAGAGAGGTGGCTATACAAAATAGTGACAAGTGGTCATCCGTACTCAAGGCCGTAGTGGAGGTCGCTCACAGTTTCTCATTCTGGAAAGGAGTCAAGTCCCTACCCTGGTGCTCAGTCCCTCCGCCATGTGCTTGACGTAATATATCAGGTCAGGGCAAAATTCACGCTTCATTGCCAGATATAACTGTCGTTCTGAATCTTCCTACGAGCTGGTTGTACTTACAGAGATCACGCTTCGCAATGAAATCGAACCTTCGCGCCTTCCTCCATGTCCTCCTCATGCTCCCGCTCGGGGCCATCGCACAAAGCAACATGCTTCAGAACCAGAGCCATAGCAGAAAAAGAATTGTTCTTTGGGATCCAAAGAACAGTGAACAGATTGAACAGTTCCCAAGACTCAAGACGAGTGCGGAGGAAATTGCCCGTTCTCCAAGCGTTTCAGGGGCGTTGAATTGGCATCTCACGCGCCCAAAAGAACTTCCCGCAGATGTCACCTTCTATCCTATGCTTCGTGTCATTAACGGTACCGATTCATGGCAGGAAATGATTGAAGAAACAGTCGGATGTAGTCGTATTATACATTTCCTTAACGAGCCAGAGCGAGCCGGAACCCTCGTAGAAGCTGCTGTACGAGTCTGGCGCTCTCACATGCTTCCATTGCGCCAAAAGCACTGCTACAAGCTAGTTGGACCGGGTGTCGCGAGTACACCTGAAGGTAGTGCTTGGCTTTCCGAGTTCATGCATCAACTCGAAACGGACGAATGGCCTGATTTTACGGGCATACATTTCTACTCAAGGAAGGATGTCCCTGTGGCAACTGAAGTGGAGGCTGCGAAACAATTTCTAGCCACGAGACAGTCACTTTACAATCTTCCTCTTATCGTCAACGAAATGGCTTGTACTAGTCGCAACAAGGATGATGTAATACACTTCACGAAAGAGATGGTTGCGTATATGGATGCAGATCCAAGTGTTGCTGGATATGGCTTTTTTGGAGCTTCACTGGCACCGGTGGACGACTTTGTAAGCCCAGAGGCCCAACTACTAGATAGTTACGGCGATTGGAATGATCTCGGCAGGATGCTGCTGGCGTAGGTACGGCAATCAGCTGCTTTCTGCGAGAGGATGGATAGGGTGATAGTGAAAGATATCCGAGTATAATACTCATACCTGTTAACAGGTTATTGATCTAGTATGTTACCTTACTCCGACTGAAATCCAATAGGTGATCCAGTCTATTATAATGAGCTTCCCCTGACGTACTCGTTCCACTAGGGCGCGTGACACAACGCATTACTCGACTTCAGATAACAACCGCCTCTCTGCATCACATTACTTGCTATCAATGTAGTGCCTTGCGACTTGACCACGCTATCTGTGAGCTCGGGAGGTCGTCCCTTCCTATCGACAACGGGCCGGTTGCACCTCGGTTGTTCATTCAACGGCTCCTGCTGTAAGAGAAATCATGCAGACTGCGACTAGATTTATGGAAAACGAGCTACATCTCGTAGTCCTAGGGTCTCCGACCGGAAGTATGATAGATCGACTGGGTGGTCACCTTGGATCGGTTTTGATGGTGTAAGTCATAACACTTGCGTAAACATGGGGGTTGTTCTGATTTGACCATCATTATGACCCATAATGATGGTCTCGAATTCGGGCACTTCGTTATTGCTATAAGAGCAAAGATACATGCACCGCCTTGAACACAACAAATCAAACGCGATGTCCTTTCTCAAGTTCCCATTGAAGAAGCCCACTGACATTCTCAGGGGTTGTCACATATTACTGAGTCTGATTGTTATCGCGCTCCTCATTCCGATTGTCACAAAAGAAGAATATTCAGAGTCCGGTGTAGTGTCGTTGAATGTAAGGAAACCTTTATACGTGTCGGAGCCATGGGGATAAGCTGACCAATGTAGTTCGACAACTTCAAGTTACGTCGCGATATGTCTGCGTCCATAGGCACTATCGGCGGCCAAATTGCTAATTTGCCTGCCCAGGCCACTGCCGTTGTCGCATCTGCTGGGGCTCAGGCCACGTCCGTGGTTCAGGATCTTACAGGCAATGCGATGAACGCTACAGTTGCGGCCCTGAGCAATTTCTTGCACAAGAACTACACTCTGGGGACAAGATATGGTTGTGTAGACACTGAGTGTAGTAGTGTGCCAATAGTCACTGCGATTGCGGGTAGTAGCTTGGGATTCGCTTTGATCTCTTGCTTCACGGCTCTGGCCCCTCAGAGATTCCCTTTGGTGGGATGCGTATCGTTAAGTTTCATGGTATTTTGTCTTTTCGCATGTATGGTGTTGGCAGCATGCTCGCAATCGGTCTCGAGTATCGGTGGTTTGGTCACGCAGGTTCTAGGCTTTGGTGCTTTACAGATGGGGGAAGTGTACCCGCTATCATGGGCCTCATTCATCGTGTCCTGCTTGGCATTTGTTGCCCGAGTTTTGTCACTTTCACCACTCTTGTAGTTACTGTGAGAACCCGATCACCTAAAGACGCGGAAGACAAGTGGTCATGCTGTGATGACGAGGAGATATACCCGCATATATGATGATGAGCCATTGAATCGATCGTAAGATTGACCATGCACTTACTCTACCTTGTCTAGCAGCGGCGACTTTTATGAAGACTTTGTTTCAAGCAGGAGAGCACTTCCCATGGGAATCACGCCATTGAGCATGAGTCAGGATCGGGTCTCGTTGTGAGCCTCGGACTGAGCGGCGCCGCTTTTGCTTTCGTGGTTCTTGTGGCACAGGTGAAGAATAATGGCAGCACGATACTTCCCGTATTCTCTTCGATATGCCGGGCCAGTAGGCACGTAGGGAGTTGTATATGTCATGCCTCAATGCAATCAAATGCGGCTATGGATTGAAGGCCTTAAATTTGCCGACCATAGGGCCGCAGGGAATTGAAGTGCGCTGCTAAAAGGCGTATCGAATGGCCTGCGGCAGTCTTATCCCTTTATCCTAAAGCTATCTCCGGATGCAAATGAGGGACGGGTTGTTTCATGCTTGGGTGAACGCAGTGCTAACCTAGATGGCTGAACGAGCAGTACATATTTCTCACGCGAAGTGGTATCGTTGGCCACACTGGGGAAGTGCTGTTGTCAGAACGTTGCGGTCAGTAGGAAACTGTGCAAAGCTTTGAGGCGATGTTTTGTCAGGTCGCAGGGCAGGAATGGCGCGGTAGATCCAGCGTGAAGACGTGGTGGCTCGACGATGAGTATCATGTCGTCGACCTGAACTACACGCGGAGGCAGGGAGCCTTCCACGTCGACCTTCCAGACTACGCTGAGTTGGATGCGCAAGTTAAGCCTGACATCAAAGACTTGATTACATTGGTCCTGTATGGCAAGAAGGAGGACCATAACGACATTGAAGAAGTCGAGCAGTATATGCCTCATCTTCTGACTGCTCCTTATCGACAGCTCAGCCTTTGGACGATCTATAGCGGCTTCTACTTACTGAAGCGGATTTCTACCTCTTACGGAGCGGAAAGCCCTTGAGATGGAAAAGTTTATGGAGAGCTACGTCAAGATACCGTTGCGTCACTCCCCATTATTCGGGTTCAGTAGGATTGGCGCCGGTCATTCACAGCCACGGTGCTATATTGATTGAACTCAAGCTCCTCTACGCATTGTGCCCCAAGCATCAGGAGATCAAAAGTCTCCTGAACACTGTGGCCCAAGAAGCCGAAGAGCAGAGACGGATGTTCGGGTCACTCTCTCAGCCTACGCGTCATATCTACTCTTGCCTCACGTACAGGTTCCGGCGGTTGACAGATCCAACAGCGGCAGAGTGGCGAGACATCTGCGGATACCTGCACGGCTCCAATCAGCCAGCCCATAGAAATCGAATCGATGGTCAGGGGATCTATACACTATCCATAAAGCCAAACTCGCCGAACGACTATCAAGATTGGCTACATGCCCGTGAGCTGGCACGACTTGATTGAAGCTTATAGGGACGATGGATCGACAGCGGGAACAGCGGCACGCCATCGGATCGACACGAAACGATTGCTGCTTTGGCACGGGAATCCCATGCACAACGTCATCAGTATCCCTGAGACAGGTCTTCGCACTCGACCTCCGAACTGCACAGCCAGGCGGACAATGTTTGGGAAAGCAATATACCTGGCTGATGCGTCCAGCAAGTCGGCCAACTACTGCGGGAGCCACAATGGCGAAGGGGCGGTCCTCGTTCTGTGTAAGGCGGATCTGGGGCGAGGGGGAGTGATGCACGAACAGTAGTATCGAGGTGGCGATATAGTGATCCAAGACGGGGACAAAAAGAAGAGATGTGTGCAAGGAGTGGGTTCAACCAGCTAGCAGTTTGGAAATCAATCAGCTGGCGTATTGCAGCTGCGCCAGCAACATCAGCCGCGGAAGTCGAGATGGTGAGTTGTTAAACTTCGCTATGAACTTGTTAACGTAAGTTCGACTAAATCGTCACTAATTATAGCCTACTGCTGCGACATACCAGGGGAGCTAGCGGTAAACACGAGGTTTTCGCTATAATGAATGCGCGATGAAGAACAAGTGGTGTTTAACCCTGCGCTATATGGCCAGGGCGAGGATTTGGAAAGTCGTCTGTAGGACGAGAGTAAGATGATGTGACGGGGCACACCCGGGAATGCGCAATTCTTATGATGTCTACGAGACGTAAGAAAGCCTCTTCTCCTCGTAAGCGTACAGTGGCGGCCACAATCGGTGTCCACAAGCAACTCTAATGAGATGATTTGGGCACGGACCATATTGACCTCACTGTGGCTCAGGACTTGGTGAACATTATTCAGCACTATGTATCTTTCATAAAGCTCCACCACCCTCCACTTCTGGCTCCCACTAGCGGATGCCCAGCGATCCCATCCTGGCGAGGCGCCCTGATCGAGAAAATGGTTCGTTGAACCGCAAATGCTTTGCGAGTTGAGACGTCCAAATTTCGGACTGCCCTCGCTTTTCCATCGGCTGAACAGTGGTGGTCACCATATCGGTCGCGGCCGATGCTGCTTTAGGCTGAGGCGGCCGGCACACTACGCGCGCCACCATGCGCCACAGCTTACACAATAGAATTGTTCTCTTCGAAGACGTACAGCCACAGCGCTAGGATTCAATCGGTCTTAGTGTTGATAGATCCTGCCATGAAAGAGGCGCTCGGCGAGTTTTAAGCCTTGCGATGTTGAGCCAACTTCTTCAAAACACTGGCTGCGCAATGCAACGGTTCCTTCCTGGAGAGCTCTTTCTCCGATCATGCAAGCAAAAGGCAAGGATGACCGAAACGACGATGGCATGAATACCCCGCTGCAGCCCTGGTGATGATTGGGTGTATCCTGCGTAGTGGCCCGTGCAGACTGGTGTGGCAATGGCTTGCAGCATGAAGCTGACAGCCGAGAGCCGAAGGCTGAAAGTTGAGGAGCGACCGGTGAGGAGGCCTACCACGTCTGGATGAAGATATCATTGCAGGCGCCCCTGCCATGGCTCTCTCCGATCTCGTCTGTCGTCAACCCGATGTGATGACAAGTCTCAATCGAACCCTCCACACAGATCACAGATAGTAGCCCGGAAAAGTCCGACAGATAGACATCACGATGGCGTGCCCCCCGCCATTGCGAGTCCTCTCTCTTGGTAAGGCCCCGCAGTCGTAGCCTGGTGTCGCGCTGACACAGTCCAGATGGCGGAGGGATCCGCGGGATATCGAGCCTCCTCATTCTGGAGAATATCATGGAGCAAATCCGCGATGCCGAGCGACTCGACCACGTCCCGCGGCCATGCGATCGGTTCGACCTTATTGGTGGTACAAGCACAGGAGGGTACGATCACCGGTGCGGATCTTAGGCATGTGTACTAACGACTGCACAGGATCATTGCGATCATGCTCGGACGGCTGGGGATGACGGTCGATGAGTGCATTCGAGCATACAGGAGTGTGGCCAGACAGGCCTTCACCCCTAAGACGAAGACCATCTTGCAAAAACCACGATCCGGTGCCTTCTCCGCCACCGCTCTTGAGGCAGCTATCAAGCAGACGGTCAGGGAGTTCTGTGTGGAGTCGGAGTGTGTTGAACGCCGACGACAAGGCCAGACGACCATGGGGACATGCCCACACGGGGACGCCTTGTTCCGCAGCAAGTCGTGTACAAAGACGTACGTTTACTGTTGTGCCAATGACAGCCGGGATGGCACTGATTTCCCACAGCACTGTACTAGCCATTACGAAGGACAACGTTGATGCTCCGCCGACTCTTTTCAAGACATATGACACATCTACCGCTCTGGATGGCTGCACCATCTGGCAGGTGGCGCGGGCCACGTCGGCTGCTACGACCTTCTTCAAGCCCATCAAGGTGGGCCGGGATGAGATCGAGTTTATCGACGCCGGATTCGGATATAACAACCCTTGCGAATTACTCATCGGTGAAGCCCAGCGACAGTTTCCCGATCATGGGCAGATGCAAGTCCTCAGTATCGGCACCGGCCTTGGGGATGTTGTCGAGATTAGCAGTTCGTGGACTTCCATTATCAAGGCACTCAAGCAGATGGCAACATCGTCCGAGAGGGTAGCGACGGAACTGCACGACCGGTACAGAGGTAGCGGCTGTTATTATAGGTTCAATGTCGAACAAGGTCTGAGGGACGTCACGCTGTCCGATTGGGAGAAGTCCAGCACGATTTCAGCTCACACCCTCAACTATCTGAAGAAAAGGATTGGGGAGATTAACACCTTTGTGGACAGCTTTGTTGCAATCGACCAGGGCGGGAACATAAGGAGTAGCCAGGAATTGACTTCGAATGCGACTGGAGCCGGAACACAGACGCAGCGCATGCCTGCCGAACTTGGCGAATCGAGTATGTACTAGTGTAAAAAATGTCAAGTCTGAAAAGTTGCGGGCGCTGATACTTTGCAAATTGATAGACCCTCATCATTACATTCCCTTGGACAACAATGAACTCTTCGTCGGGCGAGAAAACCACCTGAATCAGCTCAAGACGTTATTTGACCGAAGAAAACGAAAAATTGCACTCGTGGGACTAGGAGGCGTGGGCAAGACGCAAGTGGCTTTGCAGCTTGCATACTGGGTGAAGGAATGCCGCAAAGAGCACTCCGTTTTCTGGCTTCCGGCACTAAGTGACGGAAGCTTCGAGCAGGCGTGCGTCGAGATTGCAAGCACATTCGCGATACCCACGGCTGCAGACGACAACGACGCAAGAAAAGCATTGCAGCGGTACCTGAGCTCAGATGCTGCTGGCAAGTGGCTACTTGTTGTGGACAATGCCGATGATACGAGGCTGCTCTTCGGAGCACCTGATGCACCCGGCGGCATCCACCTGTATCTTCCCAAAAGGGGGGATGGCGTGACGTTGTTCACGACTCGCTCGAATGAGGTGGCGGTCTCTGTTGGAAGAAACGACGTGGTTGAGTTGGGCGAGATGGCTCCGAAAGAGGCGAATTTTTTCCTAACCAAGTCCGTGGTCCAGCAGAACCTACTCTGCGATGAGGTAGCGACGGTAAAGCTGCTGAAGAAGCTGACATACCTCCCGTTGGCGATTACACAGGCTGCGGCATATCTAAGCGTCAAAAGGATGCCCGCCGCGGAGTATCTGGAGCTATTGAGTGCTACGGAGGCAGACGCCATTGGACTGATGAGCGAGGGGTTCAGGGACGACACTCGATATGAAGGTTCACAGAACACGATAGCAACGACGTGGCTTGTGTCCTTTGACCAAATTCGCAACACAGACCCCGCGGCGGCCAAGCTGCTGAGTTTCCTGTCATGCATAGAGGCAAAAGGCATTCCCCAGTCGCTCCTGCCCCAGCTCGGATCAGCACAGCAGTTGGCGAGTGCGATTGGTACACTCTGTGCGTATGCATTCCTTGTCCGACGCAATGTCAGCAAGGTGTTTGACATGCACAGACTAGTGCAGCTGGCAGCCCGAAATCAGCTGCGTCAGGCGGGCCATGAGATACAGGAGATGAGGGAGGCAGTCCGACATATCCGGGAGGTGTTTCCCGACGACGACTATGAGAACCGAGACGAATGGAGGGAGTATCTCCCACATGCTTTCCGAGTACTTAGCAAAGATACCGGGGTTGATTCCGAGGAAAGAAACAACCTAAGTTTTTGGGTTGGACGATGTTTGCGAGTCGATGGACGAAGCAAGGAAGCGGTCTTCCATCTAGAAGAGACGTGTCGGTGGAGGGATAGTCGGTACCCTGAAGAGCACCCCGATCGACTAGCATCACAACATGCTCTCGCCGTAGCATATGAAGCAGACGGCCAGGTCAAGAAGGCGGTCGAGCTGCTCGAGCATGTAGTTACGGTACAAGAGAGGACGCTCGCGGAAGACCACCCGTCTCAACTAGCATCACAGCATACTCTCGCCGTAGCATATGAAGCAGACGGTCAGGTGAAGAAGGCGGTCGAGTTTCTCGAGCAGGTAGTTGCGGTACGACGGAGGACGCTCGCGGAAGACCACCCGTCTCGACTAGCATCACAGCATGCTCTCGCTATAGCACACCAAGCAGACGGCCAGGTCAAGAAGGCGGTCGAGCTTCTCGAGCAGGTAGTTGCGGTAAAAGGGAAGATGCTCGCGGAAGACCACCCGTCTCGACTAGCATCACAGCATACTCTCGCTTTGGCATATGAAGCAGACGGCCAGGTCAAGAAGGCGGTCGAGCTACTCGAGCAGGTAGTTGCGGTACGACGGAGGACGCTCGCGGAAGACCACCCGTCTCGACTAGCATCACAGCATACTCTCGCTTTGGCATATGAAGCAGACGGCCAGGTCAAGAAGGCGGTCGAGCTACTCGAGCATGTAGTTACGGTGGAAGGGAGGACGCTCGCGGAAGACCACCCGTCTCGACTAGCGTCACAACACGCGCTTGCGTTATTGAAACACGATATTGCGCTTGAAGGAGACGACGCAGACGGACGATGATGGGTCTCGCTTGTCGTCCAGCCTTCCCACGTATGCATTTTGTTTCATGCGTTTGAACCGCGGGTGGCTGGAGCCAATGATCGGGTTGGACTTTAGAGGAGAAAGTCTAGTTTCACTCCTGCCCCTAATAAGCAGCTACAAGCACAAAATTGGGTAGTTCCAGTCACGGCCGGCTAGGTCAGCGGGAGAAGCCTCGTCTATAAGGGCAACAATGGAGAAGAAGAACAATCTAACGAAGGAAAAAGAGAAAGTGGAAGGAACATTGCAAGCGATGAGCTCAGGTAGGCTGCGCAGACTCTGCAGCAGTCATGTGACGTGACGCCCGCGCAAGGAGTGACGCTGGTAGCAGCGGTCCTCACAGTCCCCTGCTCGCTACTGTAACTAAGAAAGATAATCATCAAGAATGCCATCCTGGTCGGTTGCACTAGCTGCAACGCATTTGGACGCCGCAGATGACTAGGTTGTTTCTCGACGCTCTATGTTCTGTAAAATGGATTCTATTTGGCAATTTCAGCGTCGTTCAATCGCCTTGTACTGTTCGCCATTTCTGGAGGATACTTATTACGGGGCAATTTGCACGGTACGTACTACAATGCGCCACAATGCGCCACATCTTGCAGGTCCGTGCGGAAACATTAACTAGTGTCTGAAAAGCGGACACAGGTAGCGGTCACTACTGTACAGTACTGTACACGTGCAATTCCCAAGGTTAGATGGGAATGCGGCTTGGTTGCAGATAACTCAGGTTAGTCAAACAAGGAGACGGGGACCCCTTCCCCAGCGCATCATTTTGAGCATTTCTTAAACGTGTAAAGGCGAATGCCGGTCCCGTGTAGCCGGCAGAGACTATAGAAACAAACAGATCCCCCAGGCTCCTCTCTCAGCCATGAGCCATGATGCTTGCTAGTTGCTGTCACCAGGTGATGCTTGATTTTTGCATCTTATCAAGCAAATGCACTGGCTCGTGACTTATCTACTGTACCATGGGCCTGCCATTGCACTACAGTTTGACTCGTGTTCGCTAAAAACGATTGAACTTAATAAGCCTTACCCCACCAAGAATACAAGAAATGCACATCACACGCATCGTGGGCACAATCGTCTCGTTACTGATTCTGGGTCGCCTATGGCTGATGTACCGTGGAACAGACGGGGTAACATTCCTTTCGGCTAGTGAGTCGGACGTAGGAAGGACAGATCTTGCAGCCCTCGGATTTGTGCGTCGAGCCGGTAAAGGCGGACATATCAGGCTCTCGTCAACCTTCAAATACACACAAAGCTGTGTCCAGCTTTCTCGCAATCTACCTGTCGACAGAAGAAGTGTCACGAGGGTTGCCCTACGGCTCGTCGCGGAGTCCATCGAGGCAAGGCTAGATCAACCCGGATCTCTGCAGATAGAGCCGTGCGATGCGATCCTCCTACCATTCGAAAATGCATACCCACGATCAGCCAAAGATGAAGACCTGGCATTCGGTATGGCCACGTCTTTGGTTCGTCTAAGTCAGAGCGTCGACTCGATTGCTCATTGGACCTCTGACCGGGGCACACTCCTCGTCGTGGTGATCGAAGACTACATCGGGCATGAGGACGAAGTCGCCGACCTGCTTGCACAGTTTCACAGCCTCAAGATCAACGCCATCTTCATACCGCCCATCGCCAGCAACCATTCCATGTCTCAATCACATTTTGCAGTTCTCAGCAAGATGCTCGCCGAAAGCGGGCCAGAGACAAAGTGGTTCGCTCTGCTTGACGACGACACGTTCTTTCCGCACCTGGAGCCTTTATCCACGGCACTCAGCTCTCTTGATCACGAAAACAAAGACCTTTATGTTGGCGGGCTGACGGAGGACTGGGGCTCTCTCACGCGATTCGGTCTCATGGCTTATGGCGGTGCTGGCGTATATCTCTCTGCACATCTGGCCAGGAAGATCGGGAACCTGGACCAGGACCTCCAGTGCATCGAGGAGTCCCCGCCACAGTTGGGAGACATCATCATCCGTGACTGTGTCTACCGCCACAGTAGGGCGCGTCTGACCGTGCTGCCAGATCTGTAAGTCCTTCCGCCCCATCATTGATGTCTTGTGACAAGAGTCTAACCTCTTCGATAAGGATATCAACATGATTTGCTGGGCGACCTGCGCGGCTTCTTCGAATCTGGCGTTGAGCCTTTGAACTTGCACCACTGGAAAAGCTGGTACAGCGAACCTGTAGTTTCCATGGCGCAGGCGACGAACTTTTGCGGGTAATTCATTCTCGTGAAGCACCGGGGTCCCAGCAACGTCTATGCTGACTAGGCGAGCTTGTGCCACAGGAACTGCTTCCTTCAACGATTCATCTTTGGCAACGATACTGTCCTTAGTAATGGCTACTCGATCACCGTGTACCGAAAGGGTGTGGATTCGCTCGATCTGAACAAGATAGAGCGAACATGGGGCAACGTCTATGCAGGCGAGGACCCGAAGTACGAGTACAGCATGGGGCCGCTGCGCGACAGGGTGCCCGACAGTGATCACAAAACGTACTACCTCAAATACACGGAAGTCAGGGCAGATCTCATGAGACAGCTGTATGTGTGGAAAGGAGTTGAAGACCGTGGAGTGCCTGACGAAGTTGTCGAGCTGGTTTGGAGGAGATGACTCAACGCCAGGGTCATATCCTGCTCCGGAAATGGCAGAATATCATGTCGGGTAGGATTTTGTTCGGTTACAAGGCATCAGAGGAAGAACATGTACCTCGAAAACTATCTGGCAGTCACAGAAATATGGCGATCAGCAGGCAAGAAGGCAAAGCGTGGAAGCATGAATCACTATGCCGACATTGACAGACTACTCGTCCTCCTCGCTGTTCCTCTTTCTGATGACCGCAGAGCTGAGTCCTTTGGGACTCGTTATGCATGCCTGGACACGGTATGGCACGAGGACGATGTACACCGGGAACTGAGTCCTAGAATCAAGACGGGAATCAAGACGGGGAAGGCAACCTCGAGTTTTACCAGCAGAAATCTATCAAGAGATAGGCAGCCGTCCAGCAGTCGGCGCGTATGTGTGCAGCCCCCTTGTGCGTGCGCCGAGTCTGCCTGCTACAACATCCACCATGTCCTGCCAGCTCCTCCTCCCTAAAGTGGCAAGTGGGGTGGGGCAACGCGGCTTAACATTGTCAGGTCTTTGATAGGCCATCGCGCAGCACGCATCGTGCACGATTATGCCAAGCCCAATCGGAAGGATGATGATCATGATGGCACGTCTTTATTTCTAAGGATTTTCGAACCTGTCTGCCATTTTTCGCGGTGCTATTACGTATCTGGCCCAGGTCCCCGTTGATCCCGTTAGAAAGCGAACGGACGCCAAGCCAATTGTTTGTTTACGTTCAGTCGGCTAGACCCCAGCATCTGACTCCACCCTTCGTCTCGCCCAGCTGGAGCGGTTTGTTTGTAGTACAGTAATCTTAAATGCGGTGTTGGGGTGGTTGGGACCGCTACTCACGCGACTTTAGGCACGGCTGTGGAAAAATTTCCACGCCCGTGGAAAAGCTTCCACGCCCGTGGAGAAAGTTCCACGCCCGTGGAAAAGCTTCCACGCTCGTGGAAAACCTCCCCAGCGCCCCGCATTTCGCGAACCCCCTTTTGGCCAAAGCGACGTCTCTCAATCATCTTTGCGTCTTCATTCTCCGTGTTATCACTGCCTATGGAGGCTATGAAGTATTTTGCCCTGGGCCGGGCTAAGATCGACTATAAAAGTGACGGCGCCCCACCATGCGGTTGGACATTTCCTTCATTCGAAGATTTAGAACGGATCGTGTCAGTGTTTGTCAGCCGACATGGATACAAGGCCAGAACGAAGGAGAAGAGGGAGAGGACCCGATTCTATGTCTGCGGATATAAACAATGTCCCGTTGCGTGGAGCGCACAACGAGTGGTCGACAAGTTTCCTCCGCTCTTAGATTCGCTTGAGGTGGTCCGCATACAATATTCAACCACGATCAGCCACAACCACCAGCTTACCGCTCGTCCGGAGCCAAAACCCCTTCCAGTCGATATGATCTGGCTCGGAGTCCCATTTGGCCCCCTGGTTGAGGAGGGTCGATCTGACTCCGCTATACCATTAGGTGTTCCGATGTCTCAGGAGGGGAAGAGGCTAAAGTCGTCTGCTCTCGATCTAGTAAATGTCGAGCCGCATTTCAAACACCAAGAACATGACGATGACGAGACCGTATGGGTCTATGAGCCGTTGATCATGGCGATCTCGGCAACCATCAAGAACCCATGCCTTACGATGTCGGCGACTTTAACATGGAGTGCAGACTTGTTCCGAGACCTTCGCGAACAGCTTGCCGATGCCACATCTGAGAGGAAGAAGCTCGTTCTTCTCGGATGCATGTCAACGCCCATCCTGGTGCCGGAAGGGCCCTCTTTCGATGAATATTGCGAATATATGAAACTGTTTATGGACAACAATGCTTTTATTAAAGCATATCCTACCACGGAGGAGGCAACATTCCAGGCAAGCAAAGTTGGCGATCTTAGAATCCTCGACGAGTGGGCCGCAAAATTCGACGGCCAAGGAATGAGCTGGCTCGCATACCGACCCATAACGTGCGATGGTGGGCTATCGGCGACGTGTAACCTGCCACCCTCTCATGGTGGCTGCATGGTTATCAAGCCGACACATAGCAGCAGTGGAGAGGGAGTCAAGCTTGTTAAAGTCAGCAATCGCAAGGGACTGAAGTGCCGAATCCCTGGGAACAAATGGGATGCCGATATTCAGCCCAGGAACCATCTCTTCCACCAAGAGTATGTCGACTCATTAGTCAAATTTGGCGAACTTCGGGTCTGTATGGTGCGTGATCTATCTCAAGAGGCTATAGACGGTCTCATTCCCCCAGGTAAGATCATTAGTATCACCATCACCAGACCAACCACTTCTGCCGGCAAGGTTCAATTCTCGGATATGAATCAGAGTCCATTCAGTCACGAAATATTTGGGCAAGGAGTTGGGGATGAGCACGCTCAAAAGCGCAAGTATCATGAACTGAAGCAGTTCGCCTCTCTGTGGTTTGCCTTTCTTTTTAGGCTTGCCGATTTTGAACCTGGTCTTGCCTCACTTAAGGATGGCGTACGTCTCGACATTGGCATCTCAGAAGTCGCAACCGATGGGCGATTTTTCATTAATGAAGTCACACGATTGTGGAATGCGTCAAGCTTTTCAGAGGGGAACTCTACTAACGTTCAAGAACAATGGGGCG